TTTTATAAAATCGAATAACTAAAGAAAAAATATGAACCAAATTAATATAACAGTTATTAAAACAGGAAGAGAAAGAAACCATCAAAGTGTTCGAAATTTGTGAAGAAGACACCACAACCAACCACAGTGAATGATGAATAATAATAATAACAACAAATAAGACAGTTGTGAACAAACGAATTGATGATGATGAAAAGAAAAGAAAAAAAAATGCCCTGGCCACACACACACACATTCATTCATTCATTCAATTCATTCGAATATTAGAGAAATTCAGTAAAAAGCCAAGATAGTAAAATACGAAAATCAAATAGCAACAACAGCAGCAGCAGCAGCAGAAGCCACATTTAATAAAAGGGATACACACACACACATCCATATATATCGACAATTGAATTGTGTGAAACAACCAACCAACCAAACCAATAGGTTTTTTTTGTGTTTGGTGGTGGAAAAGAAGGGAAACGAAAAAAAAAAAGAAAAAAAAAAACCAAAATCGACAAAAAAAAATATTCAGCTAAAGAACATATAACAAAAGAGATATTATTAATATATACAAAAAAAATGAGAGAAAGATATCATACAGCCAAGTTTGCCGCTTCTTTTTCATCTGGGATCATCATCGTTCATTTGTTCGTTCGTTGTTTTAAACGTATAACGTACAACAATAACAAAACTTCTGTTCTGTTTCGGCAATAATACACACTGATATGGTGATGGAAGTAGTAGTAGTAATAGTAGTAGTAGTAGTAATAGTTGTGGTGGTGGTGGTAATGATTTGTGTGAGGAAAAAAAAAACAAAAAGAATTTTATCGACAATTGTCGAAATGTTTAGTTGTTTTTTTTTCTTTTTTCATTCATATTTCGAAATATTTTTGTTTTTTTCTTATTATTATATTTGGGTGGGAAAAAAAATAACAACAACAACAACAACAATGATAAAATCCTTGCTATATATTGAATGAACGTTGTACATTGGTGAACAGAAGACATTTAGGGGGAAAGCAAAAAAAATAAATAAAAAATAACAACAAAAATATTTAATGGTGGTAGTAGTGGTGGTGGTGGTGGTGGAATATGAGCCAAAATTATTGTGTAAATGACGACGTTTGTTGTCGTTAATGTTGTTGTTGTTGTTGTTGTTGTTGTTGCTGTTGTTGTCGTCGTCTGCGAGCGAAACGGAGCAAACTATGAATGATTTTGAATTGAATTGTACGACGACGACGACGACAACAACAACAACAACAACGATCCTGTTGTTGTATGTGATGTTGTATGTGTGCATGTATATGATGGCTTTGGCATCACACACACACACACACACACACACACAGACATACAAAACACATTCACAGGATTCAAAGTCTGAACTACTAAAAACTTATTGCTGACTCTTTTTTCGTTCACATTTGTGCGATCAAATCGCTACTGTTAACATCGTCGTTGTCGGCGGTCGATTCGTTTATTTTGATTGAATTTTTTTTTTTTACATATATTTTGGCCATTGATGATTTTGGAAGATTTTTTTTTTCGTTTCCCATAGTGTTTGTGTGTGTAAATGTGTGTGTGTGGAGATTAAAATTTTTTCTCAGTTTGTTTCATTGTTGTTGAACCACAATAGATACAACAACAACAACAACAACAACAACAACAACAACGAAGACGACGACCTTCATCATAGAATTAAGCGCGAATATTTTTTTTTCTCTCTCTTTACATCTGTTTTGTTTTGTTTTTTTTTGAAAATTTGACAATTCTTGTGTTGATGATTCTGATTTCCGTTTTCTTTGATCATCTAGAATTGAATTGATTGAACGGTTCCATCATGTGTTTTGTATCTATTATCCCATAAAAAAAAAGTTTGTCGCAAAATTATTCTTGAATTCTTGTTGATTGAATAAATGAAAAACAAAGAAAATTATCATCAATTCATCAACACATTTGTGGCCTGTATTTTTTAAAAAATCTAGTCTTCGAATCTAATTTTCCGTTGTCATCATCATCATCAAACGATTCTTGATTTCTTGACAAAAAATTTCCAAAAAAAAAAAAAAAATGAATAAATAACAACAAATGAAATAATCTTCCTGATGCTTGTGTTAAATACATTGTCGACAAATATTCCTGATCATTATGATCATTATCAATTGAATAAACGACAACAACAAAAACGACGACAACAAAGTGGACAAAAATTTAATGAAACAATTAGTAATAATAATAAAATCAAATCAAAACAATCGGTAACAATCGATTATAATAATAAATATACGGAAATGTCGACGACGATGGGCTGGCAATTTCAACATCAACATGCTGGATCAATGATGACAAATACCGGTACAACATCATCATCATCATCATCATCAATATCACAACAATCACAACATATGATGAGTGGTTCATTACCACCAATGATGGGTGGTGGTAATGGTGGTGGTGGTGGTGGTGGTGTCAACACATGTATGCCACATTCAGCAAATACCGGTAGTAATGGAATTTTATATAATGGTGGTGTAACAGTCAATAATAATAATAATAATAATAATAATGGGCCATTGGTCAACATCACAACAACAACAACAACAAAAAATCATCATCAATAACAAATCATTTACATAATGGTGCCATGATGAATACAAATTATATGAATAATAGTGTCGGCAATAATAGTGGTGGCGTTGGGGGTGGTGGTGGTGGTTCTATGATGAACAACAATTATTCTATGAATAATAATTATAGTGATCCAACAGCATCCACGATGGGTGGTGGATTATCATCGAATAATGGTAATCATCATCATCATCATCATCAACATCATCCTCATTCACATCAAATGTCCAAAATGTATACACAACAACAACAACAACAACAACCGCCACTACCGGTACCACAATCACAACAACCAACGCCTACAATACCATCAGCAGCAGCACCAGCAGTAGCACCAACAACAACAACAACAACAACAACGACAAAACAAACTGTTTCTGGGTAAGTTTTTTTGTTTTGTTTTTCAATAGAAAAACTTTCATTCAAAAAAAAAAAAAAAAAAAATACACAAATATTTTGAAGGATAAAACACAATAAAAACTACCTATATAGACACCTTTTCCTGTCCCTTTTATTATATTAAACATCATCATAATCAATAATCAATAATTTTATTTCTTTTCCTGTTGAGAATCGTTTTTTTTTTTTTTTTTTATTTGATTATTATTTCATCATCATCATCATCTACAACAACAACAACAACAACACTTATTATCATTATCATCTTTGATGTCATTTTTGTGTGTTCGTGTGTGTGTGTGTGTGTGAATATATGCTAATGAATAAAAAACTTCATCACCATCACAACTTCGTCATCATCTCATCAGAGAAATTGATAATTAACAAATGAAAAATACACTGATGTGTGTGTGTGTATACTATACATACCATTAATCATATGATTATGATGGTGATGATTTCAACTTCTGTTTCAAAAAAAAAAATGTTCGACAAACAGTGGCCATTCGTTCCAAAAATTTGATAGCGAGATGGAGAGAGAAAGAGAAAAAATATTTGTCGAAATCACAATCATCATCATTGATTTTTTTTTTTTTATTTGTGGAACAGAAAATGACGACCTAGGATTTTTTCCATTTTTATTCAATTCTTTCATCTTTATTTTCAAAGTTCTGTGTTTTTGATCAGTTAGTTTGTCATCATCATCATCATCATCATCATCATGTTATGATCATGATCCATGATGATGATCCTAATGACCAATGATCAATGATTTTGTTTTATGTTTCTTATTAACTCTTCTCTTTTTTCTCCTTCTTCTTCTTCTTCAACTCTTTGTCGCTTTCTATCACATTTTCCTTGCTCTTTCACATTTTTTTTCTCGAAATGGTGAAAAATGAAACAAGGAAAATGTTTTTTTTTTCATTCATTCATTTTAATTGGCTATCATTTTTTTTCTTATTTTAATACACACACACACACACACATTCCACGATTATCATATGTTTGCTTTGATTTTTCAATTGCATTTTTATTTTACTTCAAACATACACACACACACACACACAGGCATCATGTTTGTAAATTGAATGATGATGATGAACATTATCTTTTTTTTTCTATGCTGTGTGGTCATTTCTAACTTATCAAATACAAAAAGATGAATCAAATCGTAAAAAGAAATGGTGAAAAATTTCAACATAAACTTTGAACATATGAGATGATGATGAACAATATCGTAAACATTGATGGATCGAATGAGAGAAAAAATTGACTAAATAACCGTGATGGTTAAACATTCGAATAATAAAAATTTTTTTTTTGTAACATTTTTTATGAATGATGATTTCAAACATTGATATATTTCCATCATATATGGAATGTTTGTGGTAATGTTAAAAAACTAGAACAAAATTAGTTTTAAGTGCCAAATAATAATGATAATAATGGTGGTGGTTTAAAAGGATTAAATATCAATTTTTCAATCTTGGAACAAGAAAAGATTGAAAAGAAGGAGAGAGAGAGAGAGAGAATATAGATGTTTGATACTTTATTCATTTAGAAAACCGCCAAAAATTCATGGTCGAATCTTTTGTGTATATATGTGTGCTTGTTGAAGATGATAATTATATCATCATGGACAAATGATAAAATAAAAAACAAAATAGAATGTATCATGATCATTGACAACGATAATAATAATAATAATAATAAACGTTGTATATATATACAAGATAAACAAAACATTAAAAATGAATTTTTCAATCATCGAATGTCACACATCTCTGTCTCTTTTTTTAAAATTATGTTTTGACAACATGTTACCTTGATAATTTCTAATGCAACACAAATCTCAAACACAAACACACACACACACACACTTATTGATTTTCATTTTGATTCATATCTAACTGTTTTTCTTTTCTTTATTTTTTTCATTTTCCCATCAATTTAATCAATAACAAAAAAAAAGACGAAAACGTAAAAATCAATCACAACAACAACAACAACAACAACAACAGCAGCAGCAGCAGCACAACAAAATCTTCAACAACAACAAGAACCATATAATATTCGTTATAATAATGGACAAACACCTCCAATGAATAATGGTGTTATAGGTGGTGGTGGTGGTGGTGGAGATTTTCATAGTGCCAATAATAATAATTCCATGTTGATGCAATCACATCATCATCCTCATCATCATCATCATCATCAACAGCATCATGATGGTTCATCCATTAGACATGATTCAACAATGTATGGTGGACATCAGGTTAGTAATTCTTGTTTGTTTGTTTGTTTTTTTCGATTCTAAAATTGATTCTATTTTTTCCAATACATAGCATATGAATAATTCTTATCCAAATCAACAATCGTATCAAACACCTCAACAACAACGGATGCAACCAACAAATTGTTTAAATGGATCTCTTAATAATAATCAATGTACCTCGCAATCATCATCTACGATGGCCATGACAGCCGGACATCAAGCATGTGGTCCAGCTACAATGTCTGGTCATCATCATACTCACCATAATGGCGGTAATGGTGGTGGTTCACATCATGGAAACGGAATGATGATGTCCGCTGGAACACATCAAGATCCCACAATGATGACAACATCGGCTGCTATGAAATCCAATAATTATAACAACAGTCGTGCATCAACAATGCGTAATGTTACACCATCAACAAATCAAGCCGCTTATTCAAGAACGGCCAATCCAACACAACAGCATTATTCTTCATCACAAACGCCCAAAAGATCTTCCTCATCATCATCATCGGCTGCAATGTCACAACCATATTCAATGATGAATCAAAATAATGTTTATCATAACAATAATTATGGTATGCAACCACAACAACAAAATCAACCTCATTTCAATAACTCACAGGTAAATGTGTAATTTCTGTTTTTTCTTGATCAATTTTAACCTTATTTATATTATACAGTATCCTGTTAATCAGAACATGTCATACAACCCGAAAACATCATCAATGCCATTACAACAACAACAACAACAGACACAATCGCAGCAACAACCACAAATGTTTAACAATTCGATGATGCCTGTTGCAACAATGAATAATGGAAACACTAATAGTAATGGATATAACCATCATCATACTCATCATCAACATCATGGACAATCGACGAATACAGCAGCCACAACAGCAGCAACGACCAAATCCACACTTCATCATCATCATCAACAACAGATGCGTAATCAACAAGGTCAATTCATGTCAAGCAATCAATATTATTCATCGTCATCATCGGCAACGCCAACGGTGGCGGCGGCTACATCAGCCACCTCAAATACAGCGGCAGCAGCCGCCCATCACCAACAATCACAGCAAATGGCCCAAAATCATTCACACCATTCTTCCCATCATCATCCTCATCATCACCAACAACATCATTCGCATTCACAACAGGCACAAATGCATTCAACACATCATCAGCATTCACTTCATCAAAACAATAATCAAATGACTGGCAATATGACTCCAAATAATCAGATCTCAAATCATCATCACCATCCTCATCAATATGATATCAACAATTCTGGTAGCTATGGTACGGGTGGTGTTGGTAGCCAACCTTATGGCCAACAACATCACAATAGCTCTTATTCTCAACAACAACATTGGTCAATGTCTGGTTCCGGTGGCTCAAACAATCAGGGTCAACAATGTAATGGTGGTGCTGTTGGTAACAATATCAATTCGTATCAACATTCACCGATTCCTGGCAATCCTACACCACCATTAACACCGGCATCGAACATTCCACCATATCTATCACCAAATGGTGCCGATAATAAATCATCAAATCTAACTATTAACGATGTTAAACCAAGACTTTCATCAAATCAACGTAAGTTTTACATTGTTTATATTACGATTCTCTTTCTCTAACATTGATATATCTGAATATCGTATCATTCAATAGGTGATGATGAAATTCGTCTAACTTTTCCGGTACATGATGGTATTATTTTACCACCATTCCGTTTGGAACATAATCTTGCCGTCAGTAATCATGTATTCCATTTGAAACCAAATGTATATGAAACATTGATGTGGCGCCACGATCTAGAATTACAATTAAAATGTTTCCATCATCAAGATCAACATATGAATACAAATTGGCCAGCATCGGTTCAAGTATCGGTCAATGCCACTCCATTAGTGATTGAACGTAGCGATACGAAAACGTTCCATAAGCCATTATATTTGAAAGATATTTGCCAATCTGGACGTAATATGATTCAAATCACTGTGACAGCATGTTGTTGTGTATGTATTTGATGAAACAAAAAAAAAATATTTTCAAATGACAACATTGTCTAATACTAATATTTTCAATCATTATCTATGATCAGTCACATCTATTTAGCTTACAATTGGTACATCGGCCAACATTACGTTCTGTGTTACAAGGTTTACTACGAAAACGTTTGCTTCCAGCTGATCATTGCGTGACAAAAATTAAACGCAATTTCTCCAACAATGGATCATTGACGCCATCACAACAATATGATGATAGTATAGAGCCGACTGCCATTAAAGTTCCACTTAAATGTCCGGTTACATTCAAAAGGATCTTATTACCATCACGTGGTCCAGATTGTAAACATATTCAGGTTTGTTGATTATTTATTGTAAAATTATCATTACTTTTTGTATGAAAAAAAATTATGATTATTTTCTAATCATCATCACTATTATTATTCTCTTACAATTTATCCAGTGTTTTGATCTTGAATCCTATCTACAAATGAATGCCGATAAAAACACCTGGAAATGTCCGATTTGTAATAAACCGGCTTTTCTTGAAGGTCTTGAAGTTGATCAATATATTTGGGGTATATTGACATCGACCGGTTTGGATGTTGAAGAAGTAACCATTGATTCAAATGCCTATTGGAAACCAATCAATAAATATGATTCAGGTAAAGAGTGATGATAATGATTATTTATAAAAATGAAAAAAACACATTTTTTCATCCATCACATCATTGGCAAATTGTTACTAAAATGTTGCACTCTTCATTTATTCATTCATTCATTCATTAGGAAACTACAACACATCAAAACGATTCAAGGCTAATTCACCGAATAGTATGCAATTGCCAACATCAAGTTCTTGGGAACTTGGTCAAGGCCTATCACCATACCAATCATCGATGCCCACACCTGACATGCAATGTATGTATACATTGATTATTATTATTTTTTCTATTCTTTTTATACATCATTTAACTCACCAAAATCGTGATATTTTGTTATTTGTCATTCGAATGTGTAGCTATTTTAAATGGATCCAATACTACTACTAGCAACAATAATGGTATCCAATCAAATAACGGCAATATCAACAACAACAATAACAACTCATCATCATCATTGATACAATCATCATCATCATCAATGTCGAGCTTTGAATTTCATTCATCTGCATCTGAATTTGCACCATTGATGCATGATTCATCTAATGATATGGGAATGGCTACTATCAATCCATTAACAGCTATAGAAAAATCCATTAGCCATGTTGAACAGAATATGGGTCCACCTGTATTCGGATCATTAGGTTCAGCAAATACAACATCCGATAATACCACCAATAATAATAATGGAATACCTACCAGGCCAAGCAGTACCAATTTGAATAATAATAATGCAAACAATGCTAATAATAATCCAAGCTTATTGAATACACCTCCATCAACATCATCATCAGCATCATCGGTTGCCAGTAATAATGGTGGTAGTTCGATCATGAATCCCGGTAGCCATGGTCCACATACACCTGCAACACCATCTTCCTCAGCAGCTGTTTGCAGCAGCAGTAGTAATAATAATAATCATGGTGGACCAAATACACCACACACTCCACATACACCACACACACCTCATACGCCCGGTAGTTCAATGAATAATAATCAAACATCAGCACCTAGAACGCCACAAGGTAGTGAACAATCATCATTATCATCAACGAATAGTCAAAATGGTGGTAGTAGTAAAAATGGAAACAGTAATAGTAATCCTGGTTCCGCATTGAATGATCTCCATTTTGATCCAGCTGCCGTTATTGATGGCGAAGGTCAAGGACAAGAAACACTTAATGTAAGTAATTTATAAACTAAAAATTCTAGAAAATATTTCTAATCTTTTTAATCATTACATTGATAGCTTCTTCCGGACAACATGGTCGATATGGAATTATTGTCCTATCTAGAGCCATCAGATTCAGGCCTAGGTACGGGTAATTCATCAAGTGTTGATCTAAGTGGATCATTAACATCAGTCGACGATAGTGTCGTTGCTGAAGAAATACTCTCATTATTTGACAATTGATTGATACATACATACATACATAACATAACATGAAACCAAAAACAAAAACAAAAACCAGTGACCAAATGAGTATTATTATTGTCTTCTGCTACGATTTTTATCAAATATTTTCTCTCTCTCTCTCTTCTTTTTTTTCTTATTTTTTGTTGTTGATATATATAATTATTATAATGATAAAAAATTCATGAATCATTGAAAAATGACAAATTATTGTAAAACTTTGTTATTGTTTTTTTTTCTGTCTGACTATCTATATATCTCTCTTTCTCTTCTCTTTCATTCATCATTTTTTTTCAATTTTTTCAATTGTTAATTTATTCATCATCATCATCATCATATGTACAGTTTCAAGAATTGATTAACAATTATTCGAATTTTTTTGTTTTGTTTTTGATCAATCATCATCATCATCATCATCATTCAATTATCATTACGCACGAATATTAATGTTCAAAAATCAATGTTATCGTCGATTATCTTTGACCAAACAAAATAAACAAAACAGAAAAAACGAAAAATTTTACATATTTATTCTGTGTATATAAAACTCTCATACTGATTGTTCTTCATTGTCATTATGATTTTTTTCCTCTGTTCTCATCAAAAACACACACACACACACACACAAACACATTTTTTCCGTTCTTTCTGTGTATTGATTATATTGATGATTTCATGAATGAAAATTTCAAACTTTGATGATCAAAAAATATTGAAATTTTGATTCAATTTTGTTTTCCTGGATCAAAATGATGAATATATATTGTTGAAAGCTTCTTTTTTGTTTGCATGAAATACCTAGAATGCAAAACGAAAGAAAAAAATGAAAGGAATTCTTTTATGAATCAAATAAATTCTGATTTGATATATAATTACCAAACAAACAAAAAAAAAACTCGTTTTTGTCAATCAATTTTCATAAGGTTTTCATATAATATTTAATACTTTGACCAGAAAGAGCATATAATTCATATAATACTCTGCCATGAATTTCATCGGTTTTGGTTCATTTTTTTTCATTTGAAAATATAAATGGGGAAAAAAAAATTTGAAAATGGTTAATTCATACAAAATATATGACGACGTTATAACAAACAAACAAAAAAAAAAAAAAATAAATGATGATGATGATGATGATACGTTCGTTCATTGATGACGTACAACACATACACACGTGTTGTGATTGAAGAATTTTTTTTTGTCCATGCATGTATAATAAAAAAATGATCAATTCATACAAATAGAAATTCAAAACAACAAAAATAATTCTGACTAGGTCGTAATTGTTTGTTTTTTTTCAAAGAAAAAAAGAAAAAAAAATTCTGTTTTTCATTACATTACATTACATTAATTTGATAATGGATAAATGAATATAAATTATATATAGGAAGCTGTCACAATTGGAATGTTATTGCTGAATCACTTGTTGTTGTGGCTGCGATTGCGATTGCGATTGCGGTTGCGGTTGCTGTTGATGTTGTTGTTGTCCAACAATATTATCATTGTATTGAGATGTCTGTTGTTTGCATACATTCGTATTATTGATTCGTGTTGTTGATATACTGGAAGTGGCCGTAGTCGAAATGTTTCTTCCTACTGGATTCGATGCAAGCTATCAATATATCAATATAATGATTAAATCCAATTGTAATTTGATATGAATTATTATTATTATTATTGTAACATACTTCACCCAGCATCTGTAATGGTGTTGTATGTGTTGTTTTGGCAATTCGTTGTTCAACCAGATAGAATATATATTCATCGAATAATAATCTTATCAGATGAAATGATCCAAATGATTGTGCCGATCGTAATGTTAAATCACGCATTACAAGTGAACTGTAAGTGAAATGAATTTTTTTTTCATAAACACATGATGAATGACATGATATATTGATAATAATTACCTATAGAATTCCCATTTGAAGAAAAATTGTTTGGCTGTACTATTATTGTGATTTGAAAGGCTCATATTCAACACATCTTCACACCAATAAGCCCAACGATCGTATGGACATTGATCGGATAAAAAGCCCTAAATTTGATTTATTGAAATTTTTTTTTTCACTTATTTAATAGTAACATATAGAAAACATACCTTGAAGCTTGATTCGATTTGATGTACAATCTCTTCATTACATCCGCAAACCCAGGATGCTTGTTCCTTGTTTGTTTTGATTAAACATCATGGATAATTATCATTAATATTAAATTAATCAAAATCAAAAACAAGATTGCATCATCATCATCACAACATGATGATGATGATGATAATGTGGGTGAACATAACATAACATACCTGAACATTTTTAAAGTCTACTTTATTTAGATCGTTAATCATTTGTAAAACTTGTTGCTGATTTTTTAACACTGCACATGCTGCTGTCGATAAATGATTCAATGATGTATAACGTCGAAGCATATGGCTTAAAGCACTAACCGCCGATGTTTTCATACGTATAAATTCATCTAAAAATGTATATCATCATTGATTGATCGATTAATGATCATTCAAACCACAATGAAATGGAAGAGAAAGAAAAAACATTAAACGTTCAAAGTTCGATATATATATATATTAATAATTTTTGTATGCACTAACCGGAATAACCTTGTAAGGCATTGATCATCCATTTATTAATACATTTGGCAAAATTTCTAATCTGTTGTGTTAATATTTGTGGTATTGGTTTCAATAGATTTGGTAACAATAATGTTGATAAAATTGAATTATACATTGTATAATCAGTTTGAGCGATCCAATTGGATATATCGGTTTTAGTTATTTCACGTAATGATTGTAAACTTAATTGTTGTTCAATATCATTATCAATAGAGGTATTTGGTGGCTGCCAAAATGATAACCATATATTTTCTACCTCTTGGAAGCTTAATTCGGATAAGGCCTGAATGATTTTATCATAATGAATACGATAACTTTTGAAAAATAAATTTGATCTTTTCTGTAATTCATCCTGTTGCTGCTGCTGTTGCTGTGGACTATCTTGTTGTGGCCAAACAGAATCCATTAATTGTCTTGAATCACCAAGATATGATTGCAATGTTTCTTTCGTTGCAGACATATTTTGTAAATCATTTATGGCATTCATATTGCTATTATTATTACCGTTGTTGTTGTTGTTGTTGTTATTGACTTTCGGATTATTATTGTTGCTACTGTTGCTATTATTATTATTCGATGAAGCATGATTTATTTTTGATCTTTTCATCGGTGGCATCGTATTGTTTTCCACTGCACCATTATTATTATCATTCAATGGTGAATTGGTTTTCACTCGAATTCCATAATAATGATATTTTGAATTGCCTAAAATTTAAAAAAAAAATTAAAAAATTAAACTTCATTTCTCATCACCTATATTCATATACTCATGTTACCTCTTGTTCCCAATCGTCTAGTACGAAGACCAACAAATACCGAACGTATCAATTTACCAAATGATGCTGCATTCACTGGTTCCATATTATTTGCCTGGCAATGTTGTTGATAATGTGAATAGAGCGTTGATCGCGGAAGTGAAACTCCTGTTGATAAAGAAAAATTCAATTAAGACATCAAATGTACATGAACATATTAATTCTGTTCATTCAAAGAGAAAAAAGAAAGAAAAAAAAACATCAATTACCATCAGCTGTCTCGTAGTTTTGTAGCAACCAGGTAACCTATTTATACAGATATAAATATATATAAATGATCAATTATAATGATGATTTATATTAAATTAATGATTGAATATTTTCATACTTACAGTCTGTGGTTGAACAGAGATTCGTGTTGGCTGTTGATATGATGATTTATTATAATCAACATCAATCTACAATGACAAATGAATGATTTTGGTATCAATAATTTTTTTGTTCTTCATAATACTTACTGATATTGTATCACGATGAGACATAAGGCCATTATTCGGTATTGTTTGTGATGATTGTTGTTGAGATTGTGATTGTGAATGCGGTGGTGGTGGTGGTGGTGGTGGTGGTGGCTGTTGATGATGCGTTTGATTCATTGTATGATGATCATTGACTGTAGCGACTGTTGCTGCTGCTGCTGCTGCTGTTGATGCCGCAACTGTTGGATCCATCACAACATAACCATCGGGTAAAGCGGTTGCATAATATGCACCATGTGTATATGAATCAGTAACATAATATGTAGCCCTATTTTTATTATTAAAAAAAAAATTTCAATTTGTTATATAAATTCATTCGTTTTTAAAAAAAGATTCTTACATTTGTCCAGCTGAATTTGTATCATTTGGATAATTATAATCTTCATATGATGTATGCTGTTCAGCAGCGGTAGCAACAACAGCTGCATTATTATCTGTGCCATCAGATTCTAATTGATTTGTTTGTGATTGTGATGGTTGTTGTTGTTGTTGTTGAGGTGTTGGTGGTTGTTGTGGTGTAACATTGTTATGTTGATCAGGTTGTTGTTGTTGTTGTTGTTGCTGATCGGATGATGAAACCGTTATATATTGTGATTGTTGTTGATTGACACCAACACCAACAGTTGATACTAATGTCACAACCGGTTGTGCTGAGATCATTTCTATTGTCAAGAGAAAAAAAAATGAAACAATTATTATGGCATAATTAGTTATAATTAAAAAAGAAAAATTCCTAATTTGAATATGCTTATCATGAATGAATGATAACAATAACAAATAATCGCAAAAATAACAACCTGTAGAATGTGGGTGTTGTTGCTGGGTCAACGATGTTGATGATGATAACGTGGATAATGATGTTGGCGTTGAAGATATTGATGATGATGATGATGGTATCGATGACAACGTGGCAGCTATTCCTACAGATGATGCTGATGAAGATGATGATGATGATGATGATGATGGAGCAACAACCGTTATAACGGCTTGTGCCGCTGTTGTGGTCACCAATGATGTAGATTGTTGTTGTTGATGATGATGATGATTTAAATGATGTTGTGGTTGTTGTTGATACAATTGTAATTGACTAGATGATGATGATGATGATGATGAATAATGAATTTGTTCAGGAATAACACTTGCACTAGTCGATAATAATAATGGTGATGGTGTTGATGCTACAATTGTAATTGATGATAGATTCTTTAAATTATTTGATAATCTAGGTTGTTGCTGTGATTGTATTGAATGTAGTATTTGAGGTTGTTGTTGTTGTTGCGATGTATGTGGCGGCAAATTATTTTTATTTTGATTTGTTGTTCTATCCGTATTTTGATTTGAATGTTGATCCATCATCAACAACAACAACAACAACAACCACAACGATGACGATGTTGGCGGCTGGTTTTGGTTTTGATTTTCGTGGTTATGGTTTCTATAAAATTGTCGTTGTTTCAATGTTGATGTTTGACGATCTTGATAAAGCTGATGATGATGATATGGATTGATCGTGGCATTTACAATAATTTTGATCAATGTATAATCATCATCATCATTTATTATTATTATTGTGGTTGTTGTTGTTGTTATGGTTGATCTTTGTTTTGGCTGGATGATGATTCCTGAGTTTGATTGTTGCATTCTATGGATAATGACAAAAAAAAAAAAAAAATCCAGAGTCAATATCATTATCAATAAACGATGGAGATGGAAACATAAAAAAATGTTAAAATCAAATAGGAAAAAAAAAACTAACAAATAAATGTCAAAATATGAATGGATTATAAATATCAAACAAAACAAAACAAAACAAAAAAAAAACATTTGGTTCAATTTTAGCAACGTATATGTATGGTCAGGAAAATGGAGTTAATTTGTTTGGTTTTTTTTTTTTGTTTTGTACTTTTTGTATCACCATCATTGCTCAAATTGATGTCGTTGTTATGTCAATAATATATAGGAGAAACCACCAATTGATAATGTTTTTCATTGTCGTCGATAAATGAATCTAGAAAGAAGTGGAAATATCGAACCACACGACATATGGATTGGATTTTTGAAATGTATCTGGAATCTACTTTTATTCATTTTATTAGACAAAATTAAATCAATCAACTTGTTGACAATATACATCATTTATATAATGATTTTGAATCAATTTAGAATCACACACACACACACACACATAACGACATAATATTTTCTACAAAATGTGATGGGTGAGAGGTGAAAAAACCAGAAAGTTTACCTAATTGTATATTGTTGATTGTAATATTTATTCATTATTCTACTTTGCACACACACACACACACACACACATTGATTGATAAGTTTGATCAGACCATATATCATTGAATCAAGCAATAACAATCACCATACAAAAGCCATACAATCTAAGACAAACATGGCATATGATTAGCAAACAAATAGACAAACAACAACAAAACAACAAAAAAAAAGAAAAAAATCCAATAGTAAACCCATGCTGTTGAATGGAAAAGAACACTAAAACTAAAACTAAAACCAAACTGAACTCAAATATGAATTGAAAACATAACATTTAGCCACATAGAAAGATAAGAAAACCAAATAAATTGGTTGATAATAATCAATAAATAAGACAAAAAAAAATTTTATTATCATTGAATCGGGTTAGGTCAACCAATCGACATTACCACCACCACCACCACCACCATTGCAATGTGGAGACAAAAATTTCCGCTAAGAAACCACCGATTTTATTTTCAATCCAACAATCAAAAATGACTGAATAATCGATGGAATAAACCACACTACCGTTATTCCAAAAAAAAAATCCAATCGATTGTATTTATTTGAATTTTTCATCTTGTTTGAAAAATTGTGAAATTTATTAATTGCTTTTCTGCGAACCTGTTGTTGTTGTTGTTGTTGTTGTGTTGTTGGATTCGAATCCATTCGTGTTTTTGTGTGTGTGTGTGTGTGTGTCGAATCGAACCAGCATGATTCGAAATCATTCCATCATTTCATGACGACCATAATTTTTGTAGTACGTCTACCGAATCAATTATCACCGGTGACACATGATGCATACACTTATTAACAGTAACCTAATCATTTAATTTGGTCGTCGAATAAAATGTTGAAATTCGAAACAACAAAAAAATTGAATGCCATTGGCCAGATGTATAAAATGAATGGATAATTAGCTATCGAACTTTATCATCATTTATATCAGTCGAAAAATACAAAACAAAAAAAAATTCTGTGATACTTATGTCGATGCAGATGCTGAATTGCAAATTCATTCATTCAAAACATCTGCTTATGGCTGTTGAGTTCCTGAAAACAAAAATTCAACAGTTTTTTTTCACGAATTGATAAAAAAACTGTTTTGGTGACATTCACACACACACACACACACACACACACGGGCCCATCTAGTCAAAACAATCGTCTCCTGTAAACAATTATTATTTCTGATGATGATGACCTAATGGTGGAACACACACACACACACATAAGTGCGCGCGTGCCAAAATCATTGAGGCGATAAAAACTCCTACTTTGAACCCGGTGGTCAAAACTTTCAAGCACACGTTTGTACATATGTACTATTGAGAAAGAAAGAAATGTCATTGTCATCAACTATCGTATGATAATCGCGTGTTGATCGGTCATTTTCGACATGAATGACTTAATTTTTTTTATCATTGAAATCATTATATAAAAAATTAAAAAAAAGCGCGAAACGGTTGCATATCCGTAAAAACACCAAACACGCATTCACAATCAATATGAAAATGAACTTACCCACGAAACAAAAGCCAAAATAAATCAGCATTTGAAGTCAAAAATCAGATTGTATTTATCGGAACAAAAATGATACGGATTTAAATTCCGTTACAATGAATTCCATTAGAATCTTACATCACTTAAACACACACAAACACACGTGAATATGAATTCAGCTGATGGAATTTTTTTTTCTTGCCGGTTCCTCGTGGTCGTTGATGTTTTGATTTTGTTATTGTTGTTGTTTTTGTTGTTGTTGTTGTTGTTGACGACGTTGTCAATAGTGAGAATCTTTCATTCTTAAAAAGTCAGTCAGTCAGTCAGTCAGTCAGTCACTTGGTCGAACGGTCGGTGTGTTGTTGGTAGTGAAAAATATAGAGTATATAATTGTAGGCGGTTCCAGACACAGGTTTTTTTACGGTATATTGTTAGGCTAGTTGATATTTTATTTCTGGTTGTCCAGGGATTGATTTTGGTTTATATTTTAGTTCTCATATTGGTTGGCCGTTGTCTTAGAGAATCAGCCGACGACAAAAAATGAGATGTATCGAGATGTTCATTATTATTGTTGTTGTTGTTGTCGTTTGATTTAGTTTGGTAGTCTTGGTCCCGGTTACCTTGGATCATAACCATTCCTGAAAATCCTGTTTTATAAATGTTGCAAACATACACACACACACACCGACCAGTTTCCATGTTATGTGTATCAAACATACAAGGTATATAACAATGTCAACTTTGTCAACACGATAGTGTGAATGGAAATGAGAGCGATTCAATGATTAAAAAAAAAAAATACCTAACCTTACCGATAAAATATTGCCAACAATCTGATGTGGATTGGTTAGTGATGATGATAATGGTAGCGGTGATAATATGGTTGTAGTATTACTGATAAATGAAAAAAAAACGATGATGGTGGTGTTGGCAGTGTTGTGGTGGTTATACTAGTTGTTTTTTCCCCGATATGCAAGCCAGAATATCGTTGTATTTTTTTTTTTTTTTATTAACTAAAATGAAAATGAAAATTATAGAAACACATGCATAACGCATTTTTTTTTTTTGTTTGTTAGGTTGTTACGCTTATACCAATGTCAACGTTTGTCTTGATATATACATACTAGAGTCACAATTTTTGGGACCTCCTGATTTTTTTTTACGTTTTTTTTTTTTTATTTTCATTTCTTCATGATAATGCTTATACAACATTGCCAATTCCGTATACCGAAAGCCCAGTTAAATTGTATTGATGATGAGAGAAATAAAAACAGAAAAATAAACTGAGGATCCAACATATAACACCAAATAACAACAACAAAAGAAACGTTACCACGAACAAACGTTACCACCAGTTTTCTGGTTATATCCATTTTTTTTATATCCCGCCCTTTTTTAGCTCATTCTATGGTTCGTTTACTACTGGTAGTTTCAATTACTTTTTAAACATCGACATCATTGGCAATGTTTTTCTTTTTGTTTCTATTACAACAATTCAATTTATACTTCTGGATCCCGAGTAAGAAAAAAAAAAAATTCAACAAGAGTTTCAATAAAACAATATCAACATCAATGATGATGGTATTGAATATCGATCAGATTTGGTCGGAACTGATTTTTTTTGTCCCAAAAAATTATTTGATATCATAAAGAAGAAAATCATCAACTATAATATTATGCCACGTACACACACACACACACACAAAACACACCCGTAGAATGTTTGTTGATCATCATTGATATATTGTTGATAACCATGGTAACCAAAATGAAAAAATGCTGTGGATATTTTTGATCATAATCATCCACGATCATCATTGCAATGATGTATAATAACATTTTTAACCAGATATTCAATGGCTTAATAAAAAAAAAAAATTACCACTCATAAACTTTTAGATTTCAAATTAATATTTTTGTTTTTTTTTTCGAGGTAAAGCTTACTTTTCTAGGGATCTAGTCACCTTGGTGATTGATGTTTGTTGATTGTTGTTGTTATCAAAAAAAAGAGAAATGTTAAATATCAACAAATTAATCTATGTAGTAGTATACGATCATTATAAGTAAGTTTTTAGATCTACGGTAACTATGGTAGCTATCTATGGTTTTTTTTTTTTGGTTTTCGGCAACTTTATTTGTATCACACTACTGCTATGGATACCGAACAAAAAAAGAAAAAAAATGAAAGACAAACAACATTTATGGCGACGATGATGATGGTAAATAACAACAATAACGATAACAATGACAACGAGAATAATAATAATAATAATGTTCCAAAATGGACCAAATCGATTTCTTTCTTTTTTTTTCAAATAAATGAGAGAAATGTCCCCTACCACTTTTTCATTCATCCATTGAAATGAAAAAAAAAAAAAGAAAAGTTGATGAAAGTTGTTTGCATTTTGTCAATTCATAGTTGGTAGCCATGGTGATTTGTCGCCATTCTTTACAATACATACACACACACACACACACACGTACTCTATATCCGTATGTCGATGTCTCATTCATTGATTTTTTTTCCCACTATTCCATAGAAATGAATCAAAAAATTCCATGCCATTAAAAAAAAGACCATCATTGTGAATAGATATGATTTTGATTAGGATTCATGAATCAAGAATCGATTGATTGAATAAAATCGATTAAAAATGAAATTGAAAAATATTGAAAAACATAAAATCATTGATGATGATGATCAAGCAACAGATCATTAGAAAAATCAATCAAAAACAATATCGATATTAATCAATCGATATTGATCAAACATCATTTACAAATGGTGATCATATATATATATATATATATAGGTGATGATCGTGTCTATTCATGTTGTATGCAAATTATGAATACGTGTTGTTTGTATCAAATAAAAAAAAAATCGTTAGTAATCGGGGCAACACACTAAATCATAAATGGATGAAATAAAAATGTTTATCAAACAAACAAGCAAAAAAAATTGTTTAAACACGGATACAGATGACGTTTCCTAAGAGACGGCAATTTACCATTTGATGTAAACATTTTTTTTATAAAATACATGGATCCATATCATTGACATATAATCAATTTATTGTTTTTATTTTAAAAGAATAAATTAAAAAATTTTTCCAACAAAAAAAAATTATCATCGATCGTCAAAAAAATTATTAAAAAAATTTAAATATATATTGATGAAATAAAATCATGGAACCTATGGCTCCATCTATCATTGAACACAGTGATTGTATTCATAATGATGATGAGATCGATTATTATCCAAATCTTATATATAATCATCATATTTTGGATAATGAAAATTTTGATTCCTGTTCCTGTAATCGTTTCATTTTTCCGGACATTTTAATACCCAAACGTGCAGCTTTATGACAGGTTATATTATCATTTTTGGCGTATATCACATTAAAATCTAATGATGATTGTTTAGAATATTTACATTTTTTCTTTTCATCAATCATTATCATTTCATGTTTTTGCATTTCCATCTCTTTATCGTCGATTTCTTTACATTGTTTCTTTTTTCTTTTTTTCTTGTTACATTTTTCATCTTTGATTTGTTCATTATTATCATCATGAATTTTGTTCAATATCGTTCCACCGCTTACGAAATGTTGATTATAAATTTCATTTTTTTCTTCAAGATTTTCATCACCATTTAAGCCGGATTTTGTTTTAACAATCACTCCAACTGATGTGATTTTATATTCAGGTTTTAAACCTTTACTAGCCACATTATAAGCTTCTGCCCACCATTGGTTTTTGATCTGTAGCGAATCGGCTATGCTGAATCCGAGGCCACGAGTATCCATTTGAATATTTGGAACAATAGGTTTGACGATACCATTCTCTTCAGCACCTAATCCTTTACCTTCGCTCCAGCCCATATTTTTCATTTGTCGTTTGGCAAAATCCATTTTGATCGTAAAGAATTTTCACACAAAATGAAATGAACACAATGTATCCAATGGAAAAATGCACGTGTCAAAATCGATTTCTACAATTCTGAACTAGAGCTGTCGAAATATCCTAGTGGATTGCTGTCAGGTTCTTTGTTTACAACGGCTAGGATGTTTTCTATTTCTTGTTAATTAATTGAAGTTTTTATTTTATTTTCATTATTTTTTTCGGTTTTATTTTTTACCTTCTCGTTTAAAAAGCAAAAAAATGTCACCCAATATTCGAAAAACAACAAATATTTGACAATAATGGCATCACCTTTATTAAATCAAATCAAGGAGAAATCCAAACGTCGACGAAAACTTTTAGCCCAACAGGTTGTGACAACATATATAACTTAAAACTTAATATTTTTAAAATTTGGAACTCGTTCTCATTCCTCTGACATTTTCATAGTTTGGCCTCAAGAATGTCGATAATTTACCTAAAGTTCTTGGCTTCGATGATGAACGTAAAGCATTCCAATTGAGCAGAAAATGTTCATCAGTTCGAAAAGATCTTGGTGATTCGAAAACTCGAGTCCATCATAAATCTAGCAATAATGATTTATGTCCAGATTTACTTGGCGATGTAGCTGATGAAGAAATCACCTATACAGATTCTAGCACCTTTCTAAAGGTAATATTCAAAGAAAAAAATCATATTTAGTTTTAACTTTTTTGGCTATTCTTTTTTTTTGTATAGGGAACTCAATCTGCCAATCCTCACAATGATTATTGTCAACATTTTGTTGACACTGGTCAGCGGCCACAAAATTTTATTCGTGATGTAGGACTCAATGATCGATTCGAAGAATATCCTAAACTTAAAGAATTGATTCGTTTAAAAGATGAACTTATTCAAAAAACGGCCACTCCACCCATGTATTTAAAATGTGATCTACGAAAGTTTGATCTCATTGAATTGCAAGCAAAATTCGATGTTATACTTATTGATCCACCATTAGAAGAATACAAAAGAACAAATGGTGTTACTAATGTAGATTTTTGGTCATGGGATGATGTTAGTAAACTTAAAATTGAAGATATTGCAGCACCACGATCATTTATATTTTTATGGTGCGGTTCATCTGATGGCCTAGATCTTGGACGTGTTTGTCTTCGTAAATGGGGTTTTCGTCGTTGTGAAGATATTTGTTGGATCAAAACAAATATTGACCAGAAAAAGAAACATGCAAAAAATCTTGAACCAAAAGCTATATTTCAACGTACCAAAGAGCATTGTCTTATGGGTATTAAAGGAACTGTAAGACGAAGTACAGATGGTGATTTTATCCATGCTAATGTTGATATCGATCTCATCATTACCGAAGAATTTGAATATGGAAGTTTGAAAAAACCGGATGAAATTTATCATATTATTGAACATTTTTGTTTAGGTAGACGTCGTTTAAATTTATTTGGACGTGATGATATTATTCGTCCTGGATGGCTTTCAATAGGTCCAGCATTAACCAATAGTAATTTCAATGCTGAAACTTATCATAGTTATTTCGATGGTTCAAACGGAAATCTAACCGGATGTACAGAACGGATTGAAATATTGCGGCCAAAATCACCACCACCAAAAGTGAATAAAAATTCCAATTCATCCATACGATCAAATTCACATTATTCGGTACCTAGAAAAATTCAACGCCAATAGATGGCAGCTATTATGACGACATGTGTAAAAATTTAATTTAATTTTATTATTATTATTATTATTAACAAAAATTGATTTTTGATTATTATTTTGATGACAACAAATCGATCTGAATTCATTGTTTGACATTTTATTAAATCTTTGGTACAATAAATGAATAGCGTTTCATATTTCACAAAAATTTGTATCATTTCATCGTTTTTGTTGTTGTTGTTGTTTTAATGGTTCCATTATTAAAATTAGGATTAACATTGGTTTCGCTCATCATTGTTGAATTGATCGCTGTCGTTGAATCGAATACAACGATGGTATCATTTTTGGCCATAAATTATGGAACGATTATCATTCCAGATGTAAGTGTTGTTGGCAAAACAAAAATTGTCAAAATTTTCAATTCTAATTCGGATTGTTATTTAGGAAAAATGTGAACAAATTGTACAAAAAGAGATTGAAATTTTAGCAATCATTGTAACAAAGAAAAAAATCTTAATATTAACCAGTGATTATCATGTATTTGATTTATCGGCAAATTTTTATGATTCAACAACAAATACTGTTAATTTATTTCAAAAATCAACTTTAATGTCTGATAAATATCCAAAACTATGGCTTGATTCAAAATTTGATAGCATGAAATCCACATTCAAAGATGTACGTTTTATTATCGATTATAAAAATGATATTTGGCTATGTTTTTTAACACCATTTTTGGCTCCAAATTCTGGTATCAATTATAATGTTTACAATGGTGAAATTGTCGATGGTTGGCATCAACAAAAACATGATGCAGAAATATTCATTTCAACTGATATTGATTCTTATCAATATGTTGTACGAACAAATGAAGGCATTAAATTCAATATGATAAATACGATATCAAAAAATTCTGATAATGATGATTATTATATTAATAAACGATTCTCAACTGTATGTAAATATTTCGATAATGCTGATAGTAAAATTTATTTTAAACAATTTTCACCATATGAAAATTGTGAAAATAATGGCCATTTTGATGTTGATTGGTCAATAATCAATGGTTTTGTTACCGATGGATTTTTTCATATTGTCACAACAAAAGGTGTATTGATATTTAAAGAACAAATTTTCCATCGACAATTTACACCATTTCCAGTGAAACAACGATCATTACAGGAATTTTTCTATGTTCAATTCCTGTTCCAGTTTATCCAACGAAATCATTTTTCTGGCTTATTGCCATTTTAATCATCATATTAATGTTGTTGTTTTTTATAATGTTTTTGATTATAATGGACGGAAAATCACTTAAACCACCAAATAAACATCGACATCATGAGAGAATATCATCATCATGGAAACAAAAACCATCATCATCGAAAAGAATTTCTAAATTTTCAAAAGAATCACAACAACAACAACAACAAGATCCGCCAATAAGTTCAGCATTTTCAAGTAGTTGTCCAAGCAAAAATGATTCCATTCAATCATTTCGAATGGATTCGAAAAATTTGAAAAAAATTGAAACAATTTCTAGCCGATATTTGCCAACAAATCAAATTACATCGAAGCAACAACAACAACAACAATCATCATTTAAAATTCCATCATCATTCATAATTATGTATCCAAAACCAAAAAAAAAAAACAACAACACAGTAGCCTATAGAAAAATATCGAAATCGAGAATCTAATTAATTATTCATTAAATTAAATTATAAAAATTTGTCCAATAAAAAATCCAATACGACCAAATATTGGTGATTATATCGAAAATGTTTTTATTAAGCGTTTCAAATCAATTCATCACAATGATAATGTTGGCTATGATCATCATCATCATCACCATTGCCATCGATTCAACAACATGCACTGTACATGATTTAATTTGTGAATCGATTAAAAATACCAGTGATCATGATGATACATTTGACATATTGAATGTTGGTGTTACTAGAGAGAAAATTATTTTGGTAACAAAAAAATGGTTTGTCTACGAAATGGACATTAATTCAATGAAAGATGGTAAATTATATCTGAATGTATTGCCTACACCGGCATCGGCTAAATTTCCATACCTATGGAGTTATAAAAGATTTCAAGATATAAAAGATAAAATTACCGATGTACAAATATTTATGGATGATGAAGGCGATTGGTTATGTTTGGTGCCAATATTTGATTATGGAATCGGTTATCATATTGATACAAATGAAATAATTGTCATTACTTGGTTTATGAGAAATAATAGCATTGAAAATGAACGATCAATTGGAACAATGGAATCATATCGTAATTATATATTTCGTTATATTAGATTTGATATTACAGCTAAAGCAATACAGATTAATAAGGATTCAATCAACGGTACTATTGGTGTTCGAAATACAAAAAGAATTCATATTGTAAATTTATGGACTTATATTTGTTTAACATCGGATAATAAAATCGTTATACAATATGGTTTTTGTCAAAATTATGGCCTACAAACAGTTGATTGGGATATACAGGGTGGTTTTGTTGTCAATGAACAATTTTATTTACTCGGAAAAGATAATGTTTATTCATTTTCTGAACAAGCATATTTGAAACCGAATCAATCATTTGCTTATAGTAAACAAGATTATCGATCATTTATTTATTGTTATGGTGAAATTGATTCATTACCATTTAATAGAATTGTTCGTATTATATTCATCATTATAATATTGTTGTTGATAATATTGGTTATTTTATTATTCATAAATATAAATCAACGTCGCCATCATCGACAAAAATCTAGAGAAATTCTTAAAGTAAAAGTAGCAAAGAAACCACCACCACCACCACCACCTTCACCATCAAAAGCAGTTAAGCAAACAAAACAACAACAGATTAAAAGTAAAATATCAATGGACAAAAATTCTAGCATAATTCAAAAAAGTGCAAAATTCAGTTCTATAGGCACTATGCGATCGGAAATTGGTAAAATACCTGTGCCAGTAATATCTCGCCAATCAAGTAGTATGGAAAAAAGTGCAATACAAAAGTCAAAATTTTTTTAATATGAAAAAAAAATTTTTTCTATTTCCAAATGATACAATAACCTATTATTTTCAATTTGTTGTTCATTTGAATGATGTGTGTGTGTGTGTGATTATATAATAAAAATGATGATGATGATTCAATGAAACAAAACAACAAAAAAAAAAATGAACGATACGTTTATTTATTTTCCTGTTTTTTTTGGCAATGGTGGTTCGATCATTCCCCAAAACCCCCAAGATCAAGACACAATTTATCACAATTTACAAAAATTCTGATTGCTGACATTTTTGTATTTTGGGGCCACAGGCTAAGGCAATAATGGCCCGTTGGGACACACAACCGTTTTTGGTTTATTATTATGAAAGCTGTTTGTTTTTTCACTGACATTTCTAATTGCACATATATTGCATATATATAATACATATCGGAATGATTATTTCATAAAAATAACGTATCACACCACACACACACACACACACAATTCTTGATTCAATTCAATATATTGATAATGGAAAAAATTGACCAAAAACAAAACAAAAAACAGAAAAAAAGAACGAAAAATAAATTATCATCCAATCAAGTTAAATCAAATTGGCATACGCTCTGTAGAGGGATAATGGTGATGATGATGATGATGATGCTATATATTCATGATGGCCAAGTTAGTAGTTGGTCCCGTTTTCGAATTAAGTTCTTATTTTCGAATCGAATTTCATTCAATAGTCAGTTATCGAGAGAGAGAGAGAGAGAGAAAAAACCTGCGCACATTCAATGAAAAAAAAATGAAAAATTCTCAAGGGAAATTCAATATCAAGCATCATGAAATATTCGTTAAACGAAACGTCATCATCATTTAATTTGAACAACGACCAACCAACCAACCAAAAAAAAAAAAAAAAAAATTGTGCTTATCATTTTCATCGCATTTATATTTGGTGACGAATCTCACGGTGTTATATTAAAAAGAATGGCCCAAAAAGAAAAAAAAATTTATCAAACTAATTTAATCTCATTGGATCGTAGCCGCGATTAGTGAAAAAGTGATTGAAGAATATTTATAATTCAATTATATACATCGAACGATGATCATCGATATACAATTAATGTTTATTTTCTTTCGATTCATAAATTTGAAATTTTATTCATGTTTCAACGATTTTTTTCTGCTGTTCAAATAAAATAGTCATCATGAAAAAAAACCGGAAGTCCCAGAAGAAGAAAAAGAACCAAAAAAGAAAAGAAAAATAACAAATGAGAGTATAATCAAAGTAATAACTGCATTTACTTTTATCTGTAATCAAATTTTTAAATTTTATTTTGGGTAACAACAAAAAAAAAAAAATTTATTGAATCACATCCAACTGATGATGATGATGATGATGATGGTTGAAGATTCTCTTGGTTTAACGACAAAAAATTGTGTGGCTGATTTAATATTCTCTATTCGTTCATTCATTTATTTGATTCTATTATTTCATATGACACATTGTCTCAACAACAACAACAACAACAACAATGATGATGATGATTGTGTGTGTGTGCCCAAACACACACACAAAATATAATTCCAATTGTTCCGAAATTCTAAATTCAATTCATTTATTTCGACTTTTTGGAATTCATTGAAAGAGAATTTTTTTTTCTTCTTCATTTTCGATTCTGAACTTTCGCGAACATTTTCATTATACAAGCCAGCCTATAGAGAAAATTGGTTTTCCTTTTTTTTCTGTGTTTGATTCTGTGTGTGTGTGTGCCGTACCAACAACTAAACATTCATTTATTTATTTATTCATTTAATTCCATATATTCTTCTGTTTCAGTCAGACGAGAGAGAGAAAGTATATCGTAAATTCAATTTATAACTTGTCAAATTATAAGCCTTAGAGTAAATAAATAATTAGATCATTTGACGAATTTTTTATTCGTTTTTTTTCGTTGCATTTCATCATTATGTGGCCATTTTATCATGCATCAATTTTCATTGTATAATTTGGTAAGTCATAAACACTAAAAAAATCAAATTTCAACACTCAAAATTCAATTGAAAATTGTTTTTAGCCAATTTTTTTGTGCGGTTATAGTGACCAAAAAAAAGAGATGAAAATGCATCACTATCAAGACTGCAAAGAATTGAAATTGTCATTGTGACACAATCTACAAAATGTATAATTCTTCATTCATTCACCATTTATTCTGTTGTTTGAAACATTGATGGATTTCGTACCGGCAAATTTTTCTCCATTTTCGTTTATATATAATATATATTGTCACACACATATATTATCAATGAATGATTTTTTTTTTGTTGTTGTTGCCTCCGCCTTATATTTGATTTTGGTTTCAATTTAGTTCATCCATTTCAATACGCATATCACAAATTATGCCAACCCTAGAAAGAAAAAAAAAATTCATTTTCATTCACTATGAAACTAGACATTTGAAACAAATCAATATTGGCTCCACCCATCGGCTATAGCCACTATCAATTGCTCTAGTATATATTTTTCTTCTTCTATATATGCTTATACAACTCAAACCATTTGCACACACACAATGAAGAATATTCTATACGATTTTTTTTCAAAATATGCCTATACGCATCACAGACGACAAAGAATTCAAGATGATGTGACAGAAACAAACCAAACAAACAAAAAGGCGCGACGATGACAATGAACTATTATCAGATATCAGAGAAAATAAAAAATTTCGGTGTTATCATCATCATCATGATTATTATATAAAATATAAAATGAATCGTTACCAAACTATTTGGCCATAATAATTCTCGATTCTGCGGTCGTCATCATCATCATCATTGTTTGTCAATTGTTCATTGGATGATTCAATTTTTTTTCTCTGATTCATTTTGTCTATTATCTTCTCTTCAATTCAATCGTTCAAGTTATTCATTTATCGCAACTGTTCTTATGATTAGTGCAATATATATATAATTAATTATTATTTCCAATTTGTTGTTATTGCAAATAGGTATGTATGTGAAATTTATCATGAAAAAGATGATTTTTTTGTGTGTGTAGAATTTTTTTTTTCATTTCAGAATCAGAATCAGAATTCAATCGAAATTGAAATAGCCATTAGAAGGATATTTGATTGATTTGAATTTTTCTGATTTTTTGTTGACCAATTTTATATTTCAATAAATTTCCGGTTATAGGAAATACATTTGTCTATATGAGCAATTAGGAAATGTCAGAATTTTTTTTTTTTGATTTTTATTTTCAAATATAGATAGATTTTGTTAAAATCATCAAATAGGAAATGTAATCTGTCATTGTCTGATCCATCATTAGAGAAACATGTTTTGTTATCATTGTCCACCGACACTTACTACGACTGGTTCAACAGGAACTGCTACGGCTGTATCAACTGGACCAACACATACACATCATCATCATCAACATCATAATCATCACCAACAACAACAACAACAACAACATTCATCAACAATCACAACAACATCATCTGTTTCAGCGGCGGCAGCAGCAGCTGCGGCAGCTGCGGCAGCCGCTGCTGCTGCAATGTCAAATACAAGCCTTTCAACATTATCGACACTTTATTCGGCTGCTGGTGCCACAACATCACAATGTAAGTAAACAATAATTCAAAATGGGAAAGAATGGTAATAATTAAATTTTGTAACAAAAAAAAATCGTTTCATCATCAAAAAATGAATTAACAAGAATTTTCCTGTCTTAATGCTATTAAACGGGTAGTGTAAAAAAAAAAATTTAATTGAAACTTCAATGAATCCATCAGCTCATCATCATCATCATCTAAGACAGCAAAATCTTTTGATGATGACAATGAAAATATGAACATATCAGGTTACTATAGTTTGCAACAACAACAACAAAAAAAAAAATTTCTCAAATCAAGTACAAAGTTTATAACAATAGTTTTTGTTCAACAAACAAACAAATCAAAAACAAGAAATTTAAGATGCTTAAAAACAAATTGATGATAACAGAAATGATGCTGATGCTGATTGCATCATGTTTTCCGAAATGAATGATTTTTTTTTTTTGAAATTTGATCCACTTGATGATTGTGCATTCTTTGATTCTTATTATTATTATGAGATGGAAAAAAAGCGGCAGAGAATGGAAAAAATTTAATTTAATTTAATTTTTCTCTTCATTCTTTCCATTGAATAAAAAAAAAAAAATATTCCACATTGCCATCATGATGATGTTGATGATGATGTTGGTTTTTATTTTTTATTTATTTATTTATCGATTTTCGTCATGATCATCATTTTTTTGCAGATTCATCATTCAACTCGGTATATGGTTCCAATGGTGATGGACCGGATGAAGCATTTATTCGTCGAAAACAGCGAAGAAATCGTACAACATTCAGTGTACAACAATTGGAAGAACTTGAAAAAGCTTTCGCACAAACACATTATCCAGATGTGTTTACCAGAGAAGGTTTGATGATGATGATGATGATAATGACAATATTCAGGATTCTGGTCAGGATTTTTAATTCTTTTTTTTTTTTTGTTTTGTTGCTTCACATAATAGATTTGGCAATGAAAATTAATCTGACCGAAGCAAGAGTACAGGTTTGGTTCCAGAATCGGCGAGCAAAATGGCGTAAATCAGAACGACTTCGAAAAGAACGTGAAACAAATGGCAATCATGATGATGATCATCTACTAGATATGGGATCACAATCACCAACCATCAATATAGATGTAGCATCAGCTGAAATGACATCAACACCTAGTACAAGTCCAGATCCAATTGATTTAAAAGATCATGATCGATTATTAATAGCCGATGATCATCATCATTTATTGATAAGAAATAAAATTAAATCCAATAATGAAAATCATCATACCACAAATAATAATGATACATTACCAATCAAACATAAACAATCAAATTTTCCGATAAGTTCATTGATTGCAAATACTAATAATAATCGTACTAGTAGTAATAGTAGTAGTAGTGGTATAAATGATTTTGGTCCATCATCATTCATTTCATCGATTAAACATCCATTCTATCAAGGTGGTGGTGGTGGTGGTGGTGGTGGTGTTCATTCATTATTTGATCGAAGTCCATTTTTTCGTGAAATTTCAATGTCTCCACATTTTTCAGTTCCAACATTTAATTCAATTCAAAGTTCATTATTTGCTAGTGCTTTTAATGCTACTGCCAATGAAAAGTAAGCAAAACTATATATAGATTTTTAAGTTTTTTTGTTATTTTATTCTTTTTTTTTTCATTTTAGGCCTGGATTTAGTCCATCAAATTTGGACAATATGTTGAATGCTGCAGCTATGGCAGCTGTAACTGGACATCATAATTCTGCTTGTTCAAGATTTTCGGCCACTATTCCACCATTGTTCATGACCACAACAACAACGGCATCACCACTATCATCAGCACATACGCCCACCACCAACAACAATAATGGTCAATCATCTACACTATCATCATCATCATCATCATCATCATCATCATTATCTTTTTCACCAAATAATCATCATCTTAATCATCATTTAAATCATCATCCATTTTCATCACAATCATCATTTTCTACAAAACGATTATCACCAACAATGATGAATAATAATATTTTACGTTCATCAATAGATCAACAACAACAACAACAACTTTATAAACGGACATTATCATACCAAAATGGTGATAATAAATCGATAACAAATCAAGATTCAATTTCACCACCACTACCAGCACCAGCACCAGCACCAGCAATAAATGTTACGATTACTGCTGATGCAACAAATTCCAATAAAAAATGATAAATTCAATTGATCAATTCAAATGTATTATAGATTTTAGTATTAATGAAAATATTGAAAAAAACTATGCAAAATAGAAAATTTTCTGTTGTTTTCCAATTATGAATTTCCTTTTTTCCATCTAACTGTAAATGATAATTTTATCACTATAATTTTAAACAAGATTTTCTCTCCTTTTTTTTCCATTCAATTCGATACTCAATAAATCACCGTCATCATCATTATTGTAATGAAGGCTGGCCAGAAACAAAAATTTGATATTTATGTTGTTGATAATTTCCAACAATATATAATAATAATAATAATTAATGATGATGATTCTGATGACTATAGTGCATTCGGAATCGACAGAATCATCGTCAACAACAACAACAACAACAACAACAAAATGAAATGAAGTATTCCTAAAAAAAAAAAAAAAAATAACAATGGTAATTAATTTTAATGAATGAATGAAATTGAGTGTTGATAATATGTCATCATCGTTTGCTTTTGTTCGTTCTCTGTTGTTCGTTGTTGTTGTTCGTTGTTCGTTGGAAATGAATCAATGGAATATATATTGACATTCATCATTCATTCATAATAATATAATGAATGAATGAATGAATGATAAAGTTATAATTGCACAACATTGGATATAATGTCAACGAATTTGAGCCTGGAACCATGAAACCATATTATTATCATTATTATTATGATTACAATTGATGCTTGTTATCATGATTCATTAAATGTCAAACAATGTAAATGCACACACACACACACACACACACACACATACAGCACCCGAATACATTTTGCCCCAAATCGATCCAATTGGATCTACATTACCTTATTATTTTTTTCCAATTTTTTCTGTTGTTGTTGTTGTTGTTGTTGTTATTGTTATTGTTGTTTGATTTTTTTTCTCTCTTTCTCCTGTTTTTTTTTTGGTTCAACAAAAAAAAAATTCATGTACCAATTTTTGTCGACATTATCATTTTGAAAATGTTGTTATTATCGTTATTTTCAATTGCCCTCTAGGCTCGTGTCTCTCTCTCTCTCTCTCTCTCTCATTTCAGTCATCAGACACATGGAAAATATAATGAAATACAATAAACATTTGAATGTCATGATGAACCAGGGATAATAATAATGCATTGAAACTCACACATGGATGTATTCAAAAGATTTTCAATAACAAAGCAAAAAAAAAAACTAATTCAAGAATAGTGTGAAATGAAATTGAAATCACATCATCATCATCATCATCATCGATGATCTCATTTTGACTTCATTGAATGTGTGTGTGTGTGTGTGTGTGTGTGTGTTGAGTGTGCGGTTGATTTCAATCTGGAATATATTATTGTTAAGTTTGCTGGTTTTGCTGATGACAATACCAAAAAAAAAAAAAATCTACCATATTGATGTTTTGAGTTTTTTTTTCATGGATCATTGTGCATCAATTCTTTTCAATCGCGAATATATAAAATATTCTATCGGGTGTCGTTTGTTTGTTTTTATATGACGACAATGTTCGTCAGTGCAAACTAGATCCAGTGTCCCGAGTGAGTGATTAAAACAAGACTGCTTGAATGTATGTCTCATCATCAACTGGACTTGCAAATATTCTATTAGTCGTCAACTTCGAATGATGATTGTTCCATAATTAACACTTCACTATATTCAAATAAAAGATTTTTTTTTCTATGAATTTTTTTTGTTGTTGAATATTCTGTGTACGTTGTCTGAAAGTTTGCATTTCATTGTAAACATAATCTCTTTTTTTTCAATGTTTGTTTACCACTTTGAATGGTCAAAAAAAAAATCAGGATGGATAAGAAATCAGAAAAAGTTATCCATAATGATGATGATGATGATGATGATCAAGACAGCCTGTTTGAAAAGTAATTTACTCACATATAAACTAGAAGAATCCGGGATAATATTTAGGTTTTGACTTTTATTTTATTCGGATTCCAGACTTAAAGAATCCCCTAATGTGAATCAAATTATAATGATAATGATAATATAAATCCCCTTCTCTACCCTCACATTCATCACTATTTCCCTATAGTTTTTATATTATTATTATGTTTATTTGATAATAAAATTACTTTATATTCACCATCATCAACATCAACAATGGACACAAATAGACATACACGATTCTCGGAACCTTAATGTCATTATCATCTCTCTCTCTCTCCTTCTTGATTCTTGTTGATGTTAATTACGGTAACAACCAACATAACAACAGCAACAACAGAAATGCGCATTCTCTTCAATCATCATCATCATAGAATTAAAAGCGAAAAAAAAAAAAAAGTATTCAAACTGTGAATTTCATTCATTCGGTACATAAATAAATTAAATATAATTTGACTTTTCATCAATGTTCATCATTATTTTGCTTTCATATACAACACTAACTAGGTTAACTACGAAATAAAATTATTATTATTCTATCGTGGAAAATTCTAGAGTACTGAATCTAATTCTAATCATTATTGCAACAAATTGATGTTTAGTTTTTAAATAATTGATTTTTTTTTTTATTTATTAATATCATCATTGATAATTGATTGCTATAAAAACCCGGTTTTTCATTATCAGATCATTTAATAGATAAGGTTTTTTTTTCATTCTCTCCAACTCTGAATATTGACTATCAATTGGAACAAAAAAAAAAAAATTTTTTTATTAATTTTGAATTTGCAGGTTTTTTGACTTTTATTATCCACTCTCAATCAAATTGAACCAAACAGTGTGTTTGTATGCCATATGGGTGTGTGTGTGTGTGTGTGAATGATGTTGATCGACAAAAGATTCCACTTAGTAAGGTTAAATTGCACATGGTGCCACAGTGTGTGTCTGAGTGTGTGTGTGTGTGTGTGTGAATGATGCTACAACGGCATTGGCTAATTGAATACAAATCTAATTTGCATCCAATTCTATTATTCATTAACTTTTTGCTCTCATTTTCTTTTTCCATTTCATCTCTTTTTTTTCCAAATAGATTTTTGTAGCTGAAAACAAAAAAAAAAAAAAATTTCATTTGAATCTCCAAATGTTATGTGTTGTCATATTATGTTATGTCCATCCATATAACACAAGAATCGAATGTCGATTTCGAATATCGAATTTTTTTTTCTGTTTTGTTTTTCTTGTTTCTCCGTTGATAGATATCAGTCATATTTGTAAATATGAATAAAATATAGATAGAATTTGTTATGCACCTAATGCGATTCTGAAGGTTTTTGTTTTTGTTTTGGCATAAAAATGGGCCAATTTTTTTCACAACAGATCAAAACAAAAAAAACTGATAACAAGACACCAGAATTTAATGTAATATCATCATCATCATCATCATCAGCAGTGGATAATCTAATAATTTCCAGTGCAATGTAATGTATAATTGATAAGAATATGTGTGTGTGTGTGTATGCCTAACATTATCGTCATTTTCAATAATTTTTGATCATCAATCATATAAATATATACCATTGATCATTGTTGAATGTCCATGTTTTTTTTAAATTCATTCTAATTTATCAAATTAAAATGAATCAATTATCCAAAACGATTATTTTCTAATCTCATAATGAATTTTTTTTTCTGTTTTGAATTTAACATTCGTACCAAACAAAAAAAAAGAAAAGAAAAAACTTTGAATATCACAAGAAATCGAAATGGAAAGCAATGAAGAAAAAAAAAACACAAAACAACAACAAAAAAACAAAAAAATGGAGAAAATTAAATTTAAAATGATCAAGTTGAAATGTCATTAATAATTAATTTGGCGCATGAAACATGACATCTAAAAGAAAGAAAAAATTGATTCGAAAAATTTTGTTTGAATAAAATTCCCAATCCAGAATTCCATACACACACACACACTCACATGTGGCTGGCTTTATTTTATATTCGTAAAAAAAGTATGTGCAGTTTATATATAGTGGAACAACAACAACAACATAATGAGAACCGTATTTTTTTTCTCTCTCTGCAAAACAAAATTTTTCTCTGTGTATCCCATTTGTGTATCCAACAAACACACACACACACACACACACAATGAATAATGTTTGGTTGAAACAACAACAACGACAACATCAACAGAAAAAAAACGAATTTGATTAGACATCGGTCGACAGCATCACACACACACACACACACACATCATCAAAATCTAATTATGCATGATAGATTTGTATTTGAATGAATGAATAATATGTACCGAAATGAAACAAAACAAAAAAATAGCATACGATATACGTTTTTATCTAGAATAAAATACAGAATAATCATCTAGTAGTGGGCATAGTGCAGTAATAATTACATCTTTGTTAATTTGAACCTAATAATTAATTAGATTCTTCTTCAATCGTCAATCGTATATTGACGAAAAATTAGAAATAGAAAAAGAATCAAAATTTGAACAAATTTTTGGACATATCTTTTTTGTTAATTAATTTCCATTTTCACCATAGAATTCGTCACAATAGAATCGAAAGAATCGTGTGAAAGGCAAAGAGAGAAAGAAAAAGATTTTTTTTTTCACACATTGCCTGAAGCAACAAAAATGATTGATTTATGTCAAATTAATTGTCACATCGTCATGTTATGTTGTGTGTGTGTGTGTACGACAAATCAAAAAAATTCAATATAGAACATTTCACTGGATTCGTGATCCAGATGTGTCCAACAACATCAGAGAAATCATTCATGGGACATACATGGCCCAGAAACTAACTGAAAATCCAGTCAGTCAGTCAGTCAGAATTTTATACATTCTTAAATTAATCAATTTTTCGTACATTAGTGAATAGAGAGAGAGAGAGATGATGGAAATTTGATCTTAAACGTGATTCTTCAAATACATGACATACGTATGATGATGATGATGATGATGTGAAATTGAATGAAAAAGAATCTAACATACAAAAAAATCCATAATAGTAAAAATAAATTGTATTAATTGTTAATCATATTATCTATCATCAATATTTGATTCTCATAGTTGTATATAATTTTTGTATAATTTGTTGAGGTCTCGTCTGGTCGGTTAGATTTCTGTCCTCTGTCTGGGCATATATATGTTGATGATGATGATGATGATGATGATAATTGATTTATTCATTTGGTTGGTATATACACACGTATCATTTGTATTTCTATTACACATCTACATCTGCACATATAAACACAATTTGTTAGGTTTTTTTTTGGAAATTAAATACAGAAAAAAAAATTCCGATTCGATTATATGATTATCGGGTTATTCTTGATAATCTCATCAAAAATCAATAATGATGATGATGATGATGATGTGATGTATCAGATGTGTTCGAATGTGTATTTTGAGGCGAGAAAAAAAAATTTGAAAAGCTAAATGCAAATTTCAAATGTTCGATAAAGTCATCACCATCATCATCATCATCCATCCCTTTCAATAAATGTCCATTATCAAATACATTATTATCAGGAATTGGTGGCAAAAGTCGATTGACACAAAGGAATTGTCGAATACAAACACACGACAGTCATCATCATCATCATCATCATCATCATCCGAAACAGCGACAACGACAACAAAAAAACGAGCATAATGATTCGGAAATACGAACAATAACAATCATCATCATCATCATCATGCAGCGGAACAATTGTTTGAATCAATCTTGATAATGTCAATGATGATAATAATGATGATGATGATGATGATGATGATTTTGTTTGTTTTGTTTTGTTTTCCAATTCTTTTGTTTGACCAGAATTTGGACACACGACTCGATTCGTGAAGGCATGGTTATGAAACAATAGTCCTAGTTGTATCTCGGAACAACAACAATGGAAACAGACACGAACACCATTTCAATAAAAGCAAACGGATCAATGGAATAGAGGGTAATGAGGAGGAGGTATGAGTGAATCCAAAAGTGTCAGACAAGCAAATTTTTTCAGTTTGTTGGTTGTCAAAAAAAAAAAAAAAAAATTCTTTCTTCTGTCACATGAATCACTAACAAATGATACTATAGTATAAAAGAAATTGATGTAGTTTTTGAGGACCAGAATCTGTCTGTGTGTGTGTGACACTTGACATGATGACGGAAATTGTCGTATGTTGTTTGTTGTTTTTAACTTATTCACACAATGTTATGCTAATTTGAATATACTAAAAAAAAAAAAATTATTTGTCACGCGTTTGAGCCCCTTTTTTATCCATCATCATCACCACTTTATGAATTGAATCTAATGTAAAAATCATGAATAGCAGTGTTGTTGTTGTTGCTGCTGCTGCTGCTGCTATTGAAAATTGGTTTTGTTATCAATTTTTCAATCGAAATTCGATCAGAATTACGAATTACACATACACACACACACACAATATGCATGTGTGTGTGTAAATTTGATATTTAAATTGGAAAAGAATTCATTCCCACTGTATATGAATATTATGATGATCAATTGATGGTGACAATAAATTAAATTCTTCAAATTTTTTTTTTCGTTATAAAAAAAAATTCACAATTTTATTCTATTTTTGAAACTTGTCAATTGTTTTTTTTTTGGATTCTGTATTCTGGTTCGTGAATAAATTGTTGACATGACAACAACAACAACAATTGATGATTCAATTGATTCAGTGAGTTAGTGAGAAAGAAAAAAAAACGAAATTAACCACAAATATCGAAAATGATTGTGTGTTTCCATACATTTCTCCATTAGTAGATGATTTTCAATTCAGAAAGTACTGGTTGTTGTGGTTACGATGATAATGTCGTTCTGAATTTATAGGTAGGTAGCAAAAGATAATGGGAAAAAAATTGGAACAAAAAAAAGCCTTCACACACACACACGCATACATTTATAGGCTTCGGCTATCTTACCTATAGGTTGGTTCATGACAAAAATTTTCCTCTCTCTCGATCTCGATCTCGATCTAGCATTCAATTTTGGTTCAAAAAAAAAAAATTTTTTGATTGTTGACCGCCCACCGACAAATTACATCACACTGTATAAATGAACTGTTTTTTCCATCATCAACATCAAACACTAAATTGTTTCATTGAATCTACAACGAACCGTGGTGTAGATATTTATAGCAACAACAACAACAACAGCAACAACAACAACAGCAAAAGTCTATTATCCGGGTAAAATTATTTTTTCCAATAAAGACAACATTATTATTATTGTTTGGTGATGATGATGATGATGATATTAATTTTAGTGAAAAACAAAATATCATCATCTAAGCACAAACGATGTGCCAAAATATCATTTTTTTTTGTTTCAAACAAAATAAATGAAAATCTAATGATAATTAATGGCATTTTAAATCGATCCAACAGAAGAATCCATAGTGAGAAAGTGAGATAGTAAATTGCGGTATCCATGTTGATCCTTTTTACGATCCGTTACTCTTGGTTGATTTTCATCATCATCATCATCATCATCATCAAAATTTAAAACTAGATCACCGAGCAGTGATTGTAAATTGAAAAAAAAGCAATTTACAATTTTCAATGCAACAACAACAACAGAAAAAAATATCATCTGAATCCTGTTATATTTCATCGTCATTAATATTCAGTAGTGAAAAATAAATTTTTTTCCTCTCAACCACAGAATAACATGATGATGAATGGAATGGAATAAAAAATAAAATCACGTTGAAAATGTATAAGAAAAACGACGACGATAATCCTCAATCTATTTAGAAAATGGGAATTTTTTTATTCTGTTTTTTTTCGAGAATATTATTGAGAATATAATACACTTGCATTCTCATTCATTCATTCATTTTTTTTTAATTCTGTTGAAACAAAATTACCTCTCCAGAGAAATATTTTTTTTGTCATATTTTCCATATTAAGCTGAAGAAAAATATGTGGATAAATGATGATGATCATTACAGTCGAAAAAATTGCCCATACTCGTCTTCTATTGAAAAAAGAATAAATTGAAAATCTCATCCATTTAAATCAATCTGATGAATTCATCATCATCAGCCACTAAAAAAAAGGTTAATTATTCAATTACATTGAGCGAGAAAAAAAACAAAATTCTACATGAAAATCTATGAAGAATATCGAAAAATGCATAAAACAACAGTGTTCAAACAAATCAATTTAATCTCAAATTGATTTTTCGTTCGTACCAATAAAAATAAAAAATCATTTAGTCAAACCGGATTCCGAGAGAATTTCATTATATATATATATGATAGGGGAAAAAAATGACTGAGTAGTTTTTTTTCTGGAAAACAGAAAAAAAATTACCAGAATCCAGTAACTAGATGATTACAAGATTGAATTGAACAACGTTTTTTTTCCAATCGACAACGAATCACATATATGTGAATGATTCATTCTTGGTTTTTGTTTTTGGGTAGAAAAAAAACCAAATATTTCATGTTGTTTATATGTTGAAAACATTTATTTTTCTCCATTCAATTAATCAACATGGCATCCGGTCGGTCAACAACAAGAACAGATTTGGTCAGTCCAACATAACATGAACATGAACACGTTAATAGTGTGTTAGAGTAATGGACCGAAGCCTTAGTTTACTAAAGTATGAATACCATTGAAATTTTAACAATTCTATTGTATTTTCAGATGACCATTGGTCAAGCCAGAAAAACAAACATGAACAACAACAACAACAACAACAAAATTCCTAAATCAATCATTTTATTCATCATTTTTTTTTGTTCAAGTAATAACAATCATAACACAATATAAACAGGAAGACGATGTCATTTAGAGAAGAAAAAAAAGCGAATAGGAAAAGGAAATAACAAATTCGATTGAATCTTTTGTGTGTGTGTGTGTGTGGTGATTATAACAGTGACCAACAATGATAATAAATGAGAAAAAAAAAGCAACGAAACGAAATTTTCTTTTTTTTTCCAATGTTCCAGTTAATCTAATAGTTAATTTGTTGTTGACTCAAATTCGTTTATTATTGTTTTATCAAGTTTTAAAAGATAAAATAAATTGATTGCAAAACATTCAACATTGCTAAATTGCTTTCACATTGCATGTTTGAAGAAAAAGTTTTCTTTCCTTTTCCGGAATTATGATGGAAAAATCTGTACAAAGAAAAAAAAAAAATTATTTCAGAATTTGTTGACAAACTACTACTAAAACATATGATATATTTACCTTTTAAAATGAAATTTCGTTTCTCATTACGAATATCTGCAAGAATGAAATTCAATCGCATTGCTAAATAAACTGTATTCTGTTTCTTTCCATATACTTTTAATGTTTCACACAATTGTCGACATTTACTTGGTTGATTGATTATTTGTTTTATAATCGATTCAAAAGCTTGAATATTTTGTTCACTTTTTAAAATTGTTTTCTTTATGTCGATTATGTCAGCACAATTTAAATCAAAAATATTTGGTAATTTTATCGATTTAATTGATTCTTTGTTCGATTCCATCGGGGTTTCAATTGGAAGCTTTTCAAAATATGCAGAAGTACGATCAGAAATGGATCTTTTTTGTTTTGATGATGAATCATCGTCGGTTTTGTTTTCGTTTGGGGCATTTTCTTCGGAAACTGGCCGGATTTTCTTGTTATAATATTCACCAGTTAAATATTGTTTGCGTTTTGGTATGATTTGTTTCTCTCCAAATGAATCAAATATACTTAATTTATCGTTTTGTTGTTCTATTTTTGGTTTGGCAGGAAATTTATCTTTAATTTTTGTATAATCTGAAGCCAAATTGTTGAAAATAGCTTGAATTTCATTATCATCTTGATGATTTGATTGTTCAATTTTAGATTCACTTTGAGGTAGTGGTGGTAACCGTAAAGGTTTGGAATTTTTGTTCTCTATATCTCTATGTACATTGGTTGATCTTTTGAAAAAAGAATCAATCTGTTGAATTCGTTGTGGAAAAGTTAATGATGCATTTTCACGTTTAAAGAATGGAATTATCCATCGTGAGAATCCTTCTCTTAATGATTGAAAACGGCTATCACATAAAACGATCATACCATAGTCATTTTTATGGCGAATAACTCTGCCTACCGATTGATTTAATGCTCGTTTCATTTGTAGCATATACCATTGGGAGCCACTAAGTCGGCATTTGTTTTCATTTAGATATTGTTCTTTAAGTACAACTTTAGGATCATATTTGGCTGGATAGGGCAAGCTTATTATCATTACGGCACGACAATAATCATCGCCTAAATCCATGCCTTCCGAAAGTTTACCACGTGAAACGCCCATAAAAATAGCACCTTCTGGTGTTTCATCGCATGCATATTTAAATTGTTCTATCATTGGATTGAATTCTCGTTTGTTTCTTGGTTCGACGAAAATTTTTTTCACTGAAGAAAGCGATGCCCACAGATTAAATCCCATCGATGATTTCCATACATCAATACATTGATTGATCAATGAATATGATGAGAAAAAAATGAAAATGCCTTTTGGAACTTTTTTGGCAAATTCCAGAATGGTCAAACCAAGACCAGAAGTAAATTTTATATCATTACGTTTATCATATGAACCACAAAGTAAATTGCCATTCGGATCTTTGGCCACCACTTGTATTGATAATTGATCACTTAATATTACATGAGAATTTTGTAGTTTCACATGAAACGGAATACCCATTTCCATTTCAAATGATTCAAGTGGTGCCAATGTACCGCTGGTTATAATCAAATTGTATATTCCTTCTCGTTTCAATGATTGAATTGCAACACTTGGACTCATACACCTACAATAAGAAATTGGTTAAAATTTCAAGAAAAAAAATTCAAAAAAAAATACATTCACCATAAGTAAACGGTCCAGTTATTTGGAACAGAATGAGTTAACCATGTTTTTTGATAACCATTTTCACGATCGATTTCAGTGTATAATTTATAATTTTTAACAAATTCACGTTTTTTCGACGACATTGATTCTCCTTCTTCAATCTGTGTGAATGGTTGAACAATTTCAAGAAATGAACAAACTGCACCCAATGCAGCAATCGATTGATTGGACATGAATCCCGGTGTGGAACTCATTACAACAGCACTAATTTTTTCACAAGTATTAGAGACTAGTTTAATATTTTCATAAGTCAAATTAACTTCATTTAAAATATTGAAAATTTCTTGAGTATCATGTGCATCTTTCTTATGTTTATCTTTGTTTACCAAATGATCCAATTCTTGTTCAAGATTCGAAATGATCAATTTAACTTTAGCAACATCGTGTATATCTAAATCGGATAATTCTTTATCATTAATGCCTTCATATGTACCATCATTCAATTCTTTTAATGATTTTAATACAATATCGAATGAACGAAGAAACAATGCCAACATTTCAGATTTTAATTCAGTAGACATACTATCTTCACAAACACGTTCAATATTATGGCCTTCATCAAAAATGATAATCGTATTCTTGATATTTAATTTCAATGTTTTTCGAATTGATGGATCCAATATATAATTGTAAGGCATAAATGTTAAGGCAGTATTGTAATCGGCCAATTCTTTAGACATATAGTAAGGGCATGATTTATGTTCATTACCAAATGCAATTAAATCTTCAATATCATAAATTTTTGAGCCACAAAAACTTAGATCAGAAACTATACGTTTATAATTATGATGATATGAACAAAGATCATACTTGACCTTATGACGACAGATTTGATTTTTAGCCGTAATATTTTCAAGTTTCATCACATCAGGATTAATACATAATTGATCACGTGATCCAATTGTAACACTGGGACAAAATTGGTAATAACAATTTTTCAATTCATTTGAAGCCTGATTCAATTGAGAATGTGTACGAGAACTATAAATAATTCTTAATGGATTATCTTGTTTCCAAGTTTTTTTCCATTTTATTCTTTTCTTTTTTGCTTCCATTATCATCAGATATGATCAAATCATCGGAAAATACAATATTTTTAGGCGCACCATTTCCAATTAGTTGAGAATCTAGTTCTTTAAATTTTTGATTCTCAAGCCAAGCAAGTGTAGAACAAAGTAATGATAATGTTTTACCAGTACCAGTAGGACTTTCGAGTAATGCATTTTGTCGCTATAGAATGAAATGATACAAAAACAAAAATTCCAATTATCAAAATGAATTATTTAAATAATAAAAAAAAACTTACACTATTCAATGCTTTAATGACAGAACGCATATAATCAATTTGTATATCATATGGTTTAAATGGAAATATCACAGTAATACCTTCGATTTCATTATCCATTTTGGGATATAATCATTGGAAAAAAAATGAAAAATAAAAAATATACAAACACGTTCATGTGAGTTAAATGAATTTGCGCCAAAATGAATGCAGCAACACAAAAACAGTGTTTTTTTTTGAAAAAACTATTTGTACATTATTGAAACCACCCAAATAGATGGCGTTATAATCAATGGATACACAGCACACAAACACACATTATCCTTCGAAAAAATATATATTTATTTCATTCATTCATGTGGATCATGTTGCTGTGTTTTGTTTTTTTTTTTGTTTTGTTTTGTTTTTGTTCACAACAAAATGTTTTATGTGTGTTGATGTGAACTATTGGAAACATTTTTACATTTATTGATCAACCATCATTTTTTATTGACATTTGAAATGAGAATATTTTATCAGAAAAAAAAACCATAAATGAACCATGACACCTGTCAATATCAATGGAATATCATAATGATGACATTTGAAAATAAATTTTTTAATGAACAAAATGAATCAATCGATTCAAAGGTATTCTTATTTTATCCGAATTCCACGATTGCAATTTACCTCGAATTCAATAAAATTTTTGCATTTTTTCACTTCATTCAACTTTATGAAAATGTTTGATGAAGCTTTGAAAAATTTTTTAATTTTATCATCATTGATTGATCATTATTGATTAACACTGCACGTACACACATCTCATATACAAAAATGCTACATGATTTTGATCATTTTGTTCTTTTTTCTTGTATTGATTTTTTCGTTTCGCTATTAAATGGCTGAATTTGGCATAGTGAATTAAGCACACACACACACACATACATCAAAAAAAGCAATTTGTTTGAATTTGAATTTCAAGCAATAAAAGTGATAATCACCGGTTTAAACCTCAAACAACTAGCCCAAAAGAATAAATCATCATCATCATCATCATCATCATAATTATCATCAATCAGATGGAACATCATTTCATCGATAACAAGGTTTGTTTATTTTTTCTTTTCTTTATATCATCATTTTTTTATGGTCATATTTTGAAATATAAGAATTTTTCCATATCTTTAACTTATGATGATTTGTGTATTTCGTAATTTCCGATAAAAAAATCAATGAAACACACACAACTTTAAATGAAATTCATCTATATATCAAATGAATTCTTGTTCTTCGTTTGTGTGTATTATCGATCATTCTTGTGAATCCTATATTAGAGATTCGATTCTGATGAGTTTTTCGACCCGAGAATCGAATTAAAGAAACAGGAAAAAAACTAATCATCTAAATTGGTTTTTTTTCGGTAGTCATCATCAACGATTATTTTTCTCAAGATTATTATGAAATTGTACTAGTTTGTGTGTGTGTGTGTATATGGTGAGGCAAGAATTTCTTTGGAAAAAAAATTATCCTCAAGATATCCACAAAAGATTGTGGCATTATATAGAATTCTTATGAATACAAGAACCAAATATTCAAGAATATAGAATATTCCGGTTTATTCAAGGCCAAATTTTCTTGTTTTTGTTTTTCTTTGGACATCGATGTGTGTTTGTGTGTGTGTGTCATATGAAATATTAAAAATTTATTCCAAAAGCTAGAGAATTTTCTTTTTTTTGTTGTTGTTATCATAAGTCTCATTGTAAAGTTTATTATTATTTACGTTGTTTAAATTTTCATGGTTTTCCGGTGCATTTATGCAACACCTTTGTCATCATCCATTTCACAAACAACATACGATAATGTCGATATATTTTTTTCATTTGTCATCAATACTCAAAAAGCCATTCCTAAATGTGCCAAACATTGATAAATATTGATGATGGTGTAATAAAGAAAAGAGAGAGAGAGAGAGAGGGAGAAAGAGAAAAAAATTCTTGCAATTAATCCATTAAATCCAACATTTCTCGGGTAAATGTACCGATTGGAATCGATTTAAAATAGAAATCAAAGATTACCCTCATGTGCCTCATGGTAACAACCTTGATTTTATCGATAAAAAAATAAATTCTTTTTTGTGTTCTTTTTTTTGTTTGTTTGTTTGTCTTGTTGACAACGACATTGTTTAATATTGACAAAAGATGATGATGATGATGGATCCAAGTTTTTTTTTACTTTTCTTCAAATTCTCTGTGATATTAATTTTTTCTTTGTTGGTTGCCTAGCTAAATTTTTTATTTTAAAGTTTTTTTTTTTGCCAGGTTGATTGACATTGATTGAGTTTTGGACAATTATGATTTCTTCAATGATGAAAAAGGGTGGTTTTTTTATTTTTTAAAAGAATGTGTGTTGATTCGAGAGAGAAATGGAATTTTGAATCCATGGCCATCATTTTTAGAATTATGCAATTCATATATGTTCGAAAGATGAATAATCCATCATCAAATGAAAATTTTTAGCTTTATTTTTTTCTGTTTGAAAGAAATACGCCATTATAATGTATGTATGGTTTTATGTGTGATACTGATTGATTAATATCATCAATCCATTTGTATTCATTGGTCGATCGATCGATCGATTGATTGATTGATTGATTAATCTATTTGATTGAGTTTTGATTGTTGTGCAATAACCTCCCTTTTCAATCATGTATTTTTTTTTGGTTCTTTCCTTTTTCTTGTACAATTGATTTGATGATTCAAAATATCATCTATGGATGGATAATGATGATGATGATTATGGTTATTATTATTGTCATAATCATCCATACCTTCACTTGAACATTGTTCAACTATTGTATGGGTTTATCGTTCAATTTTAAGTTTATCTTCCTTTCTCTACATTCAATTATAATTATCATTTTTTTTTGCAATTTTCAAACATACATAACGCGATAAAAAAAATGATATCGTTTCATTTTGAAAAAAAATCATTTGAAGTGATATGAATGAAACAAATGATGATGATGATGATTTATGATCTGATCTAATCGTAATCATCATTATGAGGAAAAAAAGATAACTGGTGTATATATCCATCCGTCCATCATTATTCATATCAATAGTAGGCAATATTGTACATTACGATTTAAACATTGGATCGTAATTATTGAATCAAGGTTGGCTCCATAAAGTCTAAGTTTCATTTTTTTTTTTTTTTATTAGCATACAGACAAAATTGAATTACGTTTTCCTCAATCATGATGATGATGATAATTGACCTCCGGTTATTTACCAACTACTACTACTACTACTAATCCGACCATTTTTTTCTGGTTTACCGATCAAAAAAAAAAAAAAAAAAAAAAAATGCTGACGCTATGTCTGCGCATATATGTTACACGTATTTGTTAAATATTGATTTGAATCGATTTTTAGTGTCATCAAATTATCATATATATTAAAATATGAATTTGAGAGAGTGATCGAAAAAAAACATGAAATTTCAAGGATTTCCGCCAAAGTGAGAAAGATAGGGTTGTTGTTTTTTTTTTTTTGTTAATAAAATGAAATTTTATAATGATAATGATTTATTATAATTATTACTGTCATCTAATGACAATAATAATAAATTATCATCTCATTAAAAACGTGTGTTTTGCATGTGTGTGTGTGTGTGTGTGTGCGTAGCTGATATTTAACATTCATTTTTCACAGGATATATCCGGTTAATATACAATGTCCAATCTCGTTGTTAATTTTGAGCGAGCGCTCGCGCCAAAAATTTCCCATTTTTTTCTGCATTTTAGTATATAGATATTTTATTTCCATTTAACATGTCATTTAAATGTTTAGATATTCACAGATGTTGGTTTTTTTTTGGTAATTGTGAATCCTCTTTATATCAATGAATTTTTTTTTTTTTTTTTTGGATTGATGTTGAAATTAATAAACAAAACAAAAAACCGAAAAAAAAGAAAAGTGACAAATTAGAAAGAAAAAAAAGATTATGTTTCTCCGGATTCCCTTCTCGATGATGATGATGATGATGATGATGATCCATCTTTATCCTTAAAAATTCGTAGATTATTATTATTATTTTTTGTTTGGTAATGAGATATACATGCGTGTTATTATCACCATTTTTTTCATTTTCTTGTATATTATGGATACAATATCGTTTTCGTTGTCGTCGTTGTTGTTGTTGTTGTTGTTTTGTTGATTATGCAATCCACATGGCTTTCATGCATTATTGTATATATGGCATGCCATACCATGCACTCGTAATCGATACATTCTATACACACAACCAAAAATCATACAAAATAAAAAGAAAGAGCCACCATTCACCACCACCACCACCACTATGTTTATCTAACCGGAGTGAACCAAAAATGTATTGAATTAATCAAAAAGGAGAAAGAAAGAAAGAAAAGCCAGCCAAAGCCATGGCATGTATGTTCTGGTGTTCACTAGTTTGTTCCAGTTTATCATCATCATCATCAACCGACGACAATGATGGTGATTTAATAGCAACGATGTTTTTGAAGCTTGATTGTAAGATTTTTTCTCTTTCACTATATAGCTTTGCTTCTTCTTCTTCTTCTTTGCTATACATTCATTTGAAGTTCGTATTCATCAAATATGATACTATATCCTATTTTGATGATGATAAACAAGGTAGCCAAAGTTGTAGTAGCATATTTTTATATGTAAATGATTTGGATACAATGAATGATAATGAATGCTGCAACCAGTGTGTGTGAGTATGAAAAAAAAATGTTCGCGCGAGTTTGGAACACAATGAAATGAAGAAAAAGAGAGAAAGAAAGAGAATCTTTATTTAGAATTTTCATTCAGGTAATAATGATAATGATGATGGATCAGAATTTAATTTAGTTGCGAATAGATCCAAAAGGTTTTTTTTAAACATAGAACTAATGATGATGATGAAAAGTTTCATTTACATTTTGTCTATTCTGTTTTTTTTTCTCTTTCGTTGTTTGAATTTTTCAGTTTTTTTTCATAGTTGAATTCAATCAATTTTTTATTTATTGTGTTGAAACCTGGTAGTGGTGTGTATGTTTTTTTGTAGGCGGTGTTCGTGATGATTGTTATTGTTATTGTTGTTGTTGTTGTTGTTATGACTGTGGTTATGATCCCTAAATAAATCCAGTTTGAACTAGTAAATATAAAATGTTCAGTTCATTCATTCGTTAGTTCACTGGTTTGGTTTTTTTTCCACTCTATTCTAATTCGATACGAATCTAATCGATTGATTCTTTTTATTTGTAAAATAAAATCGAAATTTGAATTTCGAAACTAGGAAATGTTTTTTTTTTTAATGAAACACATACACGCACCACACACACACACACACAGATGTAGAAATAATCAAAAATTTTAAATGGCAATACAGTACATTGGACCCTAAGAATTTTTTTTAACATTTGCTCAAATCATCATCATCATCATTCATTATTATGTTTGGAACAACTGTATCAGGAATCGAATGTGGGAGCGACAAATAAAATTCTATATTTCTTTATTATGAAACTTGTGTGTTTTTAATAATAATAATAATATTTGCCGGTCTCAATTTTTTTTTGTTTGGATTTCCACCTACTTACTGATGTTTTCATCATCAACATCATCCATTTATTGTTGTTCCTGGAATTTCATTTTTTTTTCTTTCGTTCTTAAATATAATCTGAATTTCTTTCGTTTTGTTTTGTTTTTTTTTTTTGAGTGATTGATTGAATGAATCCAACAATCATCATTATCATTATTATTATTAACCACCACCTTTATATGGCAGCCATCATCAACATACCATTAACCACTCCGTTAGCGAGCATCCTACACACACACACACACACAAAGATATATAGATACTATTATATCTATATAATATAAAGAAAGAAAGAGAAAGGATCCTCAATACACGATATATTCGAGAATAAACTAGCTGTGACTTGAATATCATTCAGCTTATAGTAGGATCCAATCATACATACATACATACATATACAAACATTATATATATGTATTCATTCACCACTCTTTGTTTCTCTCTTTTTATATTACATTACATTGTGTGGAGATGTGCAAGTGTATTTTTTTTTTTTGGTAAATGTGGATTTTGAAGTATGTATGTGTATGTGTGTATGTGTATGCTTTGCTTTTTTCTTCGATAGAAATATTCTCAAGCTTGAGATATATATGTTATATACATACACACACGGCGCCGCTCCAAGCATCATTGTTGTTGTTGTTGTTGTCGTCTTCTTCATATTATAACCGACAATTGATCATGATGATGATGATGATGATGACGACCACGACGACAACCACCACCACCACCACCACCACCAACCATCACCATCATTATCAACGACAAGAAGAAGAAAAAAAATCATAACAACACATAAACCAATCGAATCTTTTTGTGTGTGTGTGTGTATGTGTGTTTTATATACACATTTACGAAAATCTAAAATATAATCCACAATTCAAGCATAACTGGAATATTATTTTTTTTTTTTTACTTCAACTTCAAATATTTCTAATCAATCATGTGGAATTTGTGATTAATTTATTTCAATTTTTTTTTTTTCTTTCTTCTTTTCAAAATATCAACGAATTATGATGATTAGAATTTTTTTTTCGTTTCGTTTTGTTTTGTTTTTCAATGAAACAAAATGAATATTTTGAATGAATAATAATCATAAAAATGGATGATCAATTGTGATCATCATCGTCATCGTCATCGTCAACGAAATTATTCCTTTTGCGTTTGTGATCCAGAAGAAAAAAATTTTTTTTTTCATTGTTCATTTGTTTTCTTTTTTTAGTCGTTGTCGTCATCTTTTCTATTCAAGAATTTATCGTGATTCTTCATTTTGATGAGAGAATTTTATTTTTTTGTTTTGTTTTTATTTTTTTTTGCTTTAATTTTTTTTTCTACTGCAAATAAAAAAGATATCCTCATGTGTAAGTTTCTTTGTGTGTGTGTGTGTGTGTGTTTTTACCATCATTCACACTTCCGTGATCGATTTTGATCATAAATTTTGTTGTTGTTGTTGTTGTTGTTATTGTCGCTGTCATTGCTATTGTTATTAAAATATAATAATCGTTGTTTGTATTTTGATTTGATCAATCCGATTCCTATCAATCAACTGTTTTATAATTATACACAACACATCCACATTTGTTTTGTGTGTGTGTGTGTGTGCGTGTGTGTATATATACAATACATTTTCAAAAAAAAAATTGTCGTTTCATTAAGCTAATTTTATTGGTAGCTTGATTGTCAATTGTTTGTTTGTATCGTTTTGATGATTATGATGATAATGATGATTATGATATTTATTTTCGGTTCTATTCACCGTTTCATTTTGTTATTTAGAATTATTTAAATATGTCATCATCATCATAATCATCACATGTTTTTTGGTTGCTTTCATTTCAAATAGGTAGTGTAGACCATTTTTTTAACGATTATAATGATAATGACATGATAATGTATGAATGAATAATGGAATAAATTTTCTTGTTTTTGAATATTGAATATCGGTGGTATGTTGTTATTGTTATTGTTTTGTTGTTGTTTTTTTGTTTTACCATAAAAATAATAACGGCAATTATTTCAATTTCACTCACAACAACATTTGTCTATAGAGGATGTAATATCTACAAATAACAACAACAAGAATGACAACAAATTCTTTTTTTTCACGAAGAATTACACAACGCACTGTTTTTTTTTACTATACACACGACAGTATTAGAAAAAATTCTTTTCATGTTTGTTTGAATGAATCCAATTTTCTTTATCCATTTCATTTCCGGTCATCTAATAATTATAGAATGATACAAAAAAAACAATCATCCACAAATCCGTTCGGATTTTTATTCTGTAAAATTCTAATTCAAATTTATTTTTTAAATCTATATCAGAATGTCTTGTTTGTCATCATCATATAAAAATACACAATGATTGTCTACATAAGCATACAGGGAGGGTTTGACAGTCATATGAACATCAACAACAACAACAACAACAACCGAACGAAAATCCGAGCAAAAGAAAAAAAAATTTATCACTCAAATTTTTTTTTTTTTTGTATGAATGGATTTCCCGTGAACATCTACGTGAAAGAAAAAAAAATTTCACGTACACCACCACCACCACCACACATCATCATCATCGTCATAATATGGGCAATATGCCAATATTATGTCGGTGTGTGTGTGTGTCTTTGTTTGTGGGCTGTTCTGTTTTTCAAAGATGATAATATTGTTGATCTTTTTTTTCCATACAGTTATGTATGTGTGGCCGCAATTGAAAGTTAATCTAACAAAAAAAAAAAAAAAATTTTGATTTAAATTTTTTTTTCCATTTTTATTGTTGTTTTTTTTTCTCGCTATTGTCAATTATCATTTCAAACAACAACAACAACATATTCAGTTCAATCATATCGATGAGGTTTTTCCTTTTTTTTTTTCTTTTTCTCCATGTGTCCAAATGAGAGACAACAACCAACAACAACAAAAAAAAAAAAAAAATTATCTGGTCGACCAATTGTGTCTAGTGGTTGGTTGGTTGGTTTAGTTTGGTTTGGTTCACATGATATTGTGGTAACAATTTCATTATTTTTGTTATCATCATATTCGATAACGACAGGGAAATTAACAAAAAAAAAAAACGAAAATGATTAAACGACCGACAAAACCATTGACCAACGTGATTGCCATTTCCGGTTGTCGTTCTCATCTTGTTTTTGTTCGTCATTGAATTGAATCAGAAAAGAAGTGGAAAAAAATGTAAAATCCGTTTTATTTTCAATATTTATATCATCTTTTTCAAAAGATGATATTTTGTCGTTGTCGTTCAAAAAAAAAAAAAAAAAAAAAAATAGATGGATTTGTTTGATTGATTGATCGATTGTGATCGATCGATGGTTCAATTTCCATATATTGAAATTGAATTTCAATATGTTTCCATATGCTTTGCATGCATACACGCACATCATCATCATCTTATTGATGGCTATCACGTAATTGAAATTTGGTTTCATCATCTCTAATTTCAATTGATTTAATTCTAAACGAAAAATCAAATAAAATAATGGGCTAGGATCTGACCAATTTAGATGTTTCGGTTAATATTTGTCAACGTTTGGTCATTAAACTTTTATTTATTTATTTGAATACTTAATGATGAAATTAATTTGATGTTTCTAAATGTTTTTTTTCTCTATCTATCTATTTATCTTTTGTTTTGTTGCTCTAGATTCGTTACAAACACATCAATTTGCCAATTGCTTCCTTTCCATCCTTATTCCCAATACAAATTTTCTAATGTTGTAATAAAGCTTTTGGAAAATTATCAACCAACCAAACAAACAAACAACCAACTAAACTAAATCATCCGTCGTTAAGCTTTGAGCGAAGATAATAATAATAATAACAAAAAAAAACTCGTCCAAATGGTTGAATATTTTCATGATTTCAAAATGTCCCTCGGTCTCAAGGAGATTGTTTCGAAGAACAAACTCCGTTATAAAGAAGATGGTTACGATCTGGATCTTTCCTGTATGTATAATCAACAATGAAAAAAAAAAACTAAACTAAACTATAGGTTTCTTGGAAATTATTTTGATTTTTTTTATTTATTTTCTTTTGTTTAATTTTATTTTAATTATATATAAAGATATTTCTAGGAATATAATTGCCATGGGATTTCCAGCTGAAACATTAGAACGAATATATCGTAACAACATCAATGAAGTGGTCAAATTTTTTGAAGAAAAACATAAAGATCATTATAAAATATACAATCTTTGCTCTGAAACAAAACGTCGTTATGATACATCAAAATTCAAAGGAATGGTTGTGGAACAATATTCATTTCAGGATCATAATCCACCTCCATTTTATATGTTAAAAGAATTTTGTGAAAGTCTACATAAATGGTTAATTTCCGATTCAAACAATGTTGTTGCCATACATTGTAAAGCAGGAAAAGGACGTACCGGTTTAATGATCTGTGCGTATCTTGTTTACACTGGAAAATGTATTGATGAGCAAGGAAAATTTGTGACCATTGATGGTGCCGATGCGGCTCTCGATTATTATGGCCGACAACGAACACGTGATCATAAAGGAGTGACAATACCATCACAAAAACGTTATGTTCATTATTTTGAATACCTAGTCAAGCACAATCTCGAATATCGGCCCAGCCATCTTAGGCTAACATCTTTGATTCTAACTTCAATACCGGTAAATAATGGTGGTGCCTATACATTGATCTGTGAAATTTATCAAATACCAAAGCAAAAAATCGAGTCATTTGAAATTGAAATGAAGAAAGGCCAAAAATATCTGTTTTTCACTTTACCTAAACCGTTGATTATTCATGGTGATGTTAAGCTAGAATTTTATATCAAAAAAATGAAAAAGAAATTGTTTCAATTTTGGTTCAATACATTTTTTGTCGGCTGTGGTTACGATACCGATACTTATACGATCATAACCGAACCATGTCCTCATTGTCCAAATGGTGAACGGATATCCATTCCTATTTCTTATCCTAATAGTACAGGAGAAATTGGTAATGGAAGCAATGGTGGCAAATCATCATCATCATCATCAATAATAATCACAAAGAATCCAAATGATCATCAGCCTGTGATTGACTTATCATTTTTCGATTTGATCAAGAATGAAAACAGTTTCGATCCCTGTGATTGTGCAAATTCGATTTTATTTCAATCGTCTGAAATTTTCGATTCAACCACAAATGTCCAAGATTATTGTAGCAATCATAATTCAAATTATAATAATCCTCTGTTTATATCGTCACAACAACTACCAAACACATCAGTATCATCGTTCAAATCATCTTCATCAACATCGTCTTCGAATAGTTCATCCACACAATCATTGTGTAATAATACTTGTAATCATGTTATAAATTATAATGGTAAAAAGACGAGCAATCCGGATATGATTCAAACATTCAATCAGGAAAAGTATGATTGAAAAATTTTAAAATTTTATTCTCAAATTAATTTGTTTTTATTATTATCATTTAATTTAGAAGTCTTCATCTAGTATTACCTAAAGAGAATCTTGACCAAGCATATAAAGATAAATCTAACAAAATTTTTCCTGCCAATTTCAAGGTAAAATCATTTGGTTTTTTTTATTCAAATTCAAAACATTTAATAATTTGTTTGTATTCCTATTCATCATTAGGTTGTATTAAAATTCAATCAAGATTCATTCGATGGTTTAGATACAACGATAATATCATCGAATGATCAATACATTTGTAGTGATTCAAATTGTAATCCATATGGTTACAGTGAAAGTGAGAATATTACCTCTGAAGATGATGATGATCCATCTGATCATGAATTAAATAATGGTAGTAGTAATCATTCTACATTGACAATGAAACGAACATCATTTGAGCCTAATAATCATAATCATAATCATAATCATAATAATCATAAACATCAACCAATACAGGCGAATCAATCATCATCATCAACAGAATTTGAGACGAATAATAATAATTTAGAAAATAAAAAAGGTAACAAAAAAGAATCATTATAAATGAAAATTAATTATTTTTCTTTCTTTCAAATAGGTGAAATGACCTATCTTTGACTAATTGAATGTTGATATATGGATATCAGCATAGAAAAAAAAAGTGAATGAAAAAAAAATCTCAACCTCATAAAATCTCATTTCTTCCTTCATTCTTTATTATCATTCATTTCGAATCGAATTAAACACAATACATACTCATTAAAATGATAATGATAAAAACACACCTGTGTGTGTGTGTGTGTGTGTGTTTACAAACACAAACACACCTACTTATTTAAAAAAAATTGTCGGTTGTTTCCGATTATCGTCAATCAACTAAAATAATTTTTTTTCCTTTTTTCATCATCATGTTGTCACACATTTTAAAGTATTACGATATATATTTTTTTCGAAATGTGAAAGTGAAACATAAACACCGAACGCATTTTATATTGCCCATATGTTGCGTTTTCTTTATCATCAATTATCATCATCATCATCATCATCATATGCCTCAACATCATTAATTAACAGATGGTTTTAAGATTTTGAAATTACCAACAGATTCAAAATTTATTTTGTGTACGTGTGTGTGTGTGTGTGTGTGTGAATGTGATCGATACCGTTCTATCATGACCAATTCACATCGGAAAAAATAATGAGAAAATTTTTTAGAAAATTATCCTAGATGATCAATCATACATCGTTATCATTTGATCATTTGGCCAAAAAAGAAAAAATCATGAGAAAATCAATTTTCGAAAAAAATGTCCGAAGAATAATCGACCTTGTTTAATTTTTTTTTCTCGTTTGATTATCTGTTAATTGATTATAATTGTTAATTTTTGATAGAAAAAAATACGTTTTTCTTTTTCTTTTTTCACCAATAATTTAATTCAAACATAAACACACACACACACACACACATAGGATAACGATATTGTGATGATCGTAATCGTGTATTGTGATTTTTGAAGAAAGAATTTGTTCATTCATTTTTTGTCTGTTCACAGAAAAAATTTTGTATTATTTTTTTTCCCATTGACCCACACATTCATACATACAACAAAAAACAACAACAACAAAATTCATTTTCTTCATTTAACTTATTTTTCTCATAATTATCATCATCATTAATATTTTCGTTTGTCATAAAATCGTTAATAAATCATATAACAGATATCTATAGATGTTTAAATCATCATTTTAAATTAAAATCTCATTTACACTTGTACACCCATACAAACACACACACACACAGAACAAATTGGACAAAAATGTTTGCATTTCAATCTCTCTCTCTCTCTCACTCATTGATTCAATATATGATGGATCCAATCACACACACTCACATCTTGTGAACCAATTATAATGATGATGATGATTAACTTTATTAACCAAAATCTCTCCTCACCATTTTGCCCATCCACCATTGACATATCCGTTTTCATTTTTCATTTCATTCTTCTTAACCTAAACTCCTTTTCTTTTTCGTACATATTTCCTTACCTTGAAATGTGGCACACACACACACACACACACACACCCACAACATCCCCACTTCCAATACATCTCAAATGTTTTTTTTTCACGGATTTATGTTATTGTCAATTTAATTTTTTCTCACTCACTCTCTCTCTCTCATTATTAATTAATTTTATTAGTCATTATTATTCGAATTTATTAATTAATTAATTAATTTTATCAATTATTGCTGAAAAACAAAAATATTTTTCCAAAATTACAAAAAAAACGATAAACGATAAAAAATCAGAACCGATTCACAACATATTATATGTACGAACACACAGAACACACGCACAGAAAGAATACAGCAACGAACAGACAAAAACAAAATATGATATTTTATGTGAACATAAACATGTTGATGATCACCAATGGTGAGCATCATTTCATCTTAAATTTCACAATTGATGATAATTGGCTTGTTTTCTTGAATGTGAATTTTTTTTTTAAAGATTGATTATTGTATGAAATTTTTTTTAGCAACGAAAAAAACGAAACAAACAATCCTAAAAAAACCTATAAATATTTAAAAAAAATTATCAAAAAAAAAATTTAAATTAAATAAAATCATGTGATTTAAAATATAAAAACCGTTTTTGAATCAAATTTTCAGATATTTTCAGTACTACTGGTCCAAAAAATATTCTACCGATTATAAAGAATATATGTATCAATCAATCAATCAATCGATAAGAAATATTGTAGTTGCAGAAATTTTTATTTTAATTTTCAATTTTTTTTTTTTTTATACAAGAAATTAATATTGCTAACAAAATTTTCGTTGCCGCCGTTTTGATTGATTGAAACCAATTGATAATATCCATATTTCCTTTTGTCCAATTTGTTCTTATTGTTGTTGTTGTTGTTGTTTTTTTTTACTATAATATAGGTGGTGTATTCTGTAATGAATCTGTATGTGTGTGTGTGTGTGTGTGCAGGTTTTTTTTTCGTTGAAAAATAAAGTGAAAAATAGTAAAATGATCGGAAAAAAAATAATTTGAAATTAAATTGATGATGATGATCAATTGAACAATGAATCAATGTGTACCGATGTGTGTAGTGATGATGAAAATGATGATCATTGATGAGACAATAAAATCGTTGTCGTGGTTGTATCACATAATATAATTATTTTAAAATCAGAAAGAGATAATGAAAAACGGTTTTTAAACTGTGTATCTGTCTGTGTGTGTGTGTGTGTGTGTTTGTGTGTCCAGAATTCAAATTCAGAATAAAAAATCCAAAAAAAAAACTAGTGAGACTCAACAGAAAGATAATGGATGGATGAGCTAAATTGGAATAAAAGCTTTTTTTTTGACAAATTTTTTTTCGGTTGATTACAATCTATATATAGATTTTCAATATTTTCATTCAAACCGTATGATATTTACAATACTAAAAAAAAATCATTTGGTTCGATGATTATACAATGTGACAATTTTTATATTTATAAAATAAAAAATAAACAAATGAAAATTGGTGGTTGAAGTATTAGTAGTAGTAGTAAAAAAAATCTGATATGGAACATAACTACATTGGCTTATCCATTTCATCATATGAAATTTCTTTTTGTATATTTTAGGTCGAAGAATAATTAGTCGAAAATTGAAGATGAAATGATGAGACGATCTAGCCGATGGCGATCTTGGTATTTGAATCGCTCGACTTCAGTAGGCTGGCACTCGAGTTGGATTTTAATAGTGATCTTGATGCAACAAGCACTAAATTCCAAATGAGATTCGAGGCCTCGATTGGCATTGCCAATCGTTTTACTCACTTTCGGTCGTTTCAAATGACATTTCGGGACAGAGGGTTGGCAGACCAGGTGCGGACGCTGTCAGTTTTGACGGAAACCCATTGTTCCATTGTAACCCAAGAAATCATAATGGGCTTTTTGTTCCATGTGTCCAGGAGTGTCAATTCCATTGTTGTTCGGGCAACAGTTTGATTCATTGCCCGTCAGTCCTTCATTCTCGGTGCCAAACTGTTGCTGGTCCAAGCGGATGACCATTTGTTGTTTAAGGATGACTCTTTTGTTCTCACTGATTTATGTAAGCTGGGACTCTGGGTCCGGTATCAACAGATGTCGATAATCCTGGCCGGATATGTTGGATGGAAATATCTCACGGTCTCATTAACAATGAAACTTCATGGCATTTCCATGCGTTTTGATTGATTATCGTTATAGCCAGGTGTTGGTCGGTTGGTGCAATATCGACTCTGTGAACAATGAACAGATTAAACTGCTCCGTCGAATGATAGCCAACCATTCCATTGTTCGCGATCCATCTGTTTAGACAAAAGAAAATTGACGGTTCTACGGTTTAGGATCCGTTCATAAATCAAGTGAAGAGGCCTATAACGATGGACATCTACCACCTTATCTTGACACCGGGGGCAGCGGAAAAACTCCGCCACATGGCTCATTGTTGCAAGTGGGATCTTCCTTATCGAGTATGTTGATTTGCATCTGAAATGAAAATAAATGTGTTATTAGTCGGGTGTGTCCCGCGTCACAAATACCGAATAGTACATTGTCTGGGTATGATGAAACACAAATGTTGAGGATATCACAAAAGTTTTCGATGGATCCATGAAAAAAAAAAAAAAAAATTTTGTAGCACAGTTTAGATGAACAAACAAAAAATTGTTGGATGAAAATTTTGGTCGGCGTAGTAGAATAAGGTTAATGATGAGTATAGTACGCCGTAGTGATACGATGGATGACCTTTGAGGAATCATTCGTCGTCACCGATTCCACGGCTGGGACAAATGGTTTTAACTTACCAATGTGTACCTTCTCTGTGCGATCTGGTAATTTTATTTCGAACATGACCTCCGATGTTTTGTTAATCACTTTGAATGGTCCCGGTACGCTGGGTCCAATTTTTCTTATTTAATTCATCTGCCAGATCGGCATATACCATGTCCCCAATTTCAGTTCCATGGAATTTGTTTTGAACAATACGTTTGAATTCCTTTTGGTAAAGCCGACTGGCTGTGCTCGAGAGCACTCTTACGGTCATTGTTCAAATCGTGTCCGTGGTAGATCTCGTCGGGATCTCTTCAGCCAGAAGATAAGCTGGGGTGAATTTAATTTTCTGTGGATGGTGTGATTATATTCGTCAGCTACTTCTTTCGCCAACGCGGACCGGCTTCGCGTTTCATCGATGAGCCCTTTTGCATCGTAGTTTTCTCCACTATGGTTTGTCCCACACGTTCGAGCCAGTCCATTGCTTTGTGGATGGGCGGTGGGTGTGAACCAACACAATGGATTTTGTTCTCAATGCAGATCTGAACCGATCGATTTGAAAGCTCCGTATCGGTCCGTCACAATTTCGACGGTGTCCCATCTTCTTCGATCTGCTGTAGAAGATTTAGATAATCTTGCGAATTTTGATGTTGGGATGCACGGATCAGATGAAACGGGAGAAAGCATCAATAGCGATGTCTGTAGATATCGGGTTTACCCGCGGTTCGAAAATCCACCTTTGAGTATCGATGTGGCCTGGTGTAGGGGTTCGGTGGCTGGTCCAAGCTTGTCGATTTCCCCATACTTTCGTATCTGCTTCTTCGCGCGTTTACAGATGTCACACCCGTTTACGATTTTCATAACCAGATCATTTGTTTGTTGGCGAAGTATTTGAGGGGCAAAATGGTTAGTCTTCACCATTCCAGATGTCCCTTTTCCTCGTGTATTCTCGCAGTTCTTGTAACGCTTGTTCAGGCAGATAATATCTTCATTACATCCTTACGCACCTTCACAATATGGTTATTGTGCTACACCCGCGCGGTGGATTTTGCAACAACGGTGTAGTACTTCAATCTGTCAAGTGACGGGACATTCACCTCGAAATTCGGGTTCGGGACAGGAAATCAGCTCCCTGGTTTATACTTAGCACACTATGTATCCAATGTCAAATTCGTATTGGTTTAGCCATGGCCCAGTTCATAACGCAGTGTGGTCCTTTTGTACGTATTGATGTATTTAATGGTTGTGGTCGGTGCGGATGGTGAATTTTCGTCCGTATGAATGGTAGTGCCAATTATTCCACCACTTCAATGATGGCTAAAGCTTCGCTGGTGACCACGTAGTTCCTTTGATGCTTTAGCAGTTTTCGTGAGAAAAATCACACCGCTGCTGCCTGCCCGTCATGTTATTGTTGTAACTTCCGAAGCTCAATGCCGATATCCGAAGCGTCAATGATGAGAATGGATCTTCTTATTTGGGTCGAAAATGTGTAGTACAAGCTCCGATGTGATGATTTCTTTGATTCGAATAAATGCGGCTTGCTTTTCCGCAGACCACTCGAATGATTTATCCTTCTTTAATAATTCATAGAACGGATCCAGGTTTTTTGTGCGATCGGGAATGAAGCGATGATAAAAATTGATCTTTCCCAAAAAACGACGTAGTGTCTTCTTATCCGTTGGCGGTGGGTATTCATTGATAGCTGCGACATTTGCTGTTTAATGGACAAATTTGATTTTCAGAGATATGATGACAAGATGTAACGGTTCTTTTCATGAAATGACATTTTGACAGCTTTAGCTTCAAGTTTTCTCTTTGCACTGCTGCTAACACCTTTTCAACATGGACAAAGGTGGTCTTCTTCTGATTTCGAGAAGATAATATGTCATCAATGTAATTATGGGCGAATTCAGTTGAGCCGTTTCTTTAGTATATTGTATACTATTCTCTGGAAAATCTTTGGTACGTTTCAGCCAGGCCATTACATTCCATTCAAAGTGTTCGTGCATTGTAACAGGCTGTTGTTTTCCGTCTGTCCTCTTCGGCCACCGGTATGTGATGAAAACCCGATGATATATCTAAGGTGGCGAAAATCTTTGCCCCTAAAGTCGGTCCTCGATATCTTTAATGTTCGGCATGGGGGTATCTTTCCGGGATGGTGATGGAGTTCAGTTTCGGAAGTCCACGCTGTATGATTTTCACCTTCATCTTTTTGTTTACGAGCACCACGGGAAAAGAATAATCAGACGTTGATCTCCGTATTGGGTTTTGTTCAATAGATCATTGACCGCAGGCGTCAATACGCTTTTTGGTCCACCACTGATGTGCGATACGGTTTTGGTTAATGGAATGTTGTTTTCCAAGAATTGATTAGCAACACTTGTCATTTCGTACTTGGCCCTACTTCCCCTTTGGTTTGAACAGAAATGATTCTTGGTACTCATCAACAGTTGTTGTAGGCGGGCTTCGAACACACTATTGATTTCGATTTGGTTTGCGTCTCCTCCCTTTTCCTGGACATTGTCGTGTTTGATTTTGTATGCTTCCTCATGATGATTTGGTCGATCTTGCCGTATGGTGATCGCGCGAGTTTGGACTTTTATAGGATAGCGTCCTCCTGGCACACAATGATTTGCATCCGTACTACGAAAGTGTGATTTCTTTTGATCCGCGCCTATTTTCAATTTGACGTCGACTGGTACCCAATTGCTTTTGTTTGTTGATTGGCTGTTTTATTGGTAGCTCGCCTGGTTGTGAATTTCAGTCCAAGTAATTTGCACTGTTCTTCATTCATAATGCAGTGTGTTGCTCCGAGTATCGAACATGGCTAACGATGGTGTTTGTTGAATTTGAATGGCGATCTGGGTTAATCAAGGTGTAGGCAAGGTGGAAGGCCGTTTACTTCCGGCGCCGTTGAGGTGGTCGTTGATTGTTTTGATTGCTGGTATTGGTTTGGCCTGTGGTCAGAGCGGGGCATAACCAAAACAGGTGCTCGCCTTTACAGCGATGGCATGTGTCGGACGTCTGGCCCGACAATCTTGTCGGCGGTGTCCACGTTAGACGCCAACTCGCATCTCCCACTTGCCTAATAAATTTGCCTTTTTCTCAGTCGCACTCGGTTGGCAATCCCTGCGGATGGCTTCACCACCACAAAACACACAGGATGGTGCTCCTTGGCGGAGAAGCGATTTTGATTTTGTTGTTCATGTTGATTTTGTTGGGAGCATGTAAGTTCAATCTGTTGTTTGATTTTGGAATGGTCTTGACATTGGTTGTCTATTTCTTTTATATTTATAAAATAAAAATAAACAAATGAAAATTGGTGGTTGAAGTAGTAGTAGTAGTATATAACATAACTACATTGGCTTAAAATATCTGATATGGAACATAACTACTGATTGGCTTATCCATATTCATCATATTATAAAGAAATATAAAAAATGGGTTATTTCTTTTTTGATAAATTTTCAGTAAAACAAAACAAAAAACTGCTGCTGCTGTTGTTGTTGTTGTTGTTGGTCAAACTGATTGAATCAAAAAAAATATAAATAATCATCAGGTATTATAAAGAAATATATCAAAAAAAATGGGTTACCGTGTTTGGGTGTGTTTGTGTGGGTGTGGGTGTAACGAAAACAAGAATTTGATAAATGTTTGACAGGAACAATTATTCAGGTGAAAACAAAACAAAAAAAATTATTGAAATGATAATGGGATGAGAATCAGAATTTTTTTTCTCGTCAAATAAAATAAAAGGACACAAATGATAATTTTAGCCTGTCATGTTTTGTTTTTTATGTGATTTTTCTGGTTTGATGATGATCATACGATGATGATGATGATGATGTTGTTGTTGTTGTTATTGATTCTTTCGAAGTAACCATTGACTGGGAATATACCTCGAATATTGAATATCAGAATATTTGTAGCTCAATTTTGTTTAAATTATAATTTGTATTGTATAATTAAAAATAAAAAATTTTTTTTTTTACACATCCAAATTGTTTCCATTTCGGATGATTTTCATCTCTCTCATTAGACATAGGTGTATATAACATGTGTGTGTGTGTGTGTGTGTGTTTGTATGTGTATATGTTGTGTGTGCATGTTATACGGAGTGAACATTTTTTTTTTTTTCAGATGATAATTATAATAAAAAAAATAAACAAGAAAAAAAAAGAAATTCTTGAAGAAAATGAAAACATTTTGAAACAACAAATGGCAACGAAAACGACTTGTAAAGATTGAAAGTAGCGAAGATATCTGAAAGGAAAGGGAAAAATAGGATTGATTGAAAACGATAATTGGTAAGTGTTGTTGTGTAATGTGATTTTTTTTTGTTCAAACTTTTTTTTTCATTTAGGCTATGTTTCTTGTTGTCTCTGTGTATTGTTTTTTGTATGATGATTGTATGTATGTAATGTGATGTTTATTAGGCACCAAAAATGGGTTCAATCATTTGACTATATATTCATGAGGTGATAATCGTTCTGAATCGATGATAATGATGATGATCATGATCAAAAGAAAAAAATTTGGACGCCTGTTCTGAACTGTTTGATGACTTATGAGAATCGAATGGCAATGATGATCATTTCATGACAATGATGAAAATTGTTGAGAAATTAAAAAAAAATCGTAGATGATCAAGAAAAATATAGAATCAATCATCATCATAATTTATAAATTGTTTTGGGCATTCCTTGTATGTGTGTATTATTATATGGTTGTTGATTCAGTTTGTAAAAAATAAAAATAATAAATACTTGACATTCGCAATTATAATATAGAACAGAAGGAAAAAAAATCATCATTCAACATAAACATCATCATCATTATCATAGCGATCTTTAGCAATTTGACAGAAGTGAAAAGTTAAAAAAATCATCATATTCGTGGCATTCCACACAATCATTGATGAAAAATAGACGAGAACATTAAGAACGAGAAATTTGAGTTGTTTCTGATGAAATAAAAAAAAAATTGACTTGTGAGCGCGGCGGGTCGAATGTTGCTTTAAGTGTATATTTTTGATGTAAATGAACAAAACCAAATGACACATTTTTTTTTGTTTTGAAAAATTATCATCATAGTCAGATGCCGAAACGGAAACATTCGAATTGCTCATCGATTTTGTTGCGACTGTTGTTGTTGTGATGGTGGTGGATGATTAAACATTTGACGATTTGAAAATTGCCCTTGTCCACCAGCGCCACCTCTGTTGATTTGATTTCCACCTCCAGTATTAGCATTTTGATGATTAAAATTCGAGCGATTACGCGGACCGCCACCGATTTGATTCATTTGTGCACCACCAACACTTCCGGGATTCCCTGACATATGACCACCTCTTGGTCCAGAACCGCTTCCACTTTGCAATGGGTTTGTTTGAATATTAGGATTTCGCACATTTGACGAACTGTTTCGTTCACGATTGCGATCATAATTGCTACTTCCAGTGTTGGCAGCATTTTTGCCTTGCTTCTTTTCAACGTTATATCGATGGTTTTCATGGTAAATAGGCTAAATAAAATCAACAATCATAAATTGATAATGGGTTTTATTATCAAAAAAGCACTAACCTTTTGGGCAATAATTTTATCGACAACTTGTGGATCTTCAAATGTTATGAAACCATAGTTTCGATTTTTGCCTAAATTCGTTATTTTTTGTCGATTGATTCGAACGTCAACAATTTTTCCAAATTTTCCGAAAATAGTGTGCACGATTTCTTCGCTAATATCGGGCAATAAATTTCCAAGGAACAATTGATTTTCATCGGGATATTTTTTAACATTACTGCTGTTGGCAATGTTAATGCTACTATTGAGCATAGAAGAACCACCAAAATGATCAACACCATCAGCTGAATCAGAATCATTGTTCTTGCCACTTTCCCGGGAATCATTCCGACGATTGAAAGATTTTTTAGAGAAACGATGATCACGTTCACGTTGTTGATTCAATGGAGCTGTAGATTGTTGATGTTGAGCCGAAGAAGCAGTAACAGCGAATGGCGGCTTTGGAACAACTGAACCACCACTGCTGACATTCCCCATGTTACTTACGTTGGCACCAGCAACAATACCGGTAGCTATTGAATTTTCACCAGTAGATGGTGAAGGCAACGGAAAATTTGTAGAGACATTACCAACATTAGTAGGAGCATCAGTTGGATTTTTCGACACCGAAGTTTGACCAATCGATGCAGGAACAACGACAGCAGCAGCAGTCATTGATGGTTGATGAGTTGAACCACGACCCAAAATACCAGCATAAGTTTTCGGTTCATTCGTTGTCGATGAAAAAACACTAGTTTTAGGAATTTCATCCAAATTATTATTATTCTCATTTTGTTCCTGTTGTTCAGGTTTTGATTCAGATTTCACAAGATCTTCATCGTTATGTTTAAGGTTTTCTGTTCCAATAGCAGCAGCAGCCTTATCCGAATTTGTCACCATTTTCATTTGTTGATGAATGGCTTCGTTTGATTCAGGCTGTGGTGGCGTAATTGGTGATCTTGGTTGGGATCCCATTACAGCTTTATCGGTCGGCTGAACAGAAGCCGCTTTAGCTTGATCACCCGGCGTCATCATTTTACCGATATCGATCAATTCAATGTTATTATTATTAGCATTCGAATTGTGACTCAATTGTTGTTGTTTAGCAGATTGAAAATTTTCTTCCTGAGACGAATCGATGACGCCGGGTTCGCTTTTAGAAATTTCTGATGACTGATTCATTTCACGGCCAACAACATTGATTTCAGAAATCAATGATGATGAATCGCCATTTTCCAACATTTGTATATTAGCTTGATGATCACCACACATACCGTCGGCAACATCATCTTGATAGCGAAATATATCATTTCGAACATAGTATTTGTTTGGCGAGTCTGGTGCCAAAACAATTGTCTGATTAAAACGACGTGATGGTTGACGGTTGTTCGATAAATCACCAACAATCTAACGAGAAAAAAAACGATATCATAAAGTTATGATTTTTCCCTCATCAATGTAATTTATTAGCTCACCTGAATAACGATACCGTTACCAAGAGTTCTCATACTATCTACTTGACGAACTTTGGTATGACAGTTTAAAAAATTCAATGACATTATCTTATTGTTAATCTGTTTTTGTCCATGATGATAGAATTCGCCACGATTTTTATCCGGTTTATCCAATGTACCATGAATGAATGTTGAATCCTCGCTATAGAATCTATTGATAAAAAAATAAAATAAAATCAACATTTTATGATTAATTTAACCAAAAAAAAAAAAAAAAAAACGTAAATACAAACCGAAAAAGATGTTGTGGCGCTCGATTCATCATTGTATAATATTGGCGAACAAATTCAATTGCAACAGATTGTGCCGAATATTGTTCTTGAATATCGGCATTATTATTATTATTATTATTGATATTGATATTATTATTATTGGCAACCGTTTCAGCATTATAAGCTGATGAGACAGCCGTTACATTATTATTATTATTATTATTGTTGTTGTTGACCGATTGATTAACAGTGGTCAAATTTTTACCAACAGTGGCTGATTCCATTTCGCTGACCATTATTTTTTTTCAATTATTCACAGTGAAAAAACAATTATTTTAGATTAGATTTTTATCGTTTTTTTTATAATTTGAAAAAAGAGTTATGTGTAAGAGAAACGATTGTTTTTTCCAAAGAATTTTTGTTTTCGTTTTCTCATACAGATTGGACAATGATGATTATGTTGTTGTTGTTGTTGGTGATGATGATATAGCAAGTTTATTATTATTATTATTAAATGTTGAAATATCAAAAAAAAAGATTGAAATGAATGAAAAATTATTTCCTATTTCAAGACAAAAAAATAAGATTTGAGAAAAAAATCAATTTTAGTTAATATGATAATGGACAAATAAATTTTTTCGAAAAATGGAAATATCTGGTAAAGGGACCGAAAAAATCAAAACATTTGAAAAAAAACAGCATGGACACAGTCCATGCAAATGAAAAAAAATACAGAAAAAAATGTTTGTTACCTAAAACAAGACAAGATCAATTGAAACAAAAAAAAAAACAAATTTTGTTTGAAAACGAAGAAACCAGAAAAAAACACTCATTCATTCATTCATACATACAAAAACACAAAACACACACACACACACACCAAAAAAATGATTTAAAGATTGTGATTAAAGAAAAAAAAATTTTACTGTTGTTGCAAATTGAGAAAATCAACAAGAAGAACAACAACAACAACGACGACAACAGCAGAAGAAACCCAAAAAAATGAACCAGAAAAAAAACAAATGAAAAAAATGCCGCACCAAATTTTTTTTTTTTTTTTTTTGTTGGCTTTCGAACGTCGAACGTAACACACACACACACACACACTGATGATTGTGAGTGTAAAAAAAAGAGGATAATTTGAGGAGGAGTAAGAGGAGGAGGAGGAGGAGGAACATAAAACATGAGCCAAGAATAAAAATCGAACGAGAAAAAGTATATACAACAACAACAACAACAACAACAACAAAAAATCCTTTTATTTGTGTGTAATCGAAAGAGAGAGAGAAAAAAAAAGGAGGATGATGATGATGATGATTGAGAGAATATATTAAGATGTTCATGTTGTTTTGGTTATTTCAATATTGAGCATGTGTTTGAGCATGCTCACAATTCACTAAAACATACCGCTTCATATATTGATTCATTCCTGTACATAAAAGACGTGCAAAAAAAAAAAAAAAAATTTTATACTTTTTCAAAAATTTTTGTAGTAAATGGCCCAAAACAACATGGATATATATGAAAGAGAAACGATTTAATTTAATATAAATCTTAAAGAGTCAAATGGAACAACATTTGTTTTGTATTTGTAACACCTTGACTTTGTGTTAAAAATAAGATGTTCATTATCATCATCATCATCATGTTGATGATAAAATGAACGGAACATTGATTATGAAACTAATTATAACAAATTAAATTTCACTTAGTAACCGATAACGATCTGGTGCAATTTTTTTCTTTTTTTTTAACTCTAAGAATAGGCCAAACTTATTCGAAACATCGATTGCCATATTTGGTGTTTTATTCATTTCCAAAACAAAACAACAAAAAACTGATCAATTTTTTTTCGAATCATTCCTTTTCAGGAACATTTTCATTTTTATTTCATAATAATAATTTCAGTGCATAGGAAGGGAAAAAAATTCATTGAGATCATCAAAAAGACTTTTCAAGAACTTTTTAACATAAAAAAATTGATTCAATTTACAAAAAAAAATAAATAAAATAAAATAAACACACACACAATAACTGGAGATATATTTTGATGTTATTATTATTTCTGTAATGTATAGACAAGATTTTGTGTTTTGCCTAAAACTTTTTCCAATAACAGATTCGGTAATGGTTCATCAATCTCATCATCATCATCGGCACATGCAACCAATTCGATATGATCGGAAAATTTTACACTTTTTTTATTATTCCGTTGTGTTGCCGGTAGTATTTGTGTATCAATCGAATTTGATAATGTTTGATATGTTTGTTGTTGTAGATTGACTTGTTGCTGATGATTAGTATTGAACGATGATGATGGTATGATTTGATCATTGAAATTTGTTCGTTGTTCCAACATCATAATCATTGGTATTGTTGTTGTTGTTGGTGATGGTGGCGGCGGTGGTAGATTCGAATAGATTGGATTTGATTGTTTTTGATGTAATCGTTTTAATGTTGTTTCATAATCTGGTGGCCTTTGAAGCCTTGTTGATAGTGGATTAACTGGTATTGGCATATGAACTGTTGTTGTTGTTGTCGTTGTTGAAGATGATGATGATGTCGATGATGTTGTTGTTGTAATGTTTCGATTATGATCAATACTTTGATTAGATGATGGTGGTGGAGAATTTTTCGAGATAAAATTCGTAATTTCAAACATACTAGGTTTTCTACTAATTATTGGCACCGGTGTCGGACCTGAAACGGTAGCTGATTTTAATTTGCCTTTGTCTTGTTGTTGTTGTTGTTGTCCGATGTTGCTTGGTGACGGTAATGTTTTAAGCTGAACATTACAATATATTTTCTCGTTCTTACGATCATCACGTGGACCATCATTATCCATATTATTGTTTTGTTTGTCACATTTCAATATTTCACTTCGTTTTCGATTTAATTCTTCAAGAAATAAATTACGTTTCGGTGGCAATGGTTTCTCTCGGATCGCGCAATCCGATTTAACTATTGCTGTAGTATTAGTTGTAGCTTTCGGTGCAATCTGATTATTTTTTGATGATTCATATTGTTCGTGTTGTACTTTTTTTTCAAATGATGATCGTGATGATGATAAAGGTGGTAGTGGTGGTAACGGAAGTGGAGGTAATGGTTTTTTCGATCCATTTAAAACAGCAGGTGGTTTTACCTTGATTAACAATGGTTTGGATTTGAAACCTTGTTCCGCTACAAATGATCGATGTGATTGATGAAATCCTTTAGCATTGATTTGTGCAACAGCCGATGATCGGTGAATATTTTCATCATCTTTACATTTGTTTCCTTCTGCCGTTTCATTGTTGTTGTTGTTGTTGTTGTGATGCAAAATTTCTTCACGAAGATCTGGAAGACTTTGATTTTTTGATTTAAGAAAATTACCAAACATTAATTTCCGTTTGACTTTACATTGACTTTTTGGTGCAATTTTCTTATTATTCAAATTTGATTTCGATAATTTTGAAGAAACTTGTGGTGATCCGAATTCTGCATATCCAGCATCGCTATCTGTATTTTCACGACAACTTTGCCAACCCGTATTTGTAATCGGATCATTGATTTTGGTTTGTGGTTTCTTCTTACGAATGGCTTCCCATTCGCTATAATAATCACTAAATTCTGAATCTGATATCAAAGATACTCTAGATTTATTAGATTTTGTTTGCGATTTAATCATTTGTAAGTTTTCATAGATCAATTGATGATCATAATTTGAAGCTATTGATTTAGTAGCATTATCTTTCATTTTGTTTGCAGCATTTTCGGCCGAAATCGTATCTTTTGTATTTGATTTACGTTTAGATTTTTTCGGTAATGTTGCATAAATTTCTAGTGATGGCCAATGATTTTTACTATCCGATTTGGATTTGACTACGTTCATTGTATTATCATTGGATGCATCTTGTTTATGAGCGCTTATCGATTTGGTTGGATCTTTATTATCACGACTAGATTGTCGACTATGTCGCCCATAGCTACTATCTCGGCTTGATTGTCGACTATGATGTACGGCAGCTTCCATTGCGGCCACTTTTAACAATCGTTTTTCTTCGGTTTCAAGTTCCACTACTCGTTTATGTAAGCTTGCCGATCGCATGACACACATGCTATGTTTCATTTTGGCCGATATTAGTGTTTGATGATTACTGTACGGTATGTCCATGGCTAATCGTGCTTTTGCTGCAGCTGAATCACTTAATGCAGCGGCTGCTCTTAAATCACCTTCACGTTCTTTTTCATGTGATCGTAATAAAAGTATGTCTGCTTCTGAACAAAGTTTATCGCATTCATCCATCGTCGGTAAATTATTGACCATTTCAATAAGTTGACTATCATCTTCAGGAATCTGTTTCAAACGGTTATTCAATTTTGATGGTGAAATAGTCGATGGATAACTATCAGAACTAGATAATGAAAACGAATCATAACCTTGATCAGAAGCATTCTTCGCTGTCAAAGTATTACGATGAGAATTTTTCGACATTAATTGTTGACGTTGACTATAATGATATGATGTATCATTTGACGAAGCACTTGAAGCTCGATCACTGCTAGAATTTCCAGAATCTCGTCGTTGCAATGAACAGGTATTCATTTGATTTATCATCATAGATGTGGGCAAAGTGGAACAAATTTTTGAACCACGAACAACAGAATCAAATGATTCAAGACTACTTGAACTATTTCGATTATATTTTTGATTATCATAGATGCTATTATTGATCATTGTTGATAAAGGATTATCTAATTTTAATGAATTTTTCAAAGTTTTTGCTGATGATTTAGATCGTTGTTGAATTTTGATTATATTTTCTACAGTTTTTCTCGATATATAACCATCAGTAGAATCAGCACCTACATCACTGAAATATGAAGTGGTCGAGGTGGCTGATGGTGAATCAGGCACATCGGAATTATAATGTGCAACATTGGGCCGATATAATAATGGATTCGGCTTTTGTTGTTGTTGATGATGATGATTACTATGATGACTAACCGTGTCTGATTTCAAATTATTTATGGTTGTTGTTGTATCTGATGATGATTTCGGTTTCGTATATGATGATAATAGATTATGAGGAGGTATTGGAGGTGGTGTTGGTGATTTTCTTGTTGTAATAGAGGTGGGTGGATTGACTATATTACTAGAAGAATTTACGACCAATGATGATGATTCCATTTCATCGACAACAGGTTTTTTAATGACCGTCATTGGTATAATTTCTTTCGAAGCATATGAAGTATTGATAATTTTTGCATTCGGATTTGAATATAATAATAATAATGGTTGAAAATGGCCTTTAATACATTTTTCTACAACTTGTTGCCATCTTGGACCAACAACGCGTACAGTGGCATCATCAAAATAGATCCATTGTGATAGTTTTGTATTGAATATGTATGTACTATAATGTTTACCATAATATGTAACCAAACCAACTAGATCTAATTGTTGATTATCAAATTGTTGATCATGATGATGATGAAAAGAATTGGTTTCATTTAAATTAAATATCTACATTAAAAAATAGTATGAAAAATAAGTCATTAAAATTTTGATTTTCTTTTGTATTCACAAAATTACTTCATTCAAACGAATATTCGTTCCAATCAATTGATAGACATTTCGAATGAACGATAATGATGGATGATCAGTATCCCATACAAGACCAATGCTTATTATATCTGGTCTATTGAGTAGTCGTTTTTCGATATTCATTTTTGCGCCACACATTTTCTAATGAAAAAAAAACAGAATTGAATAAGTAAATGAAATGATTTTCAATTTGGTGGTCACAATGATTGTCAATGCATGACAGGTATTATTATTATTGACATCAATTCTCAATTCAAAAAACATGAAAAAAATGTACATACCGGACAATTACGAATATCGCCCATTGAATTGACCATTTTAATCAATTGTCCGAAATTCAACATGATTTTATGGCCACTAACATTATCGTCAGCAACATTGTTATGGCCATTATTATTATTATTTTTATTGTTGCCAACAACATTGACAACTACATTATGATTTGATGTCGATGTCAATGTTGATGAAGAAGAGGAAGTAGTAGTAGCAGCCGTACATAATGCCGAGGTAGATATATAATGGACCATTTGTGAAAACATGAATGGATCGGAGGTCGCACCGCATGAATAGCAAATGATCTAGAATTTCATGTCCAACAACAATAATGACAACAACAAAGGCAGCAAATAATCATACACAATACAATAGAACGTCAACGGTAACGGTCAAGTGACATTGTAACGGACAATCATTATTATTAATGGAAAATAACATGGATAAAGTGAAATGAAAAAAAAAAAAAAATATATAGGCTATCATTAGTTAAAAATGTTCACACACACACACACACAAACACTTAATAAATCCTTTTAATATCATCATATATAAAAGATTCATACCTGTTCAAATAGATTCATTGAAAACTTTTCATGAGGTATACAATGTGGTAAACATTTGGATTGTGAATCAAGCTCTTGATTGGTTATATGATAATGTATACGAAATAAGATGTTCTCCTATTGTTGTGTGGTTATTGTTATTCGATGTGAATTGCGTAGGGGAAGAGGATAATTCATATATGAAAGAAATGAGAAAAAAAATGATCATTATTATTATTAGTCATCATAACAACAACTAAAGACAACATTTCAGGAAACATTTCGACCCCATGTATGGATTGTTAAGTCGGTGTTATGGTTGAGCAATCATCCCAAACCAAATGTATAAATCTCAACGGCAACAATGAATTGATAATATTGTTATCGTCCAGACAAGACAGACGGTTCGTAGACATTGCCTCATAAAATAATGAATGATTTTATGAATTAGATTCCAGCACTTACAAAACATTCGGCAGCATCATCCATATAGCCAAGTCGAAATCTACGTTGATCACTAAATGCTTGGGCTAATGCAAATCGTAATGAATCTGGTGGTAATGCTGATTCTGTACTACTTTGAAATTGATTGAAAAGTTCCTAGAATTTTTTCGAAAAAAAAAGAAAAATAAATTAGACATGACCAATGAATGATTATAATTGGGAATAGAACGTGCAATCGATGTGTAAAAAAAATTCATGTGGGTGGCCAATAAATTATGTCAAATATAAACACACATCGTTAAATAATGATGATGATGATGATGATCAACAGGTGTGTCATTAGCATTATCATCATTATCGGGACCAAACAAGCGAAGAGTAGGGTCAAGAAAATGAAATAGACATACCTTCAAAGCACAGAAAATACATGAATCACCCATACAGGCATGGCCTTGTAATTCACGAAAACTTCGACGAAATATATCCAGATGCCATAGAACCTGAAATCAAAGTAAACAAAGTAAACAAAACGTTAAATTTATAATATTCAAAAAAAAAAAAAAATTCAGAATCTCTAATAAATCTTTAAAACATTGCAATTAGAATTATGATTCGAATGATGATGAGTCATACGAAAAATAATGTAATGTCTGGTTGTTGTTCGAATTCGAAAGAAAAAAAATAATTGCTTTTTTTCGGATTTCAATTTTTCTTAAATCACAAAATAATTATATCATTTAATCTGATTTACGGATAAATTATGGTACTAAATTAAGCTCATTCTTAATCATTTTTATCATAACAATTAGATTCAATCTAAAGCTTTTTCAAAACTAATTATCATATATAATAAGGAATTGAATGAATAAAAAACAAGCAGCGTTTCAAACAAACAAACAAAAAAAATCGCGGTACAAATAAATTTATAAAAAAATATATAAAAATAATGACACACGAAATACAGAAAGAGAGAACATTTTCTTAAAGTGGTCAAACAAGTTCATCTTTAGAGCATCTTTTATAAGATGGGGTAAACATACTGTTGCCAATAGAAGAAGCTGCCATTCATTCATTCATTTATTTTTTTTCCCGATGAAGAATTGATGATGATCGTGTGTGTTCAGATGTTTCTTAGAACACACAAAAAAAAATCAGCTTGACAGCTTGAATATGTATATACACAGATTTAAAATGAAGAAAGAACGGACAATCGACGAGCATCTTCTGTGCTATAGCATCTACTATTTATCATCATCAAATTTATTCGAAAAAAAAATAAGAATAGACTATTCACATTCATTCTTTCATTATGTCATTTCATTAAAGTTTTGTTTTCCTTCTTTTTTTTGTGTGTGTGTGTGTGAGATACTTTAAACGATGACAGGTAAAATAACAATTGCAAAAAGAAATGAAATGAATGAATCATTCTTTGTGAATGGTTTGTTTGTGAATACGAAACAATACAAAACGCACACACACACAGACACACAAACAAAAAACATTTAAAATAAACGAACAAAATGAAAGATAAACGATGATAATAACAACAACAACAACAATAAACACGTCGAACAAACAAACAAACAAATCAAACTAAACAGAAATTTGAATTTGAAGAAGAACAATTGTCAAGAAAAACAAAACAAAAATTCACCTGAAAAACATTATTATTATTATTCTATTTCAATGATGACAATGAACTTAAATGGAAGACAATTATATTACGAAAATAAGGAAAAAGAATTTAATATAATCAACAACAGATGATCATCATCATCATAAAATTGAATTTGAATGAAAATATTGAGTATCAAACACAAAAAAAAGTATATATAAATCAATCAATCATATTGAAATTCGAATGAATTTTGTGTTCGAAAATAAAAAAAAAAAAATTTTTTTGCATCACGCTCACAGATGACGTAATTGTTTGATTTTCGAAAATTATTTTTTTTCGCCTTTCATCGATCTTCACATCAATATGATTGGATGGAAGAAATTTTTTTTTTTTCGTTTGCTTATATAAACAACAAAAAAAATGTAATTAATCTTTGCCGAACGATCTAATTTCATCATCATCATCATCATCTGATTTGATTTCTTTTACCAACCAATTAATTGTTGCTGGCGTTGTGATATAAGCAAATAAAATGTACTTTTACTCATACAGAACAGCATTTCAAGTGGAAAAAGGTGATGATAATTTTTCATTTTGACACCTTTTTTGGTTGAAAACAACAACAACGAAGATGAGTAAAAAAAAATCTGATTAGTTATTTGATTTTCTTTTGTTTTTGGCCGAAACACTAAGAAGGAAAAAAATTATTCAAGAATGACCAACCATCAAACATAACTATGATTATTATTATGTTCATCATTTGATAATCAGATCAATCAATCAAAAAAAAAAAAAATTCAGAACTAGATCTAGAATTAAACCGCACAATACACACACCCGCAAAACCAATATGCACACACACACACACATTGGTTGTTGAAAAGAAATAAAAAAAAATTCCAAAGTTAAACAAGAAAAACAGAAAAAAAAGATTGTAAAAGTGAAAAAAAATCAAGATCAACAAACGCTTGAACATTTCGATTATAATCATTTTGATTAGAAGAAGAAGAAGAAGTAGAAGAAGAATATTTTTTGCAAAACACAACAGGATCAAGATCGAAGAAAAAAAGATTCGAATGTCAAGATAATTCTCATTATTATCATCGTTATTGTTGTTGTATGAAATTGAAAGAAAACAAAAAAAAACAACGCAACAGGTAAAAGGGCATGTATTATATTTATTGAATGAATGAATGAATCGATGTAATCTAATAATGATGATGATGATGATGATGATGATGAATGACGAGAATCTCGGGTATAAAAAAGTGAATGAATGATGCTCTATCTTTCTTTTTCTTTTTTTATCGTTTCATTTTGAACAATCAAATCGAATCAAGATGATGATGATGATGATTATGAAGAGGATGAAAAACGACACGCTCTTTTGATCTAAGACAATAGATGAAACGATGTAACAATGGATCAACATAAAAAAAAACATCTACAGCGGCTGTAACATCATCATACACACACACACACACAATCAAATCGAACGTTCTGATTTCTCGATCCTTATTCAACAACAACAACAACAACGAAAGAAAGAGAGAAGCAAAACAAAAAAAAATTTGTTCGATAATGATGAAAAAGAAGAGGAGGAGGAGGAGGACGATGACGAGGTCGATGATGATGAACACGGATACGAAATGTATAAGCAACAAGTGTTAAAGCTTAGTTTAACTAGATCAACCGAAATGAATCGAGCTTTTTGCGAAAAGAAGAAGAAGTTAAATGATCAAATTTTACTTTGAAATGAATAAAATATTCAATGTTTAATCATTCGATCGATTCGTAGCTAATCATCATGATCATGATCAACATTATTAACGAAAAATTTTTGTAATTTCAAAAAAAAATAACATACAACCAACAAACTATGAACGTGAAAAAGAGAAAATTGTTATTATTAACCCTCCAACCTCACAGTAGTGGTTCGATCATTCAATGAATAGAAAAATCAATTCTCATCAATGAACACGATGACGATGACGATGTCCAAATGTTAGATGAATGATCAGGATTAGAAAAAAAAAATTTTTTGTGCAGAAAGAACAAACATTTTTGATAAGGTAATCGACTGATTTTTTATCGATAGATCGATCTATCGATTGATTGATTGATTGATTGTCAGTATTAGTTTTTATTTTAATAAGCTGTTGTTGTTGTTGTTTTCTATTTCATCAACATCATGATCATGATCATAATCAAGATTCAAAAAAACAACAACAACAACAAGTGAATTAATCGATTTTCTGATCAAACTTTTGAAACAATCACTATTTTGTTTTGTTTTGTTTTGTTTTTTTTTCACTCATTGTTGTTGTTGTTGTTGTTGTTTGATTATTTCATTTCGATGATTCTGTAATTTGCCGTTGATTATGTTATTATTATTATTATCATCATCAGCATCGTAGCTGATCTTTGATTTTTTTTTTTTTTTTTTTCGATAATCGGAATAACCTTTTTTTTACTGATCGAATTGTGTAATGGCCTCGAAACTAAATAAAATTGACCTGTAAAAAAAAAAAAAAAAAATTTTGGCTGAATTATTCAATGTTCATCATAATCATTTGATGATGATGATGATGATTATCATCTTGAATGATGATGATGATCCAGTATACGAGATATAAAAACAAGTGTACAGCACACCTTATTATGATACAGGCGAGATACTTTTTTTCTACACACACACACATAGACACACTCATAAATCTTTGAATTTATTTGCTGGTTAATCTCATCATCATCATCAACATCATGTTCGATTTTTTTTATATTTTCCTTCAAGCATCACCTCCCGGTCACTTCGGAATAACAAAAAAAGAAGAAAATCTTTTGGTCAAGACAAAAAAAACAACTTATTTTTAGCTCAATTTTTTCTCATCTTCATCAACTTTTATCTTTATTTTATTTTATGGAACACACGATGATGATGATGAACATTATTATAATGGAAAATGATTTTTATTTTTTTTTCGACCAAATAGCCATCTCTCTACCGGACATCTATTGGTTGATGATGATGATCATCATCATCATCATTATCATTATGAGATGTGTGGTAAACACAATTTAAATCTTGTTTCAATGAATGAATGAATGAACTATAGTAATGGTCATTTGTATTGTAAAGATGATAATACAAAGAAATTAAAATTAGAAATAAAATAAAAATGAAATGAAATGAAATGAAAATGTATTAGCCATACGCGAATCAAATTCATTCATGATTTGTTTTTTTTTCATCATTTCGGTAGAGATTTATTTTGAGCTAACAAACACTTAACCCGCCACAATCAGCCGGGAAAAGTTATTTTTAATTAATTATCAAAACAACAAAAAAAAAACATTGATGATGATGATGATGAACACACGATTAGAAATTTGACCGAATAAATTCGATTGATGATTTTGGATGATGATGATCATCATCATCGTGCAATGATAATGGTGGCCAAATTTCATTTTCATCATCATCATCATCATTTTCGATGGGAAATGTCAAAATCATTGCGAATCGAATTAGATATGAAAAAAAATGGGAAAAATCCTCATCATAACACCATTTCGACCAAAAATTTGACATGGTCAACACACACTATTATCATCATAAATTTATGTTTTAAGAAAGAAAGAAAAGAAAAAAAATTTCCAATTTCCTCAATCGTGTATTCATTCGTAAAAGGTATTCATTTATGTTTTTCGTGTTGTACATTTAGGAACATTCTCATAACTGTACAAATGAATGAAAATGGAATGAAAATGAAATGAAAAAGTTTCAATTACCAGTTGTCCAGTATAACTCGTTTGTTTTTACATTGAGAAACATGAAACATTGTTTTTTTTCCAACTATAAAACAAAACAAAAAAAATAATAATTGCTTAATGCTGTAAATGTGAATATAAAAAAATTCATAAATCCACCAAGGATGCTAAGCACGTACAACGAATATATGAAATTGTATATCATTGTAGCAATTATCATTGATGATGATGGTGGTGTTTATTTGTTTGTTTGTGAAATTTTTTTTTTGATCCAATTTTTTTTTGTTTGGTATCGTGCATGCTACAAATGATGTGGGAATATCTGTAAATTGGTGCAAACAAACAAATAAAAATCATCACAATCATCTACGACGTGTTTGTATATTAATGACAAATTACTAATGATAATATTGACACACACACACAGACAGACACAAATGTCGAACACGAGACATAAGACATATAACTGGACAATCTAGATTGAATGATGATTATAATGATCATCATCATCATCATCATCATGAATTCTTTGTATTTTATTAAGTCATTTCATAATGAAATTGGCCTCAAAATGGATAATGATGAAACAATGAATGAATGACCAATGGACAAATTGAAACAAAAAAAAAAACAAAACTGAAAAAAAAAGAAACGGGGCACGTCCATTTATTCAAGTTTTTTTGTGAATCATCATCATCATTGTAATTATAATGAAATGGAATGGAAAAAAATATGGATCGTTAAAAAAGCAAAACTGTTATATACTGCTATCGATTGTGTGTGTGTGTGTGTGTGTTTATCATCATCAACACCATTCAACTACCATCATCATCATCATCATTAATAATAAGCTCAATTGAAATAAGAAAAAAATTACACATTGATTTTTGTTCCAACCAAAACATCATTCGTTATGCGAAAAAAAAACTTTGTTTGCTGTCGTTGTTTGGTTGATGGCTATGCAACAATGAAATTAAAATCGATCCATCAACATCATCATTTGAAAACAATAAAAAATGCAATAAACAACTACAAAAGATATTTATATTCACAAAATCTCAAGGTTCAATAACATAAATTTTTTTTTTGTTTTGTTTTGCATAAGTGTTAATTGAAAAAAAAAATTTTCATGCCATTCCACAATGTTTCGACTATCGAAACAGATCGAAACGTTATTAATAATTTTTTTTTTCAATTTAATTCTCAAAAAAAACCACAATCAAAATCTTACCTGTACAGCACTATTGAGAAAACAATTATTCTGTCCAGGCATATTTAACAATCCTTTATCATGTGAAATGGACATTCGTGATTGTGATCGTATATGATTGGTTGATGATGTTGGTGATATCATATTTGATTCATTATCAATCATTGTTGGTGATGGCATTGTTTTGGCTAAATGTTCCAATTCAGGATGATTATGATTATGATTATGATGATTATTGAAATAATTTTTCATTGATAAATCATTATCCAACACCGGTCCTGGATCATAGATCATTGTTGAATGTATAGTTTCCATTTCCATTTTTTATTTTTTTTTTTTTTTGTTGACAAATGAAAACAAATTATCTGCAAACAATTTACAACAAATCAATTATGGCGCCAAATTATGAATAATAATCATTTTCAATATCACACACACACACACAGACACAAACAAACAAACTAAATTGTGAATGGTGTTTGAATATAATTATCGCTTGTTGTTGTTGTTGTCGTTGTTATTGATGATGATGATGATGATGACGATGGCGCCGAAAACAAAATGAAAATCATTCATGCACAAAAAACCGCAATTTAGAAAAAAAATATAAAATGAAAATTGAATGAAACGAATGGGAAAGAAAAAATCAAACATCAAAGAATCAAGAATTGTTGAAATTGAAATTCAACAATATAGTGATGAACGAATGAATGTTGACAACAATGGAGCGAAAAAAAACACACACACACATTCACCATTTAAAGATCGTTGTCAATATGAATTAGAAAATGGAAAAAAAATACAAATCGGATAGAATAGAACAACAACAAGTGAATCGATCTGGCAACTGCATCCAAACATTTGACTTGTCCACCAATTCAAAATAAAAACTAATAATGATAAAACTTGAATCAAAAAAAAAAAAATCGAGTCGATGGCCAAGTTAAGCTCTTTAGAAGCGGGAGGATTTCGCCCAAATGGACATCAATATAACAGAAAAGAGAGAAAAAGAGAAAAAAAAGAGAGACAGGTAAAACCTTGTTCAGCAAGTTGTAGCTTTGTCCATCATCATCATCATCATCATCATTGTCGTGTTGCTGCGACGACCGAATTTTGATTGCAAATGTGGTTGTTGTGAAACAACAGCATATACGAAGCAAAGGCAAAAGGTTAGATGATGGTGGTGGTGGTGGTGATGGTTGTGGTTGGCAAGGTGTATTGAATTTGTATAGAATGGACAAATGGCGCGTCGCACAGGTAAAAAAAACTTGTTATGAGATGGGCCAATTTTTTTTCATATCTTAACAACGTATACAAAAAAAAAACTTTGAGATTTTTTTTTCGTGTGACCAGAAGATTGCGCGGCAATGGCATTGAGAAACCATCTTGTGAGGAGGAGGGAGTGTGAACCAAAAAAAAATGAGATGGACTAATATTTATACTTCTCATCAAGAAGAAGGGGGAAAGTTTTTCTTGGCAAGTTGTTCAGAAAATATATTCCAATTGATGAAGCAAAAAAAAATGGCCCATGCTTTTGCATGCAAGATTCGAATTTTGATATTTCATCCAAAACCTCGAATTCATTCGATTCGTTGTCACACACAAATGTTGCAATGTTCATATGTGAAAGGTAAGGTCAAAGGCTGTGTGTGTGTGTCAAGATACAGAGAGAGATTCTAAAATCTGCTTAATGGTGAATGTGTCGCGTGTCATGTTGAGGCCATCGACAAGCCGATTTTCTATTTTTTTCAAACGAATGATAAAAAACAGAAGAGATGACCAGAAAAAATGAAGAGAGAAAGGTCTTAAGGTTTGGTGAACTGGATTTCAGATGTTCAGGTTTTTGGTTTAGGTCAGTCGCGTGCTTCATCATCATTGAATTTTTTTTATTTTTTTGGAAATAAACATTTTCTTTTGGGATGTCAAATCCTCTTCTCTCTTTTTTCCATTTAAAAGTCCATGGTGAAAATAATGTGAAACACAGCAAAAAAGGCAGAATTAAGGACAAGAGATATCACAACCAATGGTATAATTCATTTTCATTTGTCTTTGCTCGAATCATCATCATTCACTAAGGAAAAAGAAGGAAAAAAAATGAAAAGAAAATTGGCTGGTACAGCCGCTGGGATAATGATGACGATGATGACGATGATTTGGTAACCTTGATATCTAGCTATTGATTATTTGGCTACAAATTACTATTGGTGCCGTAGTACACACAATGAATGCCATGACATTCTGACAAACACCATCAAATCTAGATAGATTTTTATATATAAAAATCTATAAGGTAATAATTAAATATCAATGGTGTTCAGGACATCCTTCTCCTTACATCATTCACCATCACCAAATTGACCAAAATGAAATTCCACATTATATATAATGTGTATATGTGATGGACATTTTTCATCATGTATTAGAATGTTTTCATCATTAGTCATTTATCATTAATGAAAAAAGATTATTCAAATGTTCGTGATAAGGATGCACGTGAACGGATACACATAACACATGGCCACCATTATACTATGATATCACCACAACACGTAGTAAAAAACCAGAAAGCACGTGCTATGAACCTAATAGATTTCATTTATGATAACTAAAAAAAAAAAAATCTGGCCCTTACGTATGTCATCTGTCATCGTTTTGTTTTGTTAGGATAATCCGTTGCTATTTTTGAAGACAACAACAACAACAACAACAACGAAAAAAATCCTGATGATTATGCAAACACTAGATTATTATTTTCCACATTAGGTGTGGTCATATACAAGCTGTTTGTTGCAATGAAAAAAAAAATTTTTTTTCAATTTCCTTCCTATATTCATCGATGATAATTGGATCAATACATGCAATACATACAATAATTTGGGCGTTGGAATAATTTTTTTTTATATTAAACAAAACAGGTTTCTATTAAATCAATGCACAAATATTAGCGATTGGCAAAAAAAAAATCAATGGATCGCCCAAAGACAATAATCGATATATCGATCAATCAATCAATCAATCAGAATGACACATTCGAAATAAAACAGGAAAAAAATTTAAATTTCAAATTATGCTACTATTATTCTCTCTTTGGGGAAAAAAAATTCTTTACAATTTAAAATTCATTATCACGAATACAGGATAATTGAGCATGGAATTCTATTCTATTCTATTTTTTTGTGTGTGCAAATTGGATTCTCATTTCAATTTTATGCAAACACAACAACATTCGTTACAATCAGACCAAAAAAAAACCCAATTTCCATAATGCAACAACGACGACAACAACAAAATTCCATCATTGGAATTGTTACAGAATTTTTTTTTTGGATAAATAGAATTCTTCAATTGTCCCGGGTATTTTGTTTGTTGAGAATCCATTTCAAAAAAATCATTTCTCATGAATTTATTCATTCATATGTATGACAATTTAAGCGCCAATTGATTTTTTTTTTTTGATTACAATACAAAACTAACACATAACACATTTATATGTATTTTACTCTGAGTAGTAGTGGAACAGTGGAAACTACGCGAGTGTGTGTGTGTGTATGTGTGTGTATATGAATACTATATCCAATGCATTTTATATGGAGTGTCTTCTTTGAATGAATATACCAACAATAACAACAACAACAACAAACAACAACAAACGAAAATAACTTTGAAACGCGCATCTCAAGAAGAAAAAAGAATTGAAAGAATCAGTTTTGGAACACAAACACACACATTTATTACACATTCATACATCGAGAAAATAGAGTGAAGAATCCAGAAGCCAAGAATTCCTGCTGGTTCTACTGATGATAGCTATAGCTACCGCGTTATATTATTATATTCTGTGATTCTGTTATTCTTTATCCGTGTCTGTGTCTGATCATCATACATTAATCCGTTCAATTTTTGAGTTTTTGTTTTTGTTTGTTTTTTTTGATTGTTTATAATAGTGGTCGTAATGTCGTTATCAAATAACCAAAGGATTCATTTGAATGAATAAATTTCTGTTCTTATCATCATGATGATTGTCAAAATTCTCTGTCCATTCGTTTGGTTTAATCACCTGTAAATACCGTCAACCATCATAATCATCATTATTATTGATTTGATTAATTCAATTAATGTCATATTCTGATCTTGATTTAAGTATTGATTTATTGTCTTTCACGATTTCTAGTTTGTCATCATCATCAATGAGATGATGATGACGAATGATAATGATGATGAATTGCATTATCATTTCATCATCATCATCAAATAAATTCGTTCTGGTCATCATCGAAAATTTTTGTCATGTCATTCCATTCTTATGTTCATAATAACGGGAAAAATTATCAAGAATAATTAAAAAGAATCCAAAATTTATTTTTCATCAATTCTCATTTTCGACAGAATCAAAGACCTTCAACAACCACCGAATGGTAAGATTTCGAAAATGACGTATTTTGTGTTCTATTTTTTTTCTGTGGAGTAGTAAAATTTTGGATCCACTTTGTTATTTTCGCACCTACTATTACACACCTTCATATACACTGCCATATATATTCCCATTATTTGTATTTCTCTATGCAGGAAATTCGATGATGACAATAATTTAATTTATTATCAAATTCCGTGTTTGCGTAGGAGTGTGTATGTGTGTGCTGATGATTTGTTGATTGTCGTATACGTAAATACCAAGAAATTAACCTTTGATATTTCGATTCATCATTATTTCCTGGATTCTTTCTGATATACTCATGCACACAAACACCGCACACACACACACACAGACTTTCAAGTTGCTTCTGCTTCTAAGATGCTTTTAACATGACTATGAAAAGAAAGGGGATAATGATTCGAGTGAAAAAAAAATTCTCCAATAATTTTCCACAAAAACATTGAATAGATTCTATGAGATTCCAAATTCGATCCGATTTTTTTTTTTGCCCATTTTTTGGTCCAGTGAGACACAGTGAAAGAGAATCAAACACATGTGCAGAATCAAGTGAAAAATATATTTTTTTTATCATAGATATAGAAGTAGTGGTCATATTCGATGATATAATAAATAAGTTGGCAACCCATAATAAGGTCTACAATGTTCATTCAAATGGGACGCGCGCATGAATTTTTGCTTATCATCATCATCATCATCAATTTAAACATCTTAGGCCCAGATTTTTTTTTCATACCATATATAAAAAAAAAAAAAAAAATAGTAAAAATAGTAAAAATTTTGAAAGTTGACAACTTTTTTCCTATGTTTTTTTCTGACTAGATCTAGAGCCCGCATCTTTTTTTTTTTTGTTTCATTTAATTGCAATTCACATTCTTTACCTTTTCCAGTATTCAATAATTACAGGAGAGAGATGATGTTCACCGAACCAAATTTACTAAATTCTACATGTACAATGTCCATCTTTATCATATCTAAAAGATTTTTCTTTGCCAAAAGAAAAAAGTTTGTTTCCACTTTCCAATCCTATTATTGTAGCTTAATATAAGACAAAATTAATGTTAGATTCATTGTTTTTTGTGTGTGTGTGTGTGTGTGTGTGTGTCATGTGATTCGATTCTAACATTTCAATCAAACACACACTTGCACACTTGCACACAATCAATTATTGATGATGGATGAAAACCAGAATTCTGTCTTTGTAAAATTGTGAATCAAAAATGAAAAAAAAAATATAAACTTATGTTGTGTTGTTTTTGTTTGTATCTGGCAGAACATATTACCAAAACATATTATAAATGGTTATAATTATGAAATTTTCATCCATTCAAACATAACATCCATCCTCTTCTTATCATGTTGTACAAATCATATAAACTTTTCGAACAAAAAAAAATTTCCAATTTTTATGTCGATCGTATCGGTATTTATTTATTTCTTTTTAAAATACCATTTGTTTCATATTCCATTCTTGTGTTATTAATGGTTTTTTTATTCGTTTGTTAGCTCTCATCATTTTAATCATCCTGGTCGAATCTGATCGAACATAAAATGTTGATGCTGATGATGATGATGATGACGATAATCAAATCGGACGATTCAACATTCTTTTAACCCCCTTTTTATTTATCTATTACAATTAAATGATGATGATGATTTATATAATCATTGAAATCATAACATTTTATTTCTTCCGTTGTTGTTGTTGTTGATTTTTTTGATTTGATCGGTTACTATTTGACTATCCATTTTTATGACAATGTTACCAAGGTTGTATAATGTTCTTTTTTTTCATAATCCATTATCATCTGTCGTTGTCACCACCGTTGCTACCATAATAATAATAATAATAATGACATTTTCTTGTTCTCTCTGCATATATTTATCAACAGTCAAATCGACAAAATATTTTTCCATCCACACACACACAGACGGTTCTTATGATTCAATGTCCATTTATCTTATCTTTATCATAATGCTTTTAAGAAATATGTCTTCTTTTGTGTGTGTGTGTGTCTCGATATTTCATATTTCATTTTTTTTCCTTGAAATTCTCAAAGAAATTGGATACTTGAAATTTTTTTTTTTTCGTTGCCATGGAATGCCATGAACATTCATTCATCATAATAATTCATTACAAACCATTATCATCAATCTTTGAATAATTTTTTTTTCTAAAAAAAAATTTTTGTTTTTTTTTTAATAATAATTTGTCATGCTAGGTGTATATATCAATAACATCTCACAAATAACGACAACAATTTAATCAGCAATGTTGATCAAAGAATATCGTATACCGATGCCATTATCGGTTGAAGAATATAAAATTGCTCAATTGTATATGATTGCTGTAAGTGATTTTTTTTCTGTTTTGTTTTGAATTTATATATAGATTCTAAAAAAAATGGTTATGATTTTTCTTTTACATACATAGAAAAAAAGTCGTGAAGAAAGTCAAGGTACTGGAAGTGGTGTGGAAATCATACAAAATGAACCATATTCAGATGGTCCAGGTGGCTGCGGACAATATACCTATAAAATCTATCATGTTGGACATCATTTACCTGCATGGCTAAAGGCATTATTACCGAAATCGGCATTGACTGTTGAAGAAAAAGCCTGGAATTCATATCCATATACCAAAACACGTTATACATGTCCATTTATTGAAAAATTTTCAATCGAAATTGAAACCAAATATTTTGATGATTGTGGCCACCAATCGAATGTGTTCAATTTGCCCAACTCGGAATTAAATCGACAAATTGGTAATTTAAATGGATTTTTTTTTTTTATTTGTTTGAATTGAATTTGATTGCCATTTGTTTGTTCACATACTTCAAAACAAAAACTTAATAGATTATATTGACATTGTTGAAGAGCAATTAGTTCCAGCCAGTGATTGTAATCAACAGGACGATGATCCTCGTTATTATATATCGACCAAAACTAAACGTGGTCCATTGTCGGATAATTGGATACAAGAATATTGGAATGATGGTAAACCAATCAAACCGATTATGTGTGCATATAAATTATGTCGTGTGGAATTTAAATATTGGGGAATGCAGAATAAAATCGAACGTTTTATTCATGAAAGCGGTAATTTTTTCTGAAAACTATTTTCATTTGTTTGATTTTAATCTAATCGAATTTTATATTTACTTTATCTAATATAGCATTACGTAAAACGATGCTAAAAGCACATCAACAGGCATGGGTTTGGCAAGATGAATGGGTCGATCTAACGATGGATGATATACGTCGTTTAGAATTGGAAACACAAGAATACCTCAAGAAATGTATGGCTGATCAATCTGAACAACAAGATCAACAACAAGAACAAGAACAAATGAATGAAGAAAATAAAGAAAATATGGCTACATTTGAATCTAATCATACTTTAGCAGGCTCGACTGGTACCGGCTCGAACAAAGTCATCAATCTGAATGTGATCGATAAAGATAATGAAAATAATTACGATAATTTTCTTCATTTTGAAACGCCCAACAAATTATCATCGGCATCAGTATCTAAAAAGAATTCCATTTCACAATATTCGATAGGTTCAAGCAATATAAGTTCCACACGTCGTGACAGTGATCTCGATGTAGGCAGTGATCAAACGCGAAAACGGAAATCATTCCAGTCAAACCTGCATTCTCCAAGTAATTTAATTTAATGAAATAATCATCAATATGAATATAATTTTGATGACTTTTTTTTATTGTTTTATGATCGTAGGTGAACGCTTAGATATCATTGAAACATGGCGAATCGAAACATTGGCTAGAGATTCTGAATCAAGTGATGATGAATTTTATGATGCTGAAGATATCAACGATGAAATTCAAACGAATAAAATTATTGAAGATGAAAGTGATGATATTTTTTCCACAAAATTCAAACAACAATTTCAATCAGATTTACAGCATAAAGTTGTCCGCGAACCTGAAGGTTCAGTATCAGAGTCTCCACAATATTCACCCACGCATCAACCTACATGTCCGATAAGCACATTGATTATAATTTTGCATGGTGGCAATGTTCTCGATATGAATAGTTTGGATGTAAATTTGTCAAAATCTCATGATATTAATACATTCAAAACGACGATGGATTCAATTATTGAAAAACATTATTCACATCTTTGTGGTCGAATCGCTTTACGTTATGTTGCTTGTCCGCCCATTTGTCATGAAAGCCTATTGGTCATGCTAAGTTTATCACCATATTCCGTACAAACTAGTCCAAATACAGATTCAGTTTCTCATACATTCAATTCAATACCGATCTCGGCATTACCACTGTTTGCAGTATCATCATTTGATTATCAAGAAAATGTCATTCAAACCATAAATGAATGTAATAAAATCTATCAGGAATTTATCAAATCCGATGATGGCAAAGGTTTTAATGGCAAAGTATGTCTAATAGGTGATTCGATTGGCTCGATTCTAGGATTTGATGCTTTATGTACTGGCTCACAGAACAGTATCTATGATAGTCAAATAATTGATAATAATACCATCAAAGATGAATTGATCAATAAAAATAGTTGCCATCTCTCGAATCCAATGATTTCCATAAATGATTCACAAAATTCATCATCAAATGATAATAACGATGATTTGGATGATGATCAAATGAACAAAATGAATCCGTTGGCCAAATCACGTACAATGCCGATGAGTGTTATAAATCAAAATAATAATGGCAAACAAATTCAAAAACAAGTTTATTGTAAATCATTATCACATCCTGGTGGTGATTCTATTACATCCACCACATCGACACAAAGATCGACAAATCGTTTGTATATTAATTCAGTTGTTCGACGGCGAAGTTCCGGCTCTTCAGATTTGGCTGCCAGTAAATTTGATTTCGAAGTTGGAGATTTTTTCATGTTTGGTTCAATGATTGGTGTCGTACTTACATATCGTAAATTGTTAAGTTTGGATGACAAGAGCTGTAAGTGATTTTGAAATGAATTTTTTCATTTATGAAAAATAATTTATTTTTTTTTGTTTTATCATTTAGTTTCATTGATGAAACCTGCCTGTGGCAATATTTACAATCTTTTCCATTTGAATGATCCATCAGCATTACGATTGGAACCACTTTTGAGTGCACGATTCTCATACATTCCGGCCATTAATGTTGCACGTTATCAGAAATTTCCTCTTGGCGATGGACAGCCAATTCATTTATGTAAATTTTGATCAATTTTTTCTAATTTGTTACCAAAATATGAATTTAATTGATTTTATTTTTCATGGAACAGTGGAATATTTACAAACATTTTCCTATCTGTTTTCCAATGAAAATTTACAGGTTTCACATAAAGATTTAGTAAGACGTATTAGCGAAATCAGTTTGGCTAGTAATGCACCAAATTCACCGATGGATAATCTTAATTTACCCAGTATTACTTCAAGTATGTTTAGATTAATATAAATTATTAATTCCATTATTAATTTGTGACTTGTTTTTGTTGTTTTTCAAGTTACAAATCGTTGGTGGGGAACAAAACGAATCGATTATACACTATACAGTCCTGAAGGATTGAATAATTTTCCAACACATTCATTACCACATTTATTCCATTCCAGTTATTGGGAATCAAGTGATGTTATTTCATTCATTCTTCGTCAGATCAATAAAGTAGATTTGTTCACTTTAAATTTCATAGCTGATTCTTCGAAAGAAATTGTTTTCAAGCCAAATCAATCTCGAGAAAAATGGCAACGTAAAAGAACTTCGGTTAAATTAAAAAATGTCAATGCTAATCATCGAGCCAACGATGTTATTGTCAAAGAAGGTCTGGAACAAGTGATCACTGGTCGATTCATGTATGGTCCGTTGGATTTTGTTGCTCTATCTGGTGAAAAGATTGACATCCATATGCTTTGTCCAAAAACTGGTCATTGGAATTATTTGGACACTGAACTTACGGATAAAACGGGCCGAGTTCAATATGTGATTCCTAAAGAAAAAGCTCTGCCATCAGGATTGTATCAATTTAAAATGGTGGTTCGTGGTGATCATACATTCTTGGATCTATTCATGGCTGTTGTTCCACCGAAAACAGAGGCAGTTGTTTTTAGCATTGACGGTTCATTGACAGCATCCGTATCGGTCAGTGCTAAAGATCCGAAAGTTCGTGCCGGTGCTATTGATGTGGTACGATTTTGGCAAGAACTTGGCTATCTAATTGTTTATATAACTGGTCGTCCAGATATTCAACAACAACGTGTGGTTTCATGGCTTTATCAGCATAATTTTCCACATGGTCTAATATTTTTTGTCGATGGATTTTCAACGGAACCATTAAAACATAAAACCGAATATCTAAAAACTTTAAGTCAACGAATGGAAATTTTAATTCGTTCAGCATATGGATCATGTAAAGATATTTCTGTTTATCAATCATCCGATTTGAAACCAGAACAGATCTATATTGTTGGAAAAGTTTGGAAAAAACAACAATTGTCTATGGCTAATGTATATAAGACTTTTATTTGTTGATTTTCTGTCTGAATAATTCCTAATCTGAATTTTAATTTATAGATTTTAACCGATGGTTATGCCGTCCATTTAGAACAACTTCGAAAAAGTTTACTTGGACGTTCAAATTGTCAACAACAAGTAAATTCAAGAGTGACATTGCCTAAAGGTGCATTCACTGGTCTACGAAGTCGTTATCAAACTAAATCTGTAAAACGTACCATTTCATATCCAATTACGACTATTGCAGCAAATAATAATAATTCACCATCATCAAAAGTTGTTCCTGTTTTAGTTTTGGCTAGTAGTAATAATAATCAAAGTCCTAGCGGAACAGGAACAAGTTTGAATTTTACAAACACTTCATCATAATACTTTTTTTTCATTTTCTATTTCACTTTGATTGATCAAACAAACAATTTGTTTTTAATCTGTTTTTGTTTTGTTTTATTTTTCATTTTTTTTATTTATTTATTTTTTTTTTTTTTTGATAAATTCTTAGGATCCTTGAATCCCCTTTATTTATCACAAATTTGATATCGGAATCCTCATCTGTTGCTTTTGACCAAAAAAAACAAGAATTTATAAACCCGCACCTGTGATATATAAACCAATATAATTGTAACAAAAAAAAATTTAGTAATTATCATTGTGTTTAGATTCGTTAACTGTAGATGGCGCTATGCTGTCCATTTTTTAAAAATAAAATTAAACTGAATGAATAAAGGAAGCAGGCCCGAGCCGCGCCATTGTGCAGGATGTGCGCCGCACAGTTTCATAACTCATTTTCCTGTGTGTGTGTATGGCGTGTACACGACGTGTTCAGGAAACGGAACAGCTATCTTGGTCGATTTTTTTTGGTGGTTTTTTGGTGAGAAAATCACGTAAAGTAGTAGAATTAATCATTAAATAATATTTCAATAATAATTTGATTTTTATTCAATCTAAATTAGCATTATTTAGAATTTAATTTATTTTTAGTTGTTAAAATCCCATACATGACAGGAAAATTGTTTTGGATTCTGTATTATTTACTAGATCGTTGGCAATCATATTTGACCTGTCCAAAAAAAAAAAAAAAAAAAAAATTATGACGAATGATTAAAACTTGTTATTCAAGCTGAATGAAATAAATCAATAACATAACATATCGAATGTTCCACGATATTCTTTTTGTCCATCCAGTCGTCTAGTAGTTTCTCTATATTCTCGTGCCCGATGTTTCTTGATTTTTTTGTACCGATAGATGATATATGCAATATACGAAACCACCAAGACGACTATGATGATCCCCCCAGCTGTCATGAAGTATGACATTGTCTTAGAGATATATGAGGCAGCAATCCTTGATAGCAGCTTGTTTTCAACATCTATCAGTGTTTCTAAATTCTTGAGGCTGATGTCTGATTTATCTGGGTCAAACACTTTTTCGTTTACATAATCCGAAACATCAGTCTCTAACACCGATAGTGTTCCCAAACGGAAGCTTTGTACCAGGACGGTTTGTCCGTTTATGGAGATGTTAGTTCCCCGCTTTTGTTTATAAATTTGGTTTAGGCAGGGTGTTGGATGTTCTCCAATTGTCAGGTTCTGGGAATAACAATAATAGTAGACAAAGTCATGGTCCCATTTCAATTGTACCACTTCTTCAGGTATCAATGTTTCTGGACTTTCACATTTTACTTGTCTCCATTTTACATTCGCAGTTTTTATTGGAGTTTTGCACAATTCCGAATGGAATAGTAATAGTGTTTGATGATCTCCGATAGGGTTGTAAGGAATTTCTCGGAAGCATTTGGTTTTCCGATTAAAGACAATGTATTGTGGCCCCACGTATTCTGAGATGCATAGTTCCGTTTTTGGCTTAATCATTTCGTTGGTCTTTTCCTCCCGAATAATATAGAACGGATCGGCTCGTAAAAGATTAAAATCTGGGTCCATTTTGATGCCATTTATAGATAGGACAAGTTCATCGGAATTGGTCATTATGTCTTCTTTCAATATACATCCTTCCAATGACCAATACTCATCCGGTGCCTCTGGTCCCAATAATATATTATGGAACAAATCTTTCAACTGCATGGCTAGATGTTCATTGTCTGGTTGCAACATTTGTTTCATCAATTTTTCCTTCAAACAGATTAATGAAACCTTGCACATTGCCAGAAACATATTCGAGTTTCATAATTTCTTCCAAAATTCTCATCTTTTCGAGATAGGAATCTTCACATTTTTGGTCATGTATTCATAAATTTGAAATGGTGTCCGATATTTTTCAATTGACTTCTTGAATTTGAAATCAAACGTTAAACGCATATATCCACCAATTTTCAAATAATTTTCATAATTTGAATCAGTTTCGGTCAATTCTGACTTGACAAATTTTGTAACTCCGAGAGCCATCAATACATCATCAATTTCAGACTTCCACTCTGCAAAATTTTGACCATTATATTTAGGTACCATTTTGAAATGTACACCAGGATCAGAATTCCAATGTTGAACATCGGCCATTTTACCAACAGAACCAGCAGTACCAGCTGAAGATGAATTTGATGAATCAGAAGAATTTGACATTTGAAACAAAAAAAAAAACCAAAAAGAAAGAAAAATGAAAACGCTCGCTACCAATGTAAAATTAATAGACACGTGCTTATTGAATGACAGCACAAAATAGAATAATTTTATTTTTAGTTCAAATAAAAGTCAAACATCACAAAACCATACAATACAAAGAAGACTGTTCAAATACAAAGTTACAACAATGGTATTCCCCACTTCGGTGAACCTTCTCGTTATTGTATTCATGACCGTAATTTCCTGGAGTCGATGTTTCATTTCCATATTTTCTTGGTGCATCTTGGTGAGGACTTTTAGAAATTTCTTATTTATTTGGTTTTCTATTTCCTTATATGCCAGGTCGTTTCGTTGCCAGGACATTTGGTCATTAGGATCGTGGAAGTAACTGACTAGGCCAATGGTTGCTGTCAGCCTGATCACCCATTTGACCGTTTTGTAGACGAAACTAATAATTCCGCGTTTTTGAATTCCATGACCAAATTCATCTGTCATTTTTGTTGGACAAAACTGTCTCAATGGTTGGATGATTTGTTGTATATATCCTTGGAAGCATTGTTTTCAATTGTATTCGTTTAGAAAATGAACCGCTTCCGTTTTATTGAAGCTTAACTTGTCGATTATTTTGCACGGATTTTCTAGTTTTATTTTAACATCGGCCTGAACGACTTGTGTGGCCACATGATGACTGGATACCCAAGACGATCGGATTGACAAACATTATTCATACTAAATAGGATGATGGACCAAAATAGGATCGTGTTAATATGTCGTAATGCCATGATTCACTAAGAATTTCAGAAACAAACAAGAAAATTATTGATAGTACAATAGTATTGATCACTAAAAATTTTTGGTTCGGGATAGATGAATGTTGAAGTTTTATGATTTAGTAGTAAAGAAAATTTGATTCGATGAAAAATACAATGATGCAGTTTAATTTATAGGAAAATCGCATATACAGCAAGTTTTTCCAGAATAAAACCATTATTACAAATGACATATAACCAACAAGTTTTGACCAGATGTCAATGACTAAATCGATAAACAAATGGATCATTTCTGATAAATATTTGTGTTAATTTTTTTCCAAAACGTTATTGTTGATGTTTATTTACAAAGCAGCAAATGAGAATTTCCCAGAATAAAACCGTGAGTGAAGCTTTAATCGTAGAGACAATCGGTGTAAGCAATCTCACCAATCCACTTTCCGACAATCTTTCACGACAGTTGACCATGAATTTACAGGAAAAAAAATATTAGGCACATATTTAATGTGTAAATTTTTCCTAAAATATTCATTTGAAAGAGGAGAATTGATCGAAGAGTCCCAAAGTGACAGTGATTGATATATAGTTTATTATTGACCTTATATCGATTTTTAATTGAAACAAATTAAATGATTAAACTATTTTGAAAATCGACTTGTGGCCAAAACTTTTATTCAGTGTTGACAGATGTCGCTTTCCAACGGTTGAATTTAAACAACTGTTTTAACAATCGCGGGCTTTACTGCACAAATCCAAAATTTGTTAATACACAATGCAAGTACATGCAGGGTGTAAATGCTGAATTTCATATTCAAAAATTAATTTTGCGCAGTTGTTTTGACTAAATTGATGAAAATTGCTATTGTTGTTATTAGAAAATTTTTAAGGGAAAATTTCTGAAATTCACTCAAAATGCACTCACAAAACACTCACTGTAACTAAAACTGGAACTTGTGAAGCGTATATACGAGTTTTAACCCACATTGGCCCCCCATACTTACCTGGCGGGGTGATCGGGTTCTCAAGCAAACCCGGCACCGGGTGGAGTCTGTGCCATTGCACTTCGGCACGTGATGAAACCCGCCACTGGTCCAAAATGGATCAGATGGCTCGTGTAATTTTTGGTAGCGAGGTTTAGCGTACGCGCTGACCTCTTCCTTTTATAAAATTGAAAAAAGGGTGCACAAAAAACAAGTCATTATTGACAAATTACCCACTGGTGGCATGGGCGCCGACAGGGGGTGCAAGTAGGTGCATGTGCACCCCCTAGCTTTTGAAAAAAAGAAAATGGAGAAAAAAAATAAATCTTTCAATAATAAGAAAAAACGCGAAAAAATAGTTTGAATTTTAAATTTTTAAATTACAATTAGACATTTACATTTTACAACTTATTTTCTAAAAGAGCAACTCAAGCCTTCTTTTTTGTTGTCCAAACTTGTCTACAACTTTGTCGATAAAATTTGGACAATTATTTATTCTTTTTGTGTACACTAAGCATACATAATCCACTTAGTCTATCGTCACTCATTGTAGATCGGTTCCAAGTTTTGACGCGCCGTAATGTGCTAAAAGATCTTTCAATACTGCAGGTTGTTGCAGGAAGTGTCATGCCAATCTTGAGTGCCTCGGAAACAGCCGGATAAAACTTCGTAGCCTCTTCAATTAAACTCATGCAATCGGTAATTTCGTTCGCAATGTTTTTATTTTTCCACATCTCATACCATGTGGTAGCGTCGGATATAAAGTTTGGAATAATATCACCATACAGACTGTTAATGTCTTCCAGAACTGTTAAAAACGATGACTTGTCCAATTTACTCATTTCTTTTGGGTGAAGTTGTAAAAGTGAAAATGCTTTCTCTTGTGTAGAAGAATACCGAATTTGTAGAGAAGATATTATAGAATCCAAATAAGGGATGAAAATGGATCTCCTAAAATATTCTTCTGCGTTTTCAGAAGGTAAATTCGATCTGTGAACTTGCCTTTTATTTAACCGTGGCTGTTTTAATTCAATGTCTAATTCTTCACAAATCGATTGTTCTTTTTTGAAAATCAATGAAAACTCTTCAGAAACATTGTCTCGATGGGATTGCAGCACATCTGTTGATTGAATTATATGAGCAGTTACATCTTTAATGTTCATATTTACTTGCTGCAACTGATTGCACACAGATTCGAGTTTAGCCGAATAAGTAGCAATTACTAAAAGCGTCAAAATGTAAGTTGGAGTTGTGATAGCAGTGAACAGCAAATGAGCCTTGACCTTTGTGTTTTTGTTCGCACTGTCCTCTGTAAGCTTTTCTAGCGCTTGGACAATTACCAAAAAGTTCTCAGAAAATATTCTGATACTTTTATACTTTGCCGACCAACGTGTTTCACAAGAATCAAAGATCGTCGTAAAGTGCTCTCTCTAAAAAAGTTGATTACTTCCTTAGTTGTGCCACTGGCATTTTGAACTTCTTTGACATTGTTCAAGTCATTAATGACGAGATTCAATATATGACTGGCACAATGAAAATACAAAGCCTTAGGGTGCTTGTCTCTGATAAGCTTCTGAACACCACTTTCTTTACAAAGGGATGATTCGTCCTGCTATCACGTATGGTTATCAAATTTGGGGTGATAAACTAATTGTCAAAACAAAAAATAAGCTTAACTCAATTCAGCATCATATTTTATTAAAATCAATTTATGCATATCAAACGGTTTCATGCAATATTGTCTGTATTCTCAACAACGTCGAAAAATTAACTGATTACATTGATTCTTCTCTAATTACGTACAAGATTCAAGACAAGGTTGTTAGGAAAATTATTATGGCTATTCGGAAGAAACAAATTATTAAAAATTATTTCAACGATGTAAACGACAATTTCAAAAGCTACTTTCCCACATCGCAAATCCCAAAATTCTTCAAGCCTAATTTCTACAACGTACAGTTTATTACAGGTCATGGTCATTTCATGAGCTACCTTCACCGAATTAATGTTAAACCAACTCCCGCTTGTGAATGCGGTCACAGCTACCAAGACCCTAATCTGTTGAACTACGATGCGCATGTTCTATTTTAGTCATTGGCTCTGTGTCATTTAAACTTTTGTCTTTTCTAAATTTTGTTTGTATTTTTCATCTCATTTAAAGACACGTGTTAATTTTCCATTATCATTATTATTTTTTCTGTGGTGAAAAACATTTTTGATAATAAACCTTTGTTTATTGATTATTTTTCGGCTGAAGTTTATGTCTGTGTATTGTTTGTTTTTTTTCTGTATCGTAAAATTTCGTATCAATACACTAATCATATGCTGTTTGACTGCTCGATCCACCAGCAAATCCATCACAATTTAATTAATCCATGGGAATTTATGATCAACAAACATAATTTTACGTTGTTTAATAATATCTGCAAGGGATACGTAGTATCCAATTATTAATTTGATTACTGTATTACATTTTCTTTTGTTTGTTCCTTTATAACACAAATGCCATCATGGCAGTGTGTTTTATTCTAAATTAATAAATAAATAAATAAAGCATCAGATATTTTATTTTCATCTTTTTCTTCTTTATTCGAGTACCTTCATTAGAATAAGTAGCAAGTTAAGTGGAAAAAACCACCAGAATAATTGGGCTTTGGTGTGTTCATATATACATCCATTGACCATATCTGGTATACTTACCTGTTGGGGGTGTGGCATTTCAAGCAATTCCAGCCCCGGGTGGAGTCTGTGCCATTGCACTTCAGCACGTGATGAAGCCCGTCACTGATCCAAAATGGATCAGATGGCCCAAGTAATTTTTGGTAGCGAGGTTTAGCGTACGCGCTGACCTCTTCCTTTTATAAGATTGAAAAAAGGGTGCACAAAAAACAAGTTATTGGTCTCCACATTCGCAATTACCCCCTGGATGTGTTTTTGTGAAGCATCAGATATTTTTAGCCCCAAGAAAAGAGTTCCCACGGAAAAATTTCTGGGCTACAAATGTGATATTTTGGTTCTATAGAGCAGGCTTACAATCTGATCAATCGATCGATTTTAAACGAAAATGGAAGATCTTAAGCGCTTTAAGCAGAAAAATAGAACCATTGCAGCCCATCACGTGATCACAATTTACAGGGAACTTTTCACCTGAATGAAATAAATTTCCGAAATCATTCTCATTTTCTGCATATCCGCTGCTTATCTGGTTCATATTTTAATCATTTTATTTTAAAAAATAAAGTTAATTATTATCATTAATCATAAATCAAAAATTAAAATTCAAAAATTGAAAATCAAAAAAAAACAAACAAAAAATGCCAAGAAATGTGATAATTCATAATGATGAAGATTTTTTTCCTTCTTTTTTGATTTTTTCATTGTGTAATTTTTTAATAAATTTTTAACATATAGTTTTGCAGAGATGCCATATGCCTTTAATATCATCATTTGGCATCATAGATGATGCCAAATCACTGGAATGTACAGCGATTCTGTTTTTCCCGATTTTGATTATATTCTAAAAAATAAACTTAGTTAGTTTTGCAAAATAAAGTATAAAAATTCATACGTTGGCATTTATGCCATGACTATTTGTCAAGTAATCGATTCTTCTTGTTAGTTCTTGACATTTTTGATTCAGTTCTTCCACTTGCTTGCATTTCTTCGAATTTATGATTTTCGTCAGCTCGACATAAGGATTGTTTTTTTTTTTTTGAATAACTTCTGCCTCTGTACCTAAAACAAAATATGATGTTATAAAATTTAAAATGTGGTCTTGTTTATTACAAATATAAAATTCTATTACCCATAACAATTATTTTTCCTTTTCTTTTATTAAAGTCTACCGAACTATATTGAATGTCATCTTCATTCCTTCACCGCCATTTTGGATCGAAATCAAAAATTTGGAAAAATCTAATTACAAGCAATTTGCCAGAATCATCTATTAATGATGCCAAGTTTGTTATAACAACAATTAAAAATCTTTTCGTTACGACCATCAGAACGTGATTGGGAAGCATTAGTCGAAATCGCTATATTGATACGAAACACCTTATCAAGTGCAAATCTAGCATCAGAAGAACGATCGTTGGTAGGTGTACTGTTACATAAAATTGATCTTCATGCACATTGGTGATAAGCGAGCCATTACGTTGGAACAAATACTATCCAACCTGGATCATTAAGCTGTGCGATGATTATTCCTTTGTCTCTTGTGAAGTCAAAATTTCTTTTTAAATCGTAAAACGCTTAAGCATTTTCGCTTTTGACAACCATCTGACTTCACATTAATATGTAACATCGTCATAATCGGAAAATAATTCAGCCAAATAATTTCTGAATTGACGATGTTTCTGAATTTGTTAACTTGACCGATTTCGCACATAAATTTTGTTGATGGATAATACAATGTAAGTTGGTCAGCTTTTTGGACCAATTTTTTGTTAACATTCCCATTGAACCCTTTCTGGGTTCCGATCATTGCTGGCGCACCGTCGGTGCATATCCCTGTCAATAAATTCCAATTGATTTTTTGAAAATTAGATCGACAGAGTTGAATATTTCTTCTCCGGTTGTGATCCCTTTCATAGGGTGGAGAGATAGTAATTCTTCTGTTATGTTAAAATTTTCATCAATACCTCGAATGAATATGGCTAATTGCGCTGTGTCTGAAATATCAGTGCTTTCATCCAGTGCTATTGAAAATTCTTTGAAATTAGCGATTTTGGCTTTCAAACTTTTTTCATTTCAATACGTCGAACAAGCTTGTTCAATTTTAACAGTCCATCATGAAAAAATCCTGGTGGGTGGTGCAACATATTCGGATGATTCGGATAATGGTGCATTGAGAAAAGATATTCGTATATCAATTTGACGAGTATTTAATTTGAATGCTGCAGCATAACTCAAAATCTGTTAGAATAAATAAAAGTTTAAAAATTGCACGAATAGTTCTGGCAATTTCGAAAATTAATCAATTAATTTAAAAATCGTTCATTTATACTTACTTCGTTTGCATTTTCTTCAACTCTTGCATGCTAAAAGAAAGAGCAATATCAAAATGATTTTTCGTAAATTATCATCATTATATTTTTACTTACCTTATTATCTTGCATTATTTTTTTTTCTTCATCAGAGAATTTTTTTTTGTTAGCTGTCTGTTACAACAACAATAAAAATCTTTATTACTGGAAATTAAAAATGATAAATATTAAAAAGAATCATTTTCAATGTATAATTTTCATACCGATCGTTGGTATCAACAAAAATCATAAAAATTCAATTGGTCTCATTTGACCAAAACACTCGATTAATTTTAGCAAGTACTTTTCTTTTAAAATAACAGATTTCCTTCGATAATTTTGAGTAAAATTCACACTTATAAGTGGTGACAAAAGGCATTAAAAATTGTATCGCTTCTTTTGACAGCGCAACCAAAAATTAATTAGTGGTGCCGTTTCAAACACTTTTTTAAGATCGGTGTCGCATGAAATTTCAATTAAATTATCAACTTCTTGTTCACTAAGATTAAGCATTTCTTCCTTTTCAATTTCGACAGAAAAAGCACCTTTAATCCAAATATTATTTGAGGGAATATCCGGAAAGTAGTCTGTTACAACAACAATTGAAAATCTTTATTACTGAAATATAGGAATGATATATATTATAAAAAAGGAATAAATATACATTTAACATACCAATCGGTGGTATTACAATAATCATAAACACAAAAAAAATCACAAAACAAAAATCATTTGAGTCAGTAAGCCAAATCGAACAATTTTACAACCACGAACAGCGAACACGCTGCTTTTCATTCATCCTTCATAAATATCGTACCGCTACAGTAGTCTTTAAAACTATTTATTAGAATCGTAAGATGTTCTTGAATTGAAACTGATAGTGTTTCAAGATGTAAATCTTCTTCATCGTAGTTTGAATGGATTTCAATAAATTTATGTAATGTCTTGTATGATTGTGTCCCTCCAACGAGAACACTACGCTGAAGCATCGAAACTGATCATAAAAAGTAATGATCCTTAAACAATTTGAGTTGTGAAGCAAAAGAATATAGCTTCTTCAAAATTTCAGTTTCAGTTAGTTCAGATATGATGTATTTTTGGTAAGCGTTTTACTACATTTATTTCAAGCAAAGTGATTTAGATCGTGATCAATTTGTGGTTACGAATATATTGAAATTGATTTTGATTGTGGTACTCAAATTTTTGAAATTTGTTTTGGGATTGCATCCCGGAATTTGTGTGGATATAGTCGTACTGGATAATTTAGTTCATCATATTTTTTGCGTAAAATTGGGTAATTCGCGTCTATTTTATTTAAAATAATGAGCATCGTATTTTCAGGAATGCTTGTGATATACAAGCAATCGTTATTTCTTCCACAAATCTGTTCAACAATCGATCTAATAATCGACCGAATCATCATTAAACTTAACGTTTTAAATGTTACTATCAAATTCCGATTCAGCAAAAATGCGTTTACGTTATCATCAAATATTGGGAATTCATAATTATCCGGCACAAACGTGCCATTTGAATTGATAAAATTACCTGCGTAATTCTAAAATAAAATAAAATTCAACATTATTATTATATATGAAATATTTGAAATCCAAAACATTCATGTTTTGTATTTTAAATGTTACACATATACATATATAAGACTTACTTTTTTTCAATTGGTATCGACTCCAATTGTCAAACCGTTTGTTGATGCGATGTTTTGCATTACTTATTATTTTATTATATTCGCTACCTTTTTCGACGATTTTCGCCATTGCATATTGTTCTAAATGTTGCAATGATATCGGTTGAAGGAATTTTATTGAATATCATAAAAGAGACTTACCTATTAATAAATCAACCGATTTTTTGAGATCGGTTGGAAGATTTTTGGTGGATTTATATTTTTGAAAGGTTTTTATTCCGAAAACCAAATACATTAAGTTGGCAAGGTCGCTATTTCCGGTATCGTTGGCGGCTATATGCAAACACTCGTCTTTAACCAGCCATTTCCAACAAAAAAATCGCCATTTTTTACGGCGTTATCTATTATCAAAGGATTGTCCAATTTTTTGTTTCATTTTTTTTTCTTAAATTCCAATCAACTGAAATCATATTTTTTGAAGTGCTTACCGAATAAATCGTGAAAAATATCTAGGGGTGCTATATTGGAAATTGTAATATCAAAATGATTTTTCGTAAATTAACAATCACCATCGGAGAATTTTTTCTTGTTTTTTTGTTCCATCTTAAATACTTTTATTAAGTCGAAACAAACTGAAATGTCAATTTCGATTTCGATTTCGATTGTCAACTTCACTCAATTTCCTGTTTTTGAGCAATCTTTCGTAAACAATGTTCCAACTTTGAAAACAGTTAATATAAAAATTTCGTCATGAAAAAATGAAATAAATTGATAATAATAATATTTTATTAGAGCGATTATTCTTTAAGAATAAAAGTAATTGTTACATCAACAATTATGATCTTTATTTCTGGGATTAAATAATAAATTATAAATTACAATTGTTAAAAATGAATTACATACCAATCGCTGGTATCATTTAAATTAACAAAAAATCAATTAATTTTACAAACGGACAAAACTCAAGTAAAACGCACGTGGTATTTTCTCTAACACAAATACATTCAGCATTATTTGTAACGTTCATATATATCGTTCAGTTACAAGTAATCATGATGCAAAACTGGCGACGCATAGTCGTCCTGCCTATTGTAACCTCTTCCTATTTCGACCGAGAATGTCGGTGAGAGCAACGAGCACATGTTTCCAACCGCAAATTCCGAATCTGATTCCGCACATAACACATTCACACTTGAACACGTCAACATCACAGAGTTCAATAAAATCGATTTCAAAATCCAAATCCAATAGTTCGACCTCATTTGCAAGCGACATATGTGTATTTGTTTTCGAGTGATAGTGTAGATGTTATAACAAAATTTTGTGAAAATGTTGTAATATTGTTTGTTTTGCATGAAAGAAATTGATTATTGATATTTATCGATAATTATGGCACGGTATTGCTCCAGTTGTTATTTGCAAAATAACTTATTGGAATTGCAAGACGCCTATGAAATGGTTGAATAAAATGATATTAAACAAAATTTGACTAAACAAAAATGCGAACTGAAACATTATTTCGAAGAATGGTAAAGTGTTTAAATAGCTTTTTTTGTTTTTTAATAAGAAATTTCATTAATTTAATCATTTTTTAATTTTTGAATCTAATCTTTTCAGGTTATTACTTCTGATAGCCAGCTATCTATTCAATATTGTTCTGTCGAAGGAATTTTAAAATCGATAATCAACCAACATCATTCATTGATTGATTCAATCGAAAAAGAAAAATCATTGAATTTTATCCCGGAACAGAATCGAAACTGTATGATTATTCGAAACGAGTTGGACACGACTGATGAAAGCATGTTTCAAAGACTTAAAGGAAAACTTTGAGTTGAAATTTCACTTGATGATTTTTCTTTTATTGGAAAAAATGGAAAGAAATTCTTAGCCGGTTACATATCATGCACTAATCTACCATTGAATGAACGTACGAAACGTGATAACATACACTTGTTTCTGATGGTTAAGAAACCACGTACTCGAATAGTTCATTTAAAATAGGCGGTTATTATAAATGCCCATACCATGATTGCAAGAAAAATTTTCGTAATCACGCATCATATAAGAAACATTATACAAGAAAACATTTAAACATCGACTTTCGTTTCAAATGTACGGAAGTTGGATGTGGTAAATCATATTCTACAAAGTTCTCCCTTAACCAACATATAAAAAATTGCCATCATCATGATTATTCCGCCCCATCTGTTCCATCATCATCTCCAAATTGGTAAACAAAGATGATCTTGATAACGAATATGCATAGTGGAAGCAATGAACCAGATATTGAAACCGTTTGTCGGTGAAATGAAGCTGCTTGAAAAAAACGGCATAACAATTAATAATGAAAATGGCGAAACAACCAAAATCAATGTTACACTTTGTTACACAAGTTGAGTGTGACAACCTAGCTCAAAATGAGATATTAGGTTTTTCGATAAATCATTATTTCATATTTCATGTTTAATATTTAAATTTATTATTATTTATTATTATCATTATTTCCAAATTATGATAATGATGATAAATTTCTTTGTCCTTGGCCAAGATGCGGCAAACAATTCGTTAAAATGGGAAAATATAATAAAACTGTTGAAATAGCTGTGAACGTGATTCACCAAACTCACAATGAATGTTACTTTCACATATATAAATACCAATATACACTTGTATTGTATAGCTGATCTTTTGGTCATACACACACACATCATCGACTCACTACATTTATTTTCCTCTTATACTTATTCTTTTGTTTTCTTCCATATTCCCATTTTCTTTTTTTTCATCTCGGCTAAATTAATAAAGATCATATTAAATAAATTCAACAATAATACAGTGCAAGCACTTTGCGAGTGTAAAAGTTGCAGTTACTCACAAACGTTAGCCTCTTAAAGAGATAATTAAAGAGATAAATAAATAAATAGATAATAATAAATAATTGTAACAAAAAAAATATCCATTATTGTGTTATGAGTGGTGAAACAATCACCACATGGTCTACGTGACAAGTGTCAGATAGCTGGTTAATAACAAATGGCGTGGTCAAACAGATTGGCAGTTGGACGGTCCGAAAAACGGTTGGAAAAATCATATAAAAGTCCATACCACACAAGCAATCATCACCTCGGATCATTTTTGTTGGCTGGCCGTTTTAATTTACCACCACCATCATCACCATAAACATTTTTTTTTAATTTTTCCAACACTTGTATTTTCATCGTTTTTACAATATTAAATTTTCTCATATTTTTAAATTCGTGTTGTGTAAATACGCGTGTGTTAACTTCGTCCACCAAGAACGCTATACATCACATTCATATACTATATGACGTCACGTAATTGTTGATCATTTCGGCTGTCACTAATTCTGGCATATTTTCGTTTGTCAATATTTTTTTTCTATAATTCGTGTATATTTGATCATCGATAATGGCAAGATCACCGAATGAAAGTATCGATATTGAGTTATTTCAAGATGATTTCAAAAACATCGATCAAGAATTTCTTCAATCAGTTGTTTCGATTTTCAAATTTGGAATTTCAACAGAAAATAGCTTTATGGAAGAATTTTTATTGATGACCAAAGAAGCTACATTTGCATATGGTGAACAAATATGCTCATGGTTATCGTTGGAACATGATATGAGCAAACCACAACGGATATCACTCTTAAATGATGTGAAAATTGTTCAAGTAGATTTTGGCTGGGGTTTTGTTGCCATTCTAACTGATGATGGAAAAGTATTCATAGCCAGCAAGGTTAAAAGTAATTGGAAAACGAATAAAACATTACGATTAATCAACACCGGTAATGACAAATTCAAGATGATTGCTTGTGGACGGTGGCATTTATTATTGCTACGACAAGATGGTCATGTTTTCTCTATGGGCAATAATAGTCATGGTCAAATAGCTGGTAATGAAAGATTATCATATGACAGTATGATCCAAATAAAGAAGCTAGAAAATGTCAAGCTTATAGCTTGTGGATTTGATCATAATTTATCAATAACTAATAAAGAAGAAACTTATTCCTGGGGCGGTAATAGTTTTGGTCAATTAGGTCTTGGTGATGAAAAAGACCGAAAAACCCCACGTCTTGTTGCATTTCCAAATGTTGATTCAACCCGCATCAAAGATATTGTGGCTGGCATATTCTTTTCATTATTTTTATTCGAAAATGGTCAGCTTTGGGCATGTGGTTCTAATTACAATGGTGTACTTGGTCTTGGTGAAACAAAGATTCGATCAACACCGACAAAAATACCGATTAAAAATGTAAAACAGATTGTATGTTCGAAAGTCGACAGCTTTTTATTGGCAAATGATGGGTCATCGTATTATGCATGGGGAAAAGCCAAATATAGAAAATGGTCATCACCTAAAAGATTTGATGATCATCCGACGTCATTTGTAGCTGCATCAACAATGATTTTTCCATCACCACTAACATTTGGTCTCACATCAACAATCTATGTATTCGGATCACATGATTCAATATCGTACCAATCCAAATCAATCCTCCAACTATTCGATAATCAAGATAGTTATGATGTGGAATTTTTAATTGACCAAAAACCTATTAAGGCATGCAAATGTTATCTCGAATCTATATCGGAATATTATCGACGAATGTTTTCCGGTAATTGGAGTGAAAATGACCAAGTGAACATCAACAATTACTCGTATGATACATACTATGCCTACTTGCTTATGTTACATACTGGTAAAATTCATATCAATCATCAAAACATAATCGAACTTGTTGATCTGGCAAATTGTTATGGAGATTTAAAATTGATGGAACATTGTGAAACATTCATACGGAATGATCTGAATGCACAAACTATGACAACATATCTTCCATTAATTATCAAATACGAATTGAAGATATTGGAATATAAATTCAGAAATATTGCAAAACCACTGGCTGAAAAAATCGATATTGATTTATTTGAAGAAGATTTAGAAGACATCCATCAAGAATTTCTCCAATCAGTCGTTTCGATTTTCAGCTTTTCCTTCAATGTCGAAAAACAATTTTTATTGATGACCAAAGAAGCTACATATGCATATGGTGTAGAAATATGCACATGGTTATCGTTGGAACATAAATGGTCCGAACCACAACGGATATCACTTTTGGATGATATGAAAATCGTTCAAGTAGATTATGGACGTAATTTTATTGCCATTCTAACTGATAATGGACAAGTATTTCTAGCCAGCGATGAAGAAACTAAATGGAAAACGAATAAAACATTACGATTGATCAACACCGGTACTGACCGTTTCAAGATGATTTCTTGTGGAAAGTTGCATTTATTATTGCTACGACAAGATGGTCATGTTTTCGCTATGGGTGATAATAGTCATGGTCAAATAACTGGCAATAAAAAAATCATCATATGAAAGTATGATAGACATTGATAACCTAGAAAATACCGAGCTCATAGCTTGTGGGTGGTTTCATAGTTTATCAATAACTAATAATGGAGAAATTTATTCCTGGGGCCATAATGATTTTGGTCAATTAGGTCTTGGTGATGAAAACAAACGAAACGCCCCATGTCTTGTTTCATATCCTATTGCTGATTCAACACTAATCAAAGATATTGTGGCTGGTGACCGACATTCATTATTTTTATTCGAAAATGGCCAGCTTTGGGGATGTGGTTCTAATAGTGATGGTGAACTTGGTCTTGGTGATGATATTAAACAATTAGTGTTGACGAAAATACCGATTGAAAATGTACAACAAATTGTATGTTCAAAATTCCACAGTTTTTCATTGGCATATGATGGATCATCGTATTATGCATGGGGCAAAATCATATATAGCAAATTGTTGTCACCTAGAGAATTAGATGATTCACATTCATCATTTGCTTCTGCATCAGTTCAGGTATTGAATCCATTCACATTTTGTCTTACATCAATAATCCATGAATTCAAATTACATGATCCAATATCGTATCAATGCAAATCAATCCAATTATTCAATAATCAAGATAGTTATGATATGGAATTTATTATCGATGGCAAACGTATAAAAGTGTGCAAATGTTATTTGAAATCTGTATCCAAATTTTATGGTGATAAATTTTCTGATGATTGGAAAGAAAAAAAAGAGGTAACAATCAATGAATATAGCTATGATGCATACTATGAATATCTACGTATGTTACATACGGGTAAAATTTATATTAATCGTCAAAATATAACCGAACTTGTTGGTATGGCCAATTGTTATGGTGTCGAAAGATTGATGAAATATTGTGAAACATTCATACAGAATGATCTAAATAAACAAACTATGCTTACATATGTTCCATTAATTAACAAATATCAGGAATTTTATGCCAAACTTGTTCATCTTGACCAAAATTGAGGACAATCTTCAACAAAAAGAAAATTTTTTTTTAAACTTTCTTGACTAATTTTACCATCAACAATCATTCATTCGATAATAATTACATTGTTTCAAAAAAAAAAAAAAAATTTACTTTTTCATTTTTTCTTTTCAATTTTGATCAATAAATCGAATTATTAATTCAAATGACTTGCTTAGCTTATTTTTTTTTCTTTTTACCAAAAAATAGAATCTGTAGTGGAAAAAAATTCAATAGAAAATTTCTTCTTTCAGAATCACACTACTTGCTACTTTGACCAACTAACTAAAGAACCAGCAGACCATAATAATGACATATTTGATTGCCATTGAATTATGTGTCATAATGATGATTATATTCCATTCCAATTCATTTTATTCAATGTAAATTTTTTTCGAATACGAAAAAACAGAATCAGTAATGTGAAAAAATTACTATTGAGGATCATTTTATTATTTTTTTTATTGATTTATGAATGGATGGAAAAGTTTTCGGCAATTATATAATAAAAAGCGACCCTCATCACATTGTTTAGGATTGTTTTGATCCATGGATGGCTGATATCAATATCAGATCGAATATGATTCCTGGGGGGGACCTTTTTAGCATGATCTTTAGATTCAAAAATTAGTGTCAAACATACAACCGAATACGAATCCGAATCGTCTTGATCTTCTCAGATGTATTATTTTTCGATAAAGATATTTCGACCATTCGTCATAATCTTTGGATGGACCAGCTTGTTATGAAGTCATTTCATTTGAACCACCATTAAGTCTTTTTTTCATTGCCAATTTGATTTTCTTGTATGAAAATATGTTCACGAAATTGTTTAACTTGTTCATCTAGTAGATCTGTTTGTTGTTGATCTCGATTTATTTATTTATTTTTTTTTTACGAATACACAAAGAAAAACGCCGACCCAATTCATTCAATTTCCATTCTGCTTGTTTGTTTGCAAAACAAAATATGAGGGAAAAAAATCTTTGACAATATTGGAAGAATGTTGAACATTAAGCATCAGGCATTTCAATTTTTTGATTACAACTTTATTTTTGAATTTTTATCTTTTTTTTTATTCAAGTATTTTCATTGCAATAAGTAGCAAGTTAAGTGGAAAAAACAGATATACCGAGATAAAAAAAATCTGCTTCATCATTTAGCTTATAAAAACAAATTATAAATTTAAAAAAATATGGCAAATATGATTATGGCAGCTATAAATGATATTCAGCATTTTCTCATTTTGAATGTCCATTTGTTGCACCATTAGCAGCAACAGTAGTAGTTAAATCATTTTGTTGCAATGATTGTAAACGAATTTGATCCTGAATTTTGGCCAATTCTTGTTGCATACGACGAATTTCAGCTTCTTTTTCCAATAATAATCGATCTTTTTCTGTTTCATCCATTGTCATACCGCTAAGTATTGATACATTATCACGTACATCGCTTGTATTGAATCTTCTTGTCATTGGACTCATATCGCCACCAGAATTGGCCAAATGCAATGAACGATAATTTTCATAATGTAAATCATGTGTTACTTCATGCAAATCTTGCATTTGTGATACCAACATTGAACGCAATTTAACATAATCACTATGATCATCACATTCGGTACGAACAATACCCCATGGATATTCACGGCCACGAATACGTTCACCATTTACTTCGATAATATCCACCGATGAAGAAACTGCGAATGGCATTGAATTTTGTAATTGTCTTACATGTTCCTGTGATAGAAAAAATAGATAATTTCAATAAAAAAAATGAGTACTTTTTGACAAACCTTATATTCAATATCATCATCTGGATCACAATCCGGTATTGTATAGATATCGATTTGATGTTGTTTAATCTCTTCAAGAATACGTTTCTTCAATGTGGATGTTTCATTTGGTGTAAGAAAATCAGATTTAGCAATCAATGGTACAATATTAACTTTATGTTGTAATAATTTTAAAAAACGAACATCCGCCGGTTTCAAGCCATAATTAATTGGTGAAATAAAGAAAAAACAACAATGAACACGTGTATCACGTATCTGGCGACGATTTAATCCGGATTCATTTGTTAAATATTTTCTATGTTGTTCATCAATATATTGTAATATTGGATCATAATTATCCGAACAATTCAATGCATCACCATAACCAGGTGTATCGACAACTAAATAATTGGAAAATGGAATATTTATTAAAATTTTAAAAAAATATTAATATTTTCAATTGATACAAACCGGTCAATTTAAGACGGACACCACGTTCTTCAATATCCAATGATGTAGTTTCAATTGATAATGTTCGATCCAATAATTCTTGTGTGGTTGGAATCTTTCGATTTGAATTAATATTTGTGCCAAACAATGAATTGATTAATGTTGTTTTTCCCAAACCAGATTCACCGACAACCATTAGATTGAATTCGAAACCTTTTTTTGCAAATTTTCTTTGTACTTGATTCGGTAGATTGGCGAATCCAAGATAACTTGTTGTCGTTGCCATATTTTGATTCGATTAATTGATCACACAGAGATGAGTGGAAATTGTTTGTTAAACACAACGTTGTTTGAATGTCAAAAGTGATTGAATGTGAGGAAACAAAATCGAATAGAAGACTGGTAATTTTTTTTTTTTTGATTAAATCGAAAAGCTCGATGCGGATGTGTTAGATATTTTTGGTGAAATTTAACAAAATCTGATCAAAAACAACTTTTTTCCTGTTGCTGCTGCTGTGTATTGGGTAAACAACATACAAGTGGACTGGCTAGAAAAACGACAAATTTTCTATATAATCAAATTTGACAAAATGAAATGATATGAAAAAAAAATGTGGAATTAAAAAAAAAACAGTAACAGTCGTTGTTGTTGATGATCAATGACACTCAAAACACAAACATAGAAAAACCTGATTCAAAAAATGACAGAATGCAATTGCAGCAAACAAAAATCTGTTGCACACAATCACAGCCAAAACCATCGAAAAATCGAAATGTTTGGATAACACTGTGTGGTGGTGGCGTCGGTGGTGGTGTGTTTGTCCAACCAACCCAACGCTCATTGAGCTCGATCCATTTTAACTAAACATGCTGCGCCCGTTAAATTGTGTAGTAATAGTGGACACAATCGTCTTGTTATTTTTTTTCACAAAAACGGTGAGCGCGAATTTCAAATATTTTATTTTTATAAATTCTTTTTCAGAATTTTACAGAATTTATTGCTCAATAAACATGTTTAGCTACATAATTACTTTTTGTAGCCGTAGATGATGTTGTTGTAGATGATCCAGGCATATATCGTCCTTGACTAGCCAATGAATTTGCTTTCATTCGTCGTATTAATTCTTCACGAGCTTTACCAACATTTTCAACATTTCCAGCCCAAATGGTAATGGCTGAATTCTGTAATGCACGACCATAACTAAAACTTAATTTCCATGGTGTTTGTGGTTTGATTTTTGAACCAATTTGATTGATCATACTTAAATTAACTGTTGCTTCTTCTTCAGATTGTCCACCGGATAAAAACATTATACCAGGAACGGCTGGTGGTATTGTACGCATCAATGTCATAACTGTTGCCATACCGATTTCTTCGGCATTATTTTCTGCCTTGCCATTAAAATCATGTCCGGCTGTGATCATATTTGGTTTGAGTAGAATACCTTCCATTAGAACATTATGTTCATGAAGTGCAGCAATAGTTGCAGCAAACACTTTCTGGCTAATCTGTTGACATTTTTCCAATGAATGATTACCATCGGATAAAACTTCTGGTTCAACAATTGGTACGATTCGACATTCCTGACAAATGGATGCATAACGTGCTAATCCACGTGCATTTTCAACAATAGCCAATTGTGATGGTGAACCACCATGTTCATCAATTTTTAATACTGCTCGCCATTTAGCAAAACGACAACCAAGTTTATAATATTCTTCACATCTTGGTTTCAAATCATCTAAACCTTGAGTGTTTGTTTCATTATTAGTACCCATTAATAAGACTAAACCTCTATCTACTTTAATTCCAGGCACAATATTCTTTTCACGTAATAAATCCACAAAACCTTTTCCATTATCATCTTTCTGATATAAAGTTTCATCATGAAGAATAACACCACTGATAAATTCACGAATTCGATCATCACCAAATAACATTTGACGATATAAACGACGATTTTCTTTCGTATTTTCCACGGCAATCTGTACAAATTTCTTTCCAATCGTTGACATTGATTCATCGGCTGCTAAAATACCTTTACCATTTGTAGCTAATAATCTTGCAGTTTGTTGTAATTCATCTTGAATATTTTTCGATAACATCAACGTCATTTTTCTTTTTTTTTTAATCAACAGAATACAAATGAACAAAAATTGAATCAAAATTTCATTCACAAACACAACACAACACAACGATTTATGTTTTATTCATTTTTTTTATTCAGCTGTAATGAAATTAGTGTTGTTTTTTTTCATTCAATCTCTTTCACATTGTTGTCATTCGAAAATTTCCATTTGTTTTTTGCCTTTTTTCAAATTCCAGAAACAACAACATTAACAATATATAAATTAATATTTTAGTCCATATTATTGTGTGCGATAACAATTTAACAATTTGTGATAAAAGTGGAAGAATCTATGTATAAAACAGTGGACAATATATATTTAGCATTTTGAAATGGAACCAGAATTGTGACAGCAACATGGAATGTATGAGAAAACCATTCAAAAGAATAGAAATACAAGAAAGAATAAAAATGTGATGATGATGATTGATGAAATATGAATGAATGAATGAATGAAAAATCGAAATGTTTTTATGATGATGACGATGATGGTGATGATGATGATAATGAGAATAGAAGAATTTTAAAAAAACAATGGCATGATTGGCAATTTATTTTGAAATTCAGAAATATTTTTTTTTGTCATTTTGATTTTTGTGATTTCAGTAAATTTTTTTTTTTTTAAATATGTGACTCACAACTAATGATAAACTTCGCAACGATCTTTATTACCAGGTCGACAACGTCCAACCTCTTCAACAAATACCTGATCAGCTGGACAATGATGTGTCAATGTACGGAAACCTTTTTTACCACGACCAGCTGGTGCACAAACAACAAACATACCACAACTTTCGGGATGTGCAAATACACCACGTTTCGAACAACCAAGACCACCATCATTATTTGAATATACGGATGGCCCATGAAATGTATCAATCGATGGTGCAATATATGGACGACGAGTTGTTGTTGTCGTCGTCGTTGTTGTTGTCGTTGTAGTTCTAGGTGCTGTTGCATGTGAACTTGTCGTCGGTGATTGATTATGATGATTATGATGATGATGTATGCCAGGTAATGGCCTTCTTGGACGTGCAATTCTTCGTCTTGGACCCAATGAATGAAGTATTGGATCATCATTTGTAATCAATGCTGTTGGTATCGGTGTAGTTGGATGTGATGACGATGATGATAATGTTGCTGTCACACTGTCCAATAGGTCGGATAATCTATTTTTCTGAAAATTATTCGCCTGAATTGGATTATATAAACTACTTGTACTGGTGAAGGGTGAGATATCAAATTCTGGTGGTAATGTATTGTAATTGGTAAATTTTGGTACTGGCGATGGTGTTGTAGTTAATGGTAATGATGTTGTATGCAGAATATTAAATGGTAACTTATTATCTTCAGCTGCACGCGGAGGTGTGTTGATCAATAGATTGATTGGATTTTCTTGCTGCAATGGAATATTGAATTGATTCTGTGGTTTACGTCGTTGATGTTGAGCATGTTGAGATTGTTTTGGTTTTGATGATGATTGAGAATTATGACCAATATCATTATTAGGTAATTGATAAGGTGGTGGTGGTGCTGGTTGAAATTGACGTAAATATGCTGACAGAGGAAGTTCACTACCTGGTGGTAAAAATTGTCCCGGTTGCATCAATGACGGTGGTGGTTGTGGTCCAGACATTCGATTATCCGATGATGATTGATGGTCGAAAAGGAATTCATCTTCATAAACTACACCGGCTTTATCGGGTACTAAAACTGCCGTTGAAAACTGGTGCATCGTATTTGGATGTGGAAGACGAATACGTCTTGATATTGTCATTGCCGGATCTTTTTGCCGGGCAGTTAAACTATTATCGATTATATCCGATGGTAATGCTCGATTATTATTCGGTGGATTATCCGATGGCATTAATTGATATGGTAATTTAAATATTTGTCTTGTATTAGGATCGATTAAAACTGCCGATGTTAATGATTCATTTGAAAATTTTTGTTTATTTTCTTCTAAAATTAATCGTCGAGAATTTTGCATATCATTGAAAGCATTTATCATCATATTACGACCTTCAGGTTGATTATAATTAAATTCAAATGGTTTTGCATTAGATTTCTTTACAAAATTATCGATTGATTCGGCTTCTAGATTAGTATTACTACCACCACCACCATTATTATTATTATTTCTACCATTTGATTTTGGTTTCTCGTAATATGTAAACAACGATAATGTTGTCGGTGGTATCGGAGTGGTGGCTGTAGTAGCCATCGTTGTTGCCGTAGCTTCGGAATCTAAAAATTGTGGACGTCGTTGTCGAATAGGTTTCGAACGATCTTGGCGTGCTGGTGCAGGTGTAGTAGTTATTGGTTCCTGTGTTCGTTTAGGTGTAACATATGCAAAAAAATTCGATGCCGATCCATCATCTTGTTCAGAATTTAACGGTTTTCGATCATTATCGTTATTATTATTGTTGAAACCTTTAAGAATGGCTTCAAGTTTATCAATACCTCCCAATGCTTTAATTAGATTAGAAAGCTGAACTAATTCATCTTGATTACCATTTTTAGCCGCATCATTGAATTTTCTCATAGTATCCATCATCATTTTTTCATCATTATCTCGTTCATATGATGATGGTGGTGGTCCGTGATTGGCATCTGTGTTGTTGTTGTTGTTGGTGGAGGTGTAGTCGTCGTCGTTGTTGTCGTTGTAATCGGTGATGAAGTTGTAGCAATCTTTGGTCGAATTCGTGGTCGTCGTGTTGTAATTGTGGATTTATCTTTTTTATTTCTACATGAAACATTTTCCTGATAATCACAAGCTTCGGTTTTGCTATTGAAATATAATCCTGATGGACATGTAAATGAATGAGCAACAATACCCAAATTAGCTGGACCACTATCTAAACACCAGAAATATTTTCGACAATCTTTTGGATTATTGAAAAAACCTTCATCTTCACAATTGAATTCAATTCCCGGATCCGGTGTGGTTGGTGGTTCCGGTGTTGTATATAATAAAGCTAAAGCTGTAGTTGGTGCTGGTGTTGTCGTTGTTGTGGTGGTGGTAGTAGTAGTAGTAGTAGTTGATGTGCTAAAATATTGTTTCCGTCTTTGATTACGTCGAGTATTAACATTCAATGCATTGAGTCCAGATTCGGATAATTCAAAATTTACAGGTCTTGATCGATTACGAATAAAATTGTTTTCTCGTGATGATGATGGTCGAATGGAAGATGTGGAATCACGTGATGCAGCTGGTTTTGGTGATACTTGTAACAAAGGATTAATTAACGATGTTCGCAATGAACTTATTAATGGATTTTGTTCACCATAACAATTGCCACGGAAATCATCATTATCCAATGTCCAAACCATTGCACCACCTAATCCTTGATCAATAATGAATTTAGCTTTATCTTGAATGATTTCAATATCATCGAATGCAACCCATTGTTTTCCTTTTACCGCGTATGGTCCTTCAATATGTGGATGTGGTCGATGTAATTGCCAATCATCATCTTCAACTTTTTGACATATTTCATAGAAAGCAAGATAGCCTTTTTCTCTTGTCGATGGACCTGGTTCACCAGGGCCTTCAGCCAATGCATTGATACCATTATTATTTTCATCAGCCAATGTAAACGAACGTCCATAAGTAGGTATACCAAGAATTAATTTCTCACGTGGTGCACCCAATTTAAGATAATAATTGATTGTCCATTCGGCATTCAATTTCAATGCTTCGGTATCAATAATATCGGGTTTCGAATTCAATGGTGCATGATGATCAGTTTCTGGATCAAATGATGTATGATAATCATAGCTAAGTACATTTAAAAAATCGGCATATCTATACGAAAAAAAATGAATCAATTAATGCAACAAAAAAAAAACAATTCTTTTCACACATACTGTGATATGACAGGAACATCGAATCCTTGATCAATATAATCTTGACCAGCCGGTACAGCAACACTAAGTAATAATCGTTCTTTACCTGTAGGTATTTTTTCATTGTTGAATGCAAAACGTAATTCCTATTTGGATAGATGGAAAATTATTATTATCATTTGGATACATTATTTTGCGTGTGTGTGTGGTCAATGATTTCCTGATGAAGATGACACAAACAGACGCACAAACAAGCACAGGTAGAGATAATTTATTTAGATCCAATATATAATTTTCAACTTACTCGAATCAATTTAGCATATCCTTCCTTATCTTCGGGCGCACTTCCTTCACGGAAAGCTGGATACTCCTAAATAGATTTTATGACATATACACAGAGAGAGAGAGTGAGAGTGAGTAAATGAGAAAAAAAACGATAATTTTTTTTTTAAATAAATGACATTTGTATAAATTATGATCTAATAAATGAAAAATGTCATACCCAATCAAAATCGATACCATCGAAATCATGTTCACGTAAAAATTTCAGCACACTTTTAATGAAATTAAAACGTAAATCAGTATTGGCAACTAATTTAGAAAATCTTTTCGATCCTTCATTCCATCCACCAATAGCGATCATTGTTTTCAATTGATTATTATATTTCTTAAGGCCAACAAATTTTTTATAATTTCCTAAATAAAGAAAAACAAAAAAAAATTTGAATTTGAGTTTGAGTTTGCACGTGGTGAAATTTAATTTTCATATAAATATATACCTTGGTTAATATCATTGTATGGATCGAATGCTTTCAATTCATATTTACTTGATAATCCAGCAAATGCATAAATCAAATGTGTCTGTGTGTGTCAGGGAATATTCGAAAAAAAAGTTGGGGGAGGATTTTATTATTATTATTATTATTGTTTTATGAATCAAAAAATTTTTTTTTTTTTTGGAACAAGATTGATTATTATTGTATGAATTGTCTTTGATCGAATCAAATCAAATCTTATTTAGATCGTTAATCTTTTTCACATTCACATTCATATTACAATTGTCATGTAAAGCTGTACTTACACATAAGAATGGATTAATATTTTGTGGAGTAAAACGAGCCACACCAGGCCTATATATGGCCCAATTGGAATAATAACAGATTAATTTGACATTTTCATTTTGATCATTCGATAATGATAATGATGATGATGATGATCGTTTCGTAATGTTATGTACATTTGTATTGGACAACGACGATGTTGTTTGTTGTCCATCATCATCATTGTTGTCTATAGCCAATGATAATTGTAGGATGTTGAAAAAAATGGCCAATACGATAATGGTGATGATCGTTGCCAATGGCAATGTCTGAAAAAAAATGGGAAACAAAATGAAAAAAAAATTTTAGACATTCATACGGAAACAATGTTTATCATTTAATGAATAACGGAATCAGACGGGCAAAAAAAAATTTCGAACACAAGTGCATATAGCCGACAATAATAATAATATAATTGTCGTTTTGTTTTTTAAACACTTATAATTTGACACATTGACTTGAAAAAAAAATGACAATAATAATTTGAAAAAACAATTCCTGTATGAACAATGTGTGTGAATGAATTCAAATCATGATCACATAATGCAATGCAAGAAATATGAATTGTTTCATTTTAAAAGTGATGAAATTATTATGCAATTATCAAATGAGAAAAAAAAATGAACAATGAAAAACAAAAACAAAAAAACAAAGATCCAAATGGAACAATTTTTTTTTACTGAATGTGAAAAAAAAGAAAACAAAATGATGCTGAAATTATATTCGGTTTATCTCATCATTATCACTATTATTATTATTACCGAAAACAAAACAAAAAAAAAAACAAACTACCGAATGAATGAATGATGAGCGAGAAATTTACAAAAAAAAAAAAAAAATACCTTGACATAATTGTCAATCATTTGTTGATGACGATGATCTATCTATCTATCCACATCTGATGAGAAAACACTGTTGTTGTTGAAATAATAACAACAACAACAACAAAATTATCAAACATGATGATCATCATATATATTAATTAACTGGACATTGTAGAAATATAAACAATTTCTCTGTTGAACTTTACGTATACGTTAAATACAAAACGAATGAAAAAAAAAATTAAACGGCTAGTCAACTATATTCAATGTCTGATTTGGACATTGTGGATGCGCATCCATACACGAAATAAAAAAACATTTCAAAATCATCATGATGCATCATCAGATATTTATTTATCAAAATTCAAATGCTGCACATTTGCTGATTTCGATCGAATCAAATGTTTATTATCGATTTGAAACGCGTGTTTTTTGCAAATATTTTGAATGGTTTTTTTTCTATTTCATGCCCCTCAATAGGGGGATAATTTCTTATTTCAATAAAAAAAATTATAGATCACCACCATCATCATCATCATGGTCATTGAAAATATGAAAAAAAAAAAAAAATTTTACAAGCAAAAAAATTATGCACATTAGAACATGAATGTCACTGTAGACTAATTAAATTGTCCAATACCATTTATTAATACTAATAAATTCCTTTTATAACCATCATTGGCCATGAATAATGATAATAATAAAATAAAACTTATTGGTTCTGCACATTGAGAGAATACGAGAAGAAAAAATGAAAATTTAGCCAACAACAAGGTTGTACACTGTGTATACACAACCTTGTTGTTGTTTAATATATTCGGACCGATTCAAATTTATTATTCCTTGGTCTTATTTCACAACAATGATGATGATGATGATGGTGATGATGATATGAAAATTATTATCATTGTTCCACACACACACACACACACACAAAAAGAATGACGACATTCCGAATCATCATTTGTCTATTTTGTTTATGCGGTCAAACATTCATAATTCCCATCAAAAGACGAATGATGATAAACAAATCAAGTTTTTTTTTGTTGTTTTGTTTCACAAAAAGAATATTTATGATGATGATTTATAATGCATGAAACGTGTTGTAAAAAAAAAAATTTCAAAATTAACAGGATACACAAACAATTGACCATGTTAATATGTTTCAACAAATAAGATTCGAACGGAGGCTATTTTTACATTTTCGAACCTTTTTCATTTTTTTTTTTTTTTTTTGCTGTTTCTATTATCGGATTTATTTTGTAGTTATATAATCTAGTCATCATTATATTATCATCGAAATCAACAACAGGCTAAATCTAATGTTCAAATCAAATCAATTGATCTATTATAAATTGCGTATAATTATCCTTGTTTTTTCATCATCATCATCATCATCATCACATTGAATTATCCAATTTAATTTATTTTTCTTTTCTTATTCTTTTTCATATCCATCTATCAAAAAAAAAACATCACAAATGATGATCTTTTTAGCATCTTGTCATGAAAATGATCAACAATTGGATGTATGTTTTTTCATATAAAATATATCTTACAATCATAATCATATCATCATCATCATACATAATAATGATAATAGATATAATAGGATATATGATTATCATGATGATGATGCCTAGTAGGCAGGCATGCAGGCATTGATTTTTTTTTATTATTATTTCATTGAATATGTTAACACAATGTTCGAATTTCGAGTGAATAACTCAACCATAAATGGTCAACTATATGATGATGATGATGATGATGGTAGTGAATGCGATGATCACATGTAATGAGTATTATAGACTATTATGATGATTATTATTTTGAAAATAGCGAAAGTCTATGTTTTCGTTTTCGTTTCCATTTTTATCACATACATCCCATCCACAAAACGGTTAGTTGGTGATGATGATGGTCATATTGATGGCCAACATCAACAACCCAATCGATGTTTATTATTCGAATGATAGTCGGGGAAATAAAACATATTCAAATGTTTACCATATGTTTTTGATATTTTTTTCTTCACACCGAACACAAGAGAAAAAAATTGAATGCAATAAATAAATAGGCAAACAAATATTACAACAACAACAACAACAAAAAACTCAAAACTTACGCCAAAATTATCTCAGAGAATCGATCTCAAAAGTGTTGGGAGATTGTTGTTGTTGTTATATAACTTGAGAAAATTGATCAATTTGAATTGTAATTGTTATTGTGTGTATGATGTTTGTATACACACACACACAAAAAATGAAATTTGAATTTGAATTAAATTGACAATAACAAAGGATTTTTCTTGCAAAAATTCAACAGGATTGATACATTCGAACGATCAAACGATCGATTGATTGATTGATGTTCGGTTTGTTTATTTAGCAAGTTTCTATTTTACCTGAAATTGTAAACGTATTGAGTTTGTTTTTTTTTCTTACTTTTTGATTTGAATCCATATGTTTGATTGATGGCCAAACGATAATGGTGGTGTTCCATTCAAATTCGATGTCGATTGTCAATCATCATCATCATCATTTGTAAATATAGAACATTCGATATAAATAATAATATGGAAAAACATTGGATTACAATAGTTGAACCGCTATTTTCACCCGTTATGTTTATTGTGGTTTTGTTGGCAAAAAAAAATCAATGAAATAATTTCATGGACATTCAATAATCCAAAACCAAAAATGTTCCAACACCGATAATGATATAGAGATACAATTAAAATGACAAACAAACATCTCCACAGAAAAAAATGGTCAATTATCATACATTCATATTAAAATGATTTCACCCACTTTCCAATGTTTTTCTCTTTTCAAAAATGTTTTGTTTTCACAATGATGATGATGATGACAATTTCTATTGTGTCATCATTCTTTTTCTTCATCATCATCATCTTTGAATGAATATTATCCATCTCTAAACACAGTAGCCTAATTTGACTATTTGATGACAAAAATTCAAAAATGTCCATCATATATCAAAGCTCATCATCATTTTGAGAATGAAGAAGAAAAAACTGATGTCCAAACTGTATGTGTATGTGTATGTGTGTGTTTTTTTACATTTTCCCTTGTAATATTCACTAATGAAATTTTTTTTTTTTTTTTTTTGATTTTATTTACTCCATTCAGCATCATCATCATCATCATATCATAATGAAATGAATAAATATACTGTTAAACTACAGCTCAATCCACAATTCGGTCTTTTATTTTTCGCATTTATCACAATAAAATTGCCTAAAAATAGATGAATTTAATGTATGGAAAAGAAAAAAAAGAAAAAGATTTTCTTGGCCAAAAAAAAGAAAATTTTTTTTTTCCTGAGGCCAGGGTGTTTTGCTCTCTCTTTTTTGTTGGGAATTATCATATCCGAATATTTTGGTTGATGTTCATCATCATCATCATCGGCAACAACAACAACAACAAAGGCATCATTATATCATTTGGTGACACAATGTCAAGAGACGATGTGAAAAATGATGATGGCAACAACAACAACAACAACAATAGTAGTAGTAGCCGCAAAAAAAAAGGTTAAGTTTAATGATCATCTTGCCTTTCTTCTTTTTTCAATATAATGAAATTATTTTTGGGTGATATTGTCTTGGTACCAGCACCACCACCGCCACTGTCAATCATCGTTGTCGTTTTACTTTTCTTCTCTTTTTTTTTTTATTTGTTTTTTTTTGTGTGCTGACAACAATGACAACAAACATTTTTTTTTTTTTTTGTTTACTGTCAACAAACAACAGCAATATATGTTGTTGATGATTGTTGATATTGGCCTTTACCCATTACAAATTAAATCACAAATATAACCTGTATATATAATACATGTGATTCTCTAAAATCTACGAAAATATATTCGACACAATAGTTATGTCAACAACCATTCGATACAAACACACACAGAGACAGACATACATACAACAGGTGGCACTTGTTGCATACAAACAAATTGATGACATTTACCGTTATGGTTTGAACTTTTTTCTTTTTCTCTTTCTACTTTTCTTCTCTATTTAAAAAAATTGAAATTAACAAACAAAAATAAATAATATTTATATAATTGTAGACAAAAAAAATGTCAAATAATAAATGATATTCATGTTTTTTTTTCTCTCGTTTCTCTGGTTTGGTTTACTTTGGTTTGATGATGACCATATGAACATTTTATCATCTGTGTGTTTTACATTATTATAATTTTGATTTTTTTCCACTGGATGTTTAAATGATGCCATAATAGTAGTGGACAAGGGTCACAAGTTAGGATAATTTATTTAGTTGAAAAAAAATCAAATGTTTTCCAACAATTGTGGTCACGATCGTGTGTATGTCTAATTAATATTATGATTTTTCTGGGTCAAATGCTTCCAGGTATATGAATGACTAAATGACAACATTATTGATCAGTTTGTTGTTGTTGTTGTTGTTGTTTATTTGTTGTTCTTGCATCAACAACCAAAACAACAACAACAACAACAACAAAAATAAAAAATAAACAAACAAATCAATTGACCTTATAGAGGCTGTAATATCTACAAAATTTATCATAAATTAATTATAATGTTCATATAGTTGAGGTTTATTTATTTCGTCAATATTGAAATTGAATTCGATTTAATCTGATGGAGAACATATTAATTAATTGAATTAATTGAACAGACAAACAAATCTTTTTTTTTTCTAATTGAAAATCAAAAAAAGATTTCAAAAAAAAACATTGAAATTACCATACAAAACACATCTTTTGTAAATTTTTTTTCCATCTTTCTATGCCTAAAAATAACGATGATCATCGGGATTGATTGAATTTATTTTTCATTTCACTGTTCCAATCAATGAAAGAGAAAGAACGAGAGACAAAAGAGATATCATCGGAAGACACGAAATAAAAAAAAAATTCCAACAAAACTGACAAATCATCAAATGAATGGCAACAAATTGAATCATTTTTTTTTGCATGGCAATAAAATAGAGAGATAGATAGTGAAATGGAAAAAAAATTGAAATCGGCAAACATGAAACTGAAAATTTTTTTTTTATAACACCTGTTGCTGGCTCAAACTGTTTTTTTCATTCATCTCTGCAACTTTAATTCGATTTATTTATTATTATTATTATCACAAAATGGCGGTAGCATAATTGATAACTATATCAAATTTAATTCAAGTAGAACTCAAATTATCTATATCCAAAGATTCGATTTTCATTTCTGAAAATAAAATGTAAGGTGGAAAATGTCAAATAATCTCTAAGCCGAGTAGATTGGGTTTTGTGGCCAAAATGATGATGAAAAAAAAAATATGATTATCATTATGATGGGTGAAAATCAATTTCGAGTAGACAGATTCATAATTATAGCCAGCAGTTGTAATATTTATATACAGCATACAGCAGCCATACAGACACATATTGAGCCTGAGGATAAAAGGCGGATATAACCCCCCGAACGATTATTATTATTATTATAATCGTGATCAATCTTTTTTTTTAATCCAATGTTCTATTAATGTGGATTTTATTATAACGTGTCGCTACTAATACGGCTACTGTATGTATATAGCCACATTTCCTACGTCGGTGATCATCATCATCATCATCATAATCGTGATGATCTACATTAAATTGTCATTATAGTATCATCATCATCATCATCAGGATCAAAATAGCCAAAAAATCTTATGATATCAAATATCAAATATGATACTTATGGTTATTATTTAAGGGATTGACAATTTTTTTTTATTAGTTATTATATGCAATCAATCATCATTCAAAATTTTTTTTACATTCAAATAGAATATGGAAATAGTTTGTTTCCGGTAGGTGATTATGTGTTTGTGGTTTGAAATTTATCAAAGTCACTAAATTACTCGAAAAAAAGAAAGAAAAAGAAATAACGAATAAAATGAATGATCATTTTACATATATTCAATTCAATTCAATTCAATTTTCATTCATTCATTCATGTCATTTTCAAATTAAAAAATGAGAGAAAAAATTCAAATTTTAAAATTATCGTCATTGACAACACTCATATAATATATATATCGGATAATAACCAAATGAATGAAAAATTGTGTGGAAAGCATTATCGTTTCGCGGTAATTCCGGTTTCAATTTTTCTGTTTTTCTGATTTTTTTTTGTTGTTGTTGTTCCTGCTCAAATTAATAATCAGATATTGGCGGAATATCCGTGATTTTTTTCTTTTTAATATACAAGACAATATGCTTGAATTGCACAAACAATCATATATTTCCTCCCCCCTTCAGTCATCAACATGATGATGGGAAAATTACATTTTCAACTGCAAAAACATCAATTTCAATTTTGGTCTATTTTTGGTATAGACAACAGCAACAGCAACCAATGATGATTCAAATCAATTCGGTTGAAGAAGAAGAAGAAGAAAAAAAAAACAATGGACCAGTAAATCAAAAATGGACCGGTATTTTTTTATGGCTAGTTTTTTTGGCCATAACCGATGTGTTTTTTTTTTTTTAAAACATTGACCAACTACTGACCGGTATTGATGTGAGAGAGAAAAAATTGAAAACAAAAATTTTGTTTTTTCATTTCTCTGAATCATTCCATAAATCAAAATACAAATATTTTTCTTTGAAAAATTGCAAATAGAAATTGGAACATTGAGCAAAGAAAAAAAATTTTATAGTGAATTACCGTTGATGGTGACATTTTTTTTCGTCGTTTTTCGTCGTTTTTTTTTCTCTGGTGGTTCTTGGAATATTGTTTGCTGTGTGTATGCGTGTGTGTGGTTGTGTGTGTGTGTGTGTGTGTGTGTGAAAGAAACCACGAATTTCGTGATGAAAATTTTTTTTTATTATTGTTTTCTGCTCTAATTTTCAATTAAAAATTATAAACAATCGGTATCGGTTGATTGAATGCTTGAATCGGTTGATATCGGTAATCGGTGATAAATTATTATTGGCACATGTAATAAAAAAAAAATCACATTCAATTATCACGCGCACACACACACAAATGGTTGAAAAATTGGGCGGACAACGCCACAGCCATCGCCTAATTTTGTATATTTTCTTTTATTATTTGAACGGAACTTGAAACAAACAAACAAACAAACAAACACGTGTAATTAATGTGAATTCAAATGAATGAATGAACAATATGGAAATTTTTAGTTTAGTCAATGATTGATCACTTGGTTGTGGAAGAAAATGAACCGAATGATAAGATGTTTGTTTGTTTGTTGTTGTTGTTGTTGTTGTTGTTAAATGAAAGAAAAAACTAAACAGACCGATTGATTTAGATTTTAAAATGATTCACAATCAAACACGTGCAATTTTGAATAGAGCGAGAAAAAAATTTTTTTTTTCGTTGTCGTAAACTGAATCAAATTGATTTTGAATTTTGAATTTTGATATGTTTATTGTCTGTGGCGTATGGTATTTGACGAATCTTTGGGCTCTATCCAAATAAAAGTGTTTTTTGGATACAAACACACACACACACACATGGATGGAAAACCGAAAATGAAACATCTAGAGAAATGAACAAAAAAAAAAGTACAAATGAAAATAACAAAAAAAAGAAGAAGAAGAAATAGAAAGAGACAACAACAACAGCAAAAAAAGAATGGTAAAAACTTCAATCAAACACACACACACACACATCATTTTTTTATTGAAATTTCGATTTTCTTATTCACCTGAAGGTAAACTTTCTCTCTCTCTTTCACTCTCTCTCTATTTGTTGTTGTTGTGTGAATATTTCTCATTTCATCTTCATCATCGACCTAATTTTGAATTTGACATAAACGAAAAAACGAAGATGAAGAAGAAGAAGAAGTAACAACCGATAAAAAAAACAGCTACCTTTTTTTCCAGCAGATTTTTCGTTGTATTTGTATTTCTTTTTTTTTCGTTGTGTCTGTGTGTGTGGCTGTGTTTCTTTTTAGGAAGACGATGGATGATAATATATTCCATAAATCGCGCCACCTTTTTTTTATTTTTCACATTCATACCATCATTGTGGATCATTGGATCATCATCATCGCCCATAGTATGACGACTACAATGAATGAATAAAGGAAAAAAAAGTGGAAAAACAAAATAAAATTCAACAACAGTTTTTTTCGCCGTTTGAACCACAATTGATGGACACACACACACACAATCCGTCCAAAATTTTTTTTTCTTCTTCCATTGATACAAATTCATTGTGTGTGTGTGTGTGTGTGTATTCCACACGAACACCGCCTCGACAGGCGATATTTTCAAAAAAAAAAAAAAAAAAAAATGATTCATCAATCCCAGTTTGGGCCACCACCATCATCATCACCACCACAACCACCATGGCCATAGACATCGAATTTTTTTTTTCGTTGAATTCATTCATTCCATATTTATATTGAAAACAAAATGAAATATGAAAAAAAACAAACACAAACTCCACCTTTGATTCAAATGTAAAATAGCTAATTAAATTTATGATGATCGAATACATACATTGTGTTGTCTGGTTACTAATAAATTCCATGATAAAAAATGTGGCCAAAAAAAAATGATTTTTATTTCCGGAATGGTGACAAGCATTGTGTAAAAAGCAAAAAAAATAAACCAAAAAAATATCGATAGATCGATTGTGTGTGTATGTCGAAGAACTACTCCCAAAAAAAAAATTGATAGTGATGGACGATGAATCGATTTTTTTTATTTCACTACATCAAAATGTTCCAATTAGATTAATCTATCTATATTGCTTTGACATGGCAATGATTATCATATTTGTTTGTCTTCAATTTCTAATCGTTGTTGATGATGGAAATAAATGTTGACAATTCAAACTAAAATCATTTAGTATAGTACATTTTAAGATGCAAAAAAAAAATTTGATCGATTCCAATGTATTTGACTTTGAAAATGAGAAAATCCATCAAACAAACACACAGACAGATAGACAGACAAGACACAAGTCGTTGATAGTTAGCCTTCTAAAAATTATTTGAAAAATTATCATGATCTTCTGATGATGATGATGATGATAAAAATTGACACGAATCAAACAACAACAACAACAACAATAGAAACTAAAACATAGGATTTAAAGCGCCCATGATTTAAAAATTCAAGCAATGAGATAATAAGATAAATAGATAAATCAACAATTGTTTCAATCATCATCATCATCATCATCAATTTCAATAAAATGATTTTCTAACCTAATTTTTTGGTGGCCAAATCTTCCAAAATTCATCGACAAAACGACGACGACGACGACAACGACGACGAGTTTATTGCCGCCTACACACACACACACACAGCACACAAATTATTTTATTTCGAATCATGTTGTCCACTAAAAAGGTGTTATCGGATGCACAAATCATTGTTGGATTGTTATAGTTTTTTCTCTTTTCCACATTTTTTTTTACTTTATTACTTGTGTTACTTTGGGCGAATATCCAACAATAGAATCAATCTATTTCAGTTAAATGATGATGATTGAATGAGACAACAACAACAACAACAACAACAACGAGAAAAAAAAATATAGTTTATGCAGTGTAAATTGGTCACGATTTGACAACAAACGATTGTTCAAAACCACGAATGAATGAAGATAAATCTTTTTTAAACACACAGACACACACACAGTGTTTATAACTGTCCATGGTTAAATCGACAAACGGATCATCGACACCATCATCATCGTTATTTATACCATAATCAGAATGTAAAACAATTGGAATCAATCGATAAACTATTATTGTTTTTGGAAATCAATAATCGTTATTTTTTTTTTGCTGATGATGATGATGATGATCGTAATGAACTATAGCTAAAAACAATCAAATAATAATGGCAAACCATCGCGAATCGATAAACAATAGATTCTTGGATGTAATCGAAAACCAAAAAAAAAAACAATTGTAAATGACAATGATGAATAGTGAAGATGAAAAAAAATAATAATAAATTCATTAAAAAAAACTGGATGAAACCAGATTTTTTTTTTCGTTAGTTTTGCGCGCTATTGCTCAATATTCGAATTCGAATACAGAGGGATACAGGTTTGGAAAGTGATGGACGCATAAATCGGATACTATCGATACATATATATATTTTTGATGTTGTTGTTGATATGAGGATTCAACATACACACACAACACACATTCAACGGGGCTACGTGTTTGATTTTTGGATCTTTATTTTCCAAGTTTCTGTCAATTTTACCACAAAGTTGTTAAAATTTGTTTCAAAATCTTTGAAATTTTGTTATTATTTTTTTTTGTTAAACTGTTTGATTATGATGAATTAGTTTTGATTGTTATTTGAATTGAATCACAAGTTTTTTTTTCTTATTTTGAAATTCCAATTTGTACTCATGTTGTTTTTGTATTCCAAAGTGTTGCAAGTCAAAAACATAATAAAATAAAAACAATGATGATGATGGATAAAACTTTCACCTATTCACTAGAACAACAACATCAAATTGGTAATATCATCAACCAAAACGTTTACACCAATGATTCCATGGAAAAAGGTTCGAATTCTTTTGTTATTGTCAAAGTGATAGAAATGTGTATGCAAATTAAAATTATCATTTTGTGTACATGTTTAATGATGATTCAAATTCTTGTTTGATATTTTCATCAAATGATCGTGCTTACATTTTGTCTTTTTTTTCGTTATTTTAGTGATATTAGGCGAAGCAACGACCTTGTCGACGTTCATTCTTAAAAACAATCAACGTCTAACAAAAGCTAATTATGTACATTTATCACGTATGACATCAATGATAATCGAATATGAAATTGAATTCGAGTCGAATAATGAAAAATGGAAAAATGAATCCAATGAACAATGGCTTCAGACGGTGGATCCATTGTTAAAAAATTTGATTTTATTACGATCTCGTTTGAATCAGGAACGAATCAACGGTTCATTGGATGCTAGTTATTTAAAGCCATTCTGTGATGTAATCGTCAATAAAGATGTTAGTGGACCAGTTACTGGTTTGGCATTGCAATCGATCCAAAAGTTTCTTAACTTTGGTTTTGTCAAAGATGGCGAAATAGTTAAACTTATCGCCGAATCTGTAACAAAAGCACGTTTCGTTGGCACTGATTCGAATAGTGATGAAGCTGTCCTCATGACCATATTGGCCATACTTGAAAGTTTGATTGTCATGCCATTCTATTCATTAACCAATGGTTTAATTTGCGAAATAATGCAAAGTTGTTTTCGTATAGCATTCGAAAGCCGGTTAAGCGAATTGTTGAGAAAATGTGCCGTAAAATCTTTAACCGAAATGGTACGTGCATTATTTACACGTATATCATTGTTCCAAGAAAAAGGTCATCACAGTGGTGCCGATGGTAGCCTCGGTAATGGTGGCAGTGATAGTGATGTGTCCGATTTCAATTATTTTTACCACGATAAGAATAATGCTTCATTCCATAAATTGAATCGAATGGGCAAACGATTTGTTTCGGCCGCCGGACAAAATAAACATGTTAACAAAACAAAGCTAGAAGTAGCTAAACAATCAACCAAGGAAGATCTAACGACTTTGGGTAAGTTTTTATTGTTTATCCCTGTTTATTCGTTCTTAATTCATAATCTCTTTTCTATTTTTGTTGTTTGTATATCAAAAAATAGAATCACATATTCAAAAATCCTATGGATTAGCATGTGTTCACGAACTACTGTCATATTTAACATCATTGATTAATCCATTGCCTGATGGCCAAAATACTGAATACATGGTCAATGTTGGTCTACAATTGTTGACTATTATATTTGAAATTAGTGTCCATGAGATTGGTGCAAATTATTGTTTACTGTCAGTGGTCAAAACCGATCTCTGTTGGAACATTATGCAATTGTTACAAAATGAAAAGAACTTGAACACGTTTTCTAATGTCTTGCGGTTATCGTTTCTTGTATTTGTTGATCTTCGAATGCATTTAAAATATCAATTCGAAGTTTTTCTACTTCGCATAATGGATATTGTTGCAACGGTCAACATACCTCTAGAATATCGAGATATTTGCATGGAATATTTATTGCAATTCTTTCATCACATTCCATATTTACCACATGAATTATTTTTTAATTATGATTGTGATTCCTATGCTTCGAACATATTGGAAGATTTGTTGCAACTATTGTCGAAAAATTGTTTCTCTTCATCCACCAACAACAATCAACATCAAAATGTTCCGACATCTCCTACATCGTTATCATCATCATCTAATTTAAATTTCACTGCCTTACAGATATTATCGTTTGAGGTGCTATTATCAAATCTGAAAAGTTTACAAATGGCTGAACTACTAAAAGATAAAGATGTCTATCTTATAGCGAATCCAGCCACCATGATTGTCAATATTTCCAACATCCGCGATTTAGCAGTGGCAACTTTTGCTGTTGCTCCTAAACAGCAAACTAATGATGATGAAAAAAGAAACAGTTTAACAATGGAACAATTCAATAATAATAATGTCATCAACGATATCAATCAGCAAACACAAAATAATTACCATGAAGATAATTTATCTGCCACTAGTCTTGCTAACAATACGATGGCAGATGCTATTGGCGGTGATAACGAGAATGGTCAAGTTGATCATGATACTATTGAACAACCATTGTCAACGGAGGGAAATTATGAAACAGAAAATTTTGAACTCGTCAACAATTGTATTCAAGTTGAATCAACAAAACAAAATATTCAACAAACAGTACCGGAACCGAATGCACCAACGATTAATAAGTATTGTGTGACATATTTGTTTCCGCAAAAACCGAATCTTCTCAATAGCGAACAAATAGAAGCATTGAAACAACGAAAAATATTATTGTGGGCGGCCACAGAAAAATTCAATCAAAAGCCTACCAAAGGAATTGAATATCTTTATGAGAATAAACTTGTTCAAAATGATGATGATGTAGTTTCATTTTTACGTAACAATTCTCGGCTTGACAAAAAACCATTGGGTGAATATTTATCGAACAAAAAAAACATGACTGTTTTGTCCAAATTTGTACAAAGTTTCACATTCAAAGATATACGTATTGATGAAGCTCTTCGATTATATTTAGAATCATTTCGGCTGCCAGGTGAGGCTCCGCTCATTTCATTGGTCTTGGAACAATTCGCTCATCATTGGCATGTATGTTGTTGTTCATATTGTTTATTGTGATTTTTGATTGATTGATTTATTCATTTTAGGAATCAAATGGCTGTCCATTCGTCAATGAAGATGCAGCATTCAGTTTGGCTTATGCTATTATTATGTTAAATGTTGATCAACATAATTCAAATGTTAAACGTCAAACTAATCCGATGACATGTGAAGAATTTATATCAAATTTACGTCAAGTAAATGGTGGTACAGATTTTGATAGAAACATGTTGACGGAAATCTATCATATGATCAAAAACAATGAAATCATCATGCCGGCCGAACAACAAGGCGTGATACGTGAAAAATATTTGTGGAAATGTTTGTTGAAAAATTCCGAAACATTAAGTGGCGTCTATTGGTTTCATTTAAATAATGTCATGAAAAATCAACATGATTCGCCCTCATCATCTATTGTCGAAAATCATTTCAAAAATACAAAAGAAGATTTCGTAGTCAATCTATCTATTTTAGATCGATCAATTTTTGAAATTTCTTGTTTACCTTCGATTTCGACTTTAACTTTAGTGTTTGATAAATTGAATCCTGATCGTCAACCTTGTATGTCTCGATTAGTTTTGAATCAAGGTTTTGCTAGTTGTTCATTACTTTGTGCAAATTATGGCCATTTAGACAATCTGATTGAAAACTTATCAAAATTTGTTATCGCATCTCCTCGAATAACTACCAAAAGTGAATTGGTTGCTTATTGTCTGTTTAATATCTGTAAAGAATATGCCAACGAAATGCGATCATCATGGAAAAATATTATCGAATTAATATTATACTGGTACGATAATAAGTTACTTGATGATGGATTAGAGATTGATGATTTTGCACTCGAATCGAAAAAGATTAGTTTCACAAGAAAAACACCATTGAAAAATCTGAAACAACAAAGTGAACAAAATCAATCGACATTTTTCCTATCTAGTTTTTATTCATATTTTTCCAGCAATTCACCAAGCGATCAAGATATAATGAATAATGACAATGATGTTATAGGTGCTGGTAATGGTACAGGTAATGTTGGCAACGAAACTAATGATCCTGAACAATCAGGAGCTAATAATAATAATTCAGATCCTTCGAATCAACCTAATGATTATTGCCAAACTTTAATATTGATAATTGAAGAATCGAAATTTCTACACATTGATTCCTTAATTGAATTGATCAAGGCACTGATTCAAGTAGAATATTGTGATACATTTGATGATGATATCGAAGTATTCAAAATGGAAATGCTATTAAAAGTTATATTCATGAATCGTGATCGTCTTTCAATATTCTGGGATCTAATCTATCGCCATATCATTAAATTGATGCGTTATTGTCCACAAAGTGAATATCTAACTGAACGTATCATATCGTGTGTATTTCGTTTGGCAATTCGATTCACATCACGACCAGATTTATTGAATGATCAAATCTTTCTACTTCTCTATCAGATTCTGATATTTTTTGATCCCTATTTGATTCAACGTAAACACACTGCACAAACATTGCATTCATTTATATCTCATTGTAATTGTTATCTTACGAAAAATGAACAATGGGCACTCGTATATAATTTGATTTTAGCTATTTCAATTGGTTACTATCCACCGAATAAAAAACTTGGACAACCACCGGAACCACAGCAATCGATACATAATCATCAACAAGCACACACTCCGTCAACACCAGATTCAACCAAAAGAAATTTTCCTCAAGAACCAATGACCAATGTTTTTATACCATCGATACCAAGCATGCCTAATGATCTAAGTAAATTGGCTGCACATTTGAATGTTAAAAAGAATTTATCAGAGAATATTTTCTCATTCAACACATACCAGTATCGAATAATGGATGCTGAAGCTTATGAAAAATGTGTGGACATAATGGTATTGATCATACGAGAATATTTGCCCAATAATGCAAAATCAATGCAGAAAAATGATTCAGTCAGTGTTTATGAAATTGCACAGATGGCAGTTGGTGTTCTTTGTCGATTTGTTGAAGCTTCCATCAAGATACAATTTGCAACAGCTCGACCAAACGTAAGACATGGTAAAAATTCCAAAATCGCCAATAAATCTCGGTTGTCTAGATTGACCAATGCTATACTATCATCAAGTGAATCTGATAGTGATGATGAATATCAGCAACAGCAACAACAACAAAAACAACCAGTCAGATCGGAAATCACATCAGTGACCGAAAATGTTGCTCTGAAATTATTGGATTTGATGCATTATTTTCATCTTTATGCTCCAACGATTGCTGGCGATCAAATTGGATCAGATGTTTTATGGAATACAATCTGGTGCCCTTTGCTTCAAGCGATTGCATTCTTTTGCTGTGATTGTCGTCGACCAGTACGAACCTGTGCGTTTACATTTCTGCAACGAACGTTGCTATTGCATGATTTACAGGTGCTAAATGCCAACCAATGGGAATCTTGTTTTAACAAGGTTCTTTTCCCCTTACTTTCTAAATTATTGGAACCTATTAATATGTGCGATCCAATCGGTATGGATGAGACCAGAATGCGTACAACAAATTTGCTGTGCAAAGTTTTCTTACAACACTTGAATCCGTTATTGACGTTGAATACATTCACAGCTCTGTGGTTGACCATTTTGGATTTCATGGAAAAATACATAAAAGCTGATATGCAAACCGAGTTGGTGGTAAGTTTGTTAACCATTTCTGATAAATCTCGAGTTTAAAATTTTTTTTTCACAGAAAGAGGCCATACCAGAATCGTTGAAAAACATTCTTCTTGTGATGAAAACTGCCGGTTGTTTCAATGAAACATTGGCATCAATCACTTGGGATCGTATTAATAAATTTCTGCCAAATTTGTATCGTGACTTGATCGAGCCACAAATCAAGCAGTCAGAACCAGCAACGAATCAGGTATAAAATAAATTTGTAAAAGATTCAAAATCTAAAATTAATCTACATCAGGAAATGCATCACATTGAAGCACCCTCATCTCTAATGTCAATGGAATCCTCACAGCCAAATAATCAATCAATCCAAACTGAAGATCATTCTAAAAATCTTCCGCCTCCAACAGAATCAATTGTAGCCGAAACCAACATTACAGGAAATTCCCACCAACAACCATCTCAAACGATCCCCACATATCCAATTTATAACTTGCCTTCGACTTTTATTGATATGGAATCGGTTTGCATTCATTCGGATTCACAGCAATTACAGCAGAAAACAGCACCGGTGCCTTCTAATCCAGAAGAAGTCACGAATCCTATTTCACATTTAAATTCTAGTCAACCAATTCAAGAACCACAGCTTTTTCAAAGTACATCGAATCCTTTGGTTTATCCAGGAACAATAGCTCAATTTTACCCTCGACATGAAAATTCTTCGATGATACAAACAACTGGTACATCATCAATCTTGACCAATACGATGGCGTCAACTAATTATCCGATTCTTTACTCATCGATTATGGATACAAATATGAACAAAATGTCAATGTTACCACAACCTGGACGAATCCTAGTACCACAGTCATCATCATCATATCCATGGCCATCACCAAATGATGATACAACATTGATGAATGCTCCACAAACATCAACATCTCAACATAATAATCAACCACCGCAACAATCTTGAATAGATTCTTTTTAAAAATAAATTTTAATGGAAAAAGCAAAATATAGAAAAGAAAAACCAAAAAATGTTTGCTTTTCATGATGTAAATGGTTATGATGACGACAATGTAAAGAAAAAATAAATAATGGAACCATATGAAAAATGGATCGCTCCATTCATGCACACACACACACACACCCCAAGAATTTCTTATTCCAAATATAGGGAAGCGGGCAATCTTTATTTGAAACCAGAAATAAAAAAAAAATATTAATTAATCAAAATAGAGTAACAAAATTACCCGCCCACACACACACAGACATACATATTGAAATAATGAATTGAACACAACCACATAAGAAAAAAGATGTTCATGTCTGAATAAAAAACATCTATACCATAGGAAAAAAAATTTGATTTTCAATTTTATTATTTTTTTCATTTTTTATTTCTACAAAATTCTTTGAATTGATAATTAAAACGAATCTATTTTTTTCGATGACGATAATGATGATGATGATGATAAAGATTCTGGTATATGTAATAATTAGAATAGATAAGCAAGAATGAACGATGCTGTTTGCCATTTTGTTATAAAAAAAAAAATTTGTTCACCTTTTTAGGATGCGTTTTTTTCTTCATTTGTCTCGATGATAATAATAATAATAAGAAATCCATAAATTTTCTGATTTAAAAAAAACGGAAAACGAAAAAAAACAAAATTCACAATGTGTGTGTGTGTGTGTGTGTGATTGATTTTGATTCTCTTAATATTTCTCTCTGTCTTTCTCTGTTCCAAATGCATATATCTAGCAAAAAAAAAAACGTAAACTATAGATGGATGGAACAATCCATTTAAGAATGGAAAAAATTATATGAAAAAAAAATTAAATGAAAAAGAACCATAGAATCGATTGCCACTGTGTCTGTGTGTGTATGTTTGAAACGGGTTTTATCGGTTCATATAGACCGAATGAAATGGCTGCCATATCGACAAAGATAAACCAAGATAAATGACTATTCTTCTTTGTGCATTAAATTTTGTGTTTATTTTTTTTTTCTTTTGGCTGTTTTTTTACACTATGGAACCAAGAAAATAATAATTTTTTTGTTGTTGTTGTTGTTCCATTCATTCATTTATTCTTGTTTTTTTTCATCTCACTAATATTGTGAGCAAAGAATGAATGAATGAGAAAAGAAATGAACAAAAATCATTTTTATTAATTAGTTTTTCCCTAGAATTTTTTTTTCTTCATCCATTGAAACAACAACAACAACAACAAAAATTCATTTTCTATTTCTGTGTGTGTGTGTGTTTTTTTGGAACGTCGTAAGTGTGTGTGTATGTGAATGAAACAAGCGAAAAAAAATATAATTTTGGTAATAAAACTTTTTTTTTTCTTCATGCATCTTTGGAACTTCAAAACTCAATTTTTATTCAGTTTTTGTTTTTTGTTTCGTTTTTTTGGTTTCCACAAGCTAATGATTCTAACTTTGTATTAAATTTGTATATAAAATGTTTGCAAGACGCTTCTTCGGTTTGTTTTTGTTGTTGTTGTTGTTGTTGTTGTTGTGTGTGTGTATGTGTGCGAAACACACAATTTCAAATATTTATTCATTTCAAAATAGTAATTCTTTATTCGTCATTCTTTTTTTTCTATTAAAAATTCTTTATTCTTTATAGTTTTTTTTTCTTGTTGTTAGAATTTTTTTTCTGGTTTTGTTTGTTTATTCAATTTTGAATTGAAAATGAAGACAATATAACGAAATTGTTAAACTCTTGTATGTGTGTGTGTGTGTGTGTTTGTGTTTGCACTGGCAATTCTGTTAATGTCGTTGGTTTGGATGCTGGGCATATCTCTTAAATGAAATTTTTTTTGTGTTCGTTTCTTACGAAACAAAATTCGTTATTAATAATTCATATTCTTTATCACCAAATAGCAACGACAATGACACAGTAAAATGAAGAATATTTAAATGAAGAAAAATTCAAATCATCAATAAAGATTGGTGGTGGTGATTGATGATCAGTGATCACCAACAACAACAAAAATTGAAATGAAAATTTTTTAGGATCGATTAAGATAATAATCAACATTTAAGGAATCATTTCTAAAATCCCAGAATATCTACAAGGTGATTCAGAATATATAGAATTTTATTTTAAATGAAAATCATGCCAGGAAAATATAATCAAATGATGACAAATGTGAAATTTTTCTAAAAATAAAAAAAAATGAAATGAATTTCTTCTTTTCAAACAAATATGATTGAATTTTGGATTCATTCAAAGGAATGAATTCATATTTTTAATTTTTTTTTCTTGTTCTTGTTTTGTACAAATATTCGTGTAAACATGAATGTCAAAATTTTACATTATCAATAACTATATGACTTCCTGTTAAATGTCAATATTACAGTAAGAAAAAAAACGGACAAATACTGAATGAATGAATTGAACAAAAGAATATTAATAGAATTTATTTTTTTCAAAATAATAAAAGAAAAAAAAATATTGAGAAATCAGAATTCAGAATAGTAAAAAAAAAAAAAAAAAAAATAAAAATTCAACATTCTCTCGTTTCGACTTTCAATGTTGTAATACAACATAAATATATTAGAAAAATTTCATAAGAATCAACCTACTTGAACAAAATGAGATTCGATATGAATATAAAAAAAAATTTTTGATGAATTTTAATAAATTATTTTTCTTGTTAATTTTGAAACGCAACAAAAAAAAACATTTCCATTGAATCGCTCTCTAATGTCTGTATTGTGTTCGTTTGTTCATCATGATCATCATCATTTATTAGTAATTGAAAATTCCAAATAAATACATCTTTATATCATTGTCAAACAGTAGCAACAATGTTTGATTCTTTGGAATGCAAAAAAAAATTCTTCATCAATTTAGCAAGAATTTGAACATTTCATTATTATAATTATTACTGAAAATTTTGCATTGATTTACATGATAAATGACCATTTGTTTCTACTGATCCGATGTCTATATTCGTGTTATTCAATAGAAATGCTAATGTTATGCATAGAGTAGGATGGATATATATATGATTGAGAAAAAACTTTGAAAAAAAATTCAGAAAGCAGAAAATTTAAAACTTGTTTTTTTGGTTTGATCTACACACACACAAACAAATAAATAAAATGAGAAATTCCCAGCAAATAAAACACAAACATACAAAATTAAAAAAAAAATTTCTTCCGGAAAAAAATCCCATTTTTTTTTGTTAAAATGTTTCCAATTTAATATCATCATCATCATTTAAATGGCGGTAAAATATCTAGACATCAAAGATTGGTCTGATGATCATGATGATAGTGGTGGTGGTGGTGGTGGTTGTGGTGGACAACTTTACTGTTGTTTTAGAAATTGTTCATCATCACAATGACCCGAATTTATGAAATAAATTTTGTGTGAACTATCTTCACCATACGTTTACTATTTGAATTCAGAAATTTTTTTCAACCAAAAAACATGAAAACTTTTTTTTTCTTGGCATGAAATAAACCCCCTCCCCTCCGATATATAGTAAATTTATGTGTGATCATACAACTAGATAAATAATGGGCTCATCAATTTTTTGCATTTTTTTTTTTTAATTTTTACAAGTTGATTAGGGTTTGGTTATGTTTGAATTTTTCTTATTTTTGCTCATTTTTGATATTGATGCTCGCGACTAGATTGGTCAGTTATTCGGTTAGCCACCACCACCACCAGCACAACAGCAACCACCACTGCTGAATGACCACAAATACGATTCACTTAACATCATAGACGATGACCGAATTGCTTAATTAATTTTTTTTGTTCATTTTTTTTTGTTCACATTAATCGTTGCATTTTTGAATTTGAGATTTTTTTTCAATATTTTCAGTCCAATTATTTTCGTTTTGTTGCTATAATATGTCGGCACTTATCGAATCGAATGATGATGATGATGATGATGATTGCATCTTTACAAGTCAAGGTGATGAGGATCATTGAGAAAAATTCGATCATGATTTCTAACTGCAAAGATTTGATTGAAGATAATTTGAGAAAAGAAAAAAATGTCAATCCGAAAGAAGAAAAAAACCCAACATACAAAATCACCAGATCAAAATCATTCAATATATTTAGACACTTATACACATCATCACAAGATCCGGAACCACTCAGCCAATCTGATTTGATGATTCGTCTGGTCGAATGTCTGGGTCATCCAGTAATCATCATCATCATCATCATCATTATCAACAGGGCTAAATTAAGTATTTATGTCGGATATCATTATAAATTGAAACTTACTATAACACTGATCATTCAATCAATCCAGAAAAAAAAGTATTGCTATTTTTTTCTCCTATCTCTTCTTTTCATTCATTTAATCATTCATAGCGTGATAATAATGAACATGATGATGATGAAAAATCCCACAAACACACACACACACACACACACATTCAGAGATAAAAATGGACAATTAATCAATTAATTACAAGAGATTCACTCATCAATGATGAAAAAATGTTTTTGTTTTCGTTTTTTTTATTTTATTCGCAGCTGCAAATAAATCAAAACCAAAATAAAAAAAAATTCATCAATTAGTTCGATGATGATCGATTATCATGAAACGAACATTAAAAAAAAAAAAAATAAAAATTCCATTTGAATTCTGTTCACACACAATGTGTCAAAAGGTTTTTGTTTTTGTTTTTTATCCATTTATCCACTATCAACGTAATGATAATGATGATGATGATGATCATATACATTTTAGAAACATAAAATTTATATAGATAGATTTATTATGGCAGATTATTATTTTATCATTAATCATCTACCACCTTCTCTTTTCCTGCCCCCTCCTACAAAAAAAAATTATGATAATCCAAAAAGAAATTACATCAAACTGTAAATCTTTCCCACTATAATGAATAATGGTGTGTAAAAGATTAAAATAGTTGATGAGGATGATGATCATCATCAACATCATTTTTTATCCGATATCAATCATAATTCAATTCAATTGATTTAACAAGATAGGAAAAAAAATCAAATCCATAACCAGTTCGACACACACACACACACACACACACACACACACAGTCAGATGTGCATATAAAAATTCAAATTCGCGCGAATCAAATCAGAATTCGTTTCAGTATTTTTCTAAATTGAATTTTGCTATGAAAAAAATATTCAGACTTTGATGAAAAAAAAACCAGAAAATTTATAGCGCCCAAAACCGAATGATCAGACAAGCAAAAATGTGCGAAATATTATTTGCAGTAAAAAAAAAAAAACACAAGCGACAAAACAAAAATTTATATTCAATCACTCGAAAGTCTTTTCATTTCATATTCCTGTGATTTAAAGGAAAAAAAAATTTTGTCCAATTTATTTTATG